GGGAAAAGCTTTTTTCATATTGGTCAGTTGAAATTCGCCCATGTTCCGAAACCGTTCTTTGCTCCGGTTGACGAGGTTGGGTTTTCTTCTCTGGTAAAGGTGATGAAATCTTCCATCCAGAGAGCTGCTGCTCCTTCTTTCATGAATGAAAGAGCGAAGATGATTTTTCGCTTGTCGGGTGTGTCGTAGATTTCATCATTGATCTCGATGTATGAGTCAACTAGGCAGAGCCATTGGGAAATTTCTCTCTGTATCCGGAAAAGTCAGGTGGGTATCCAATTTTCCGTTCAATGGGTTTGTCTCCTCCTTCCTGCCATAGTGTATACTTGAGGTTCGGGTTCTTCTGGTTCTTCGGGTTCTTCGTCGTAGTCTTCTTCTTCCTCGTCGTCAAGGTTAAGCGGTGGAGCGTCGGGGATTTCTTCGTCTTTATCAACGGGTGGGTTTTGGGGGTGTTCCTGCTGCGACGGTTTCTTGGTTCTGGGATAATTCCTTCCTCAAACGAACTATATCCTATTGGTGATGCAATGACCCCTCTGGTTATAGCGGATGGTCCTGCTAATAAGGATGAGAACGGGTTCTGGGGAGTCTGAGTGGGAGTTCTTTCTGTTCTGGGATACGGGTCTCCTCCTAGAATTCTTCCGGCGGCGTGTCTTGCCTTAGCCGAGTTTAGCTTCTGGGAAGACGTCTTGTCTTTCTATTCTGGGTTCAGGGTTTCAGGGTGAGTGGGGTCCCTCGGTGATAGAGGGGTTCAGAGTAACTTGAATCTTTTGTTACGACTTGGATAGTTCTTGCGTAACTAATCCAATAAAGGAGTTCTTCGTGTTACGACGTTCAGTTCAGACACTTGAGGGACTCTCCCTCTAAGTGAAGTTCGAATATAGGCTAGTCTCTATAAGAGCTAGATCGGAATCAAGTATCTTCCTCAGAAGATAATCAAGTATCAGAGAGAACCAAGTAGATTCAAGTTAGAGAATACAAGCGTGACTACTGCGGTATTTATAATGGGCAAAGGAGGCACGGACCAGGCCGACTATGGAAGTGAAAGGAGTCAAGAAGATCATCATAGAACTATCTGGAATGTTCATGCAGTGCATGTTGATAAGCAGCCAAAGATAACAAGAATAGTCGGAAGTATCTAGAGTGTTCATGCAGTGCATGTTGATAAGCAGTCAGAGATAACAGGAATAGATCGGAGAAGCATGATGATGAGAAAAATGATGGGGCCGCTGTAACAATCTGTATCAAGATAGTGTACTAGTGTGGCAAACTATAAGCATAGATAGACAGAACAGTCAACTAAAGGTATACTGATTTTAGTTGTGCACATGAGTGTGAATCAACACCTGAGGTCCGAAGTATGTAGCAAGGACAACTATATACTATCACAAGGAGATAAGGAGAAGAGATGATGTGCTATGTGCATGATATAAGTCTGCCAGACATCAGACATTTGGCAGATAGCTACTGGAGACTGTCAACTGTAAGTAAAATTAAATGAAATACAGCACTGCGAGAGAGCATGTCAGGACGAACGACTTGCGGGTTCCAATATCCACTTACTGTAGTATAGTATTCTCTGGTGAATCTCATTGGTTGTCATTCTATTGCAGATGCAGGCACTTTAAATGCTTCTATACGAACAAGAGAGAGGAAGGATGATGAGAAGGGAAAAGAGGAACAATAAATGGCGATAGTAATAGTAAATAGAAATGTAAGGAATTGAATAGAAATGCAGTGGGAAAATCCCCAATCAAATTCTGACTGAATCTGGGTAGCGAGTTCAATTGTGGGAAAGTCCCAACTTTGTTCAACTCTTCACCACTGCCTCTATCATCCTGCCTCTTAGATCGTTGTTGCCCTCAACTTCCAGCCTGAACTCTAACTCCTGCCCCTCTCTTGCCATTTTGAACTGGCTTCGTGCCGCTTAAACCCTGATTAGTCGACTTCGTGTCGCTGATTCATCACTCTTAGACTTCATGTCTGGAGGGTCACCCTGGTAGCTCATTTGTTGCTGCTCCAATAGGGTTGAAGACCTTCCGCGGGAGTGCCTCGCATTTGTTTTCTGCCCGGTGTATTGTGCTTGTCTTCTTTCAATTTTTCACCAGTAAGTACATGTCTTATCTACTTCTACTGATCTGCCCTCACATATCCTTTTTGTACACTCCACCGAGGATCAGAAAGAACTCAAGTCTGGATTGAGTGGCCGTAATCTTGCGGGTAAGTGCCATATCCTCAGAATATGCTAAGATCTTAATCATCTGTTCAAACAGGTCCTTTAACCTTGTCATTAATTTCTCGCATATTATGGTGGTGCGTTCAATCTGGTGCATCATACTTCACTTTCAGTCTTTGATCCGTGAGTGTACACATTTGTCTCATATCTACTTCTAGTGATATACCCTCGCGCAAAATCCTCAGAGATCACTATCGTCATCCATGCACATACCTGCATATTATGGTGGTCCATTCCATCTGTCTTTCCATTTTTTATAGGTGAGTCTACCCTCACATGTCCTTTCCATATGCCGTCCCTTACCATTGTAAATAGCAGTCATCCCCCACAAATGGAGGTTCTACTGGCATCTCTACTGTGTATCGAAGTCTGGATTCAGTTTCTTCACCACCTGCATATTATACCGTACCTTCGCACTATTTTATTAAACTTCTGTTCCCGGCCTTTATAATGCCATAACTTATAACTTGATGTCCTGTACACCGCACACCATCTCTCAACTCTATTCCAACCGTTGTTTTGGCTCTGTTATATTGCCGTGACACATCCCTGAGTAAGGGCCCACAGTTACTAGCTTTATTTGGGGGTGACACCCCGATATGCGAGTAAGTTCCATTTCAGATAATTATTCAATCAACACAATAACTATTTTCATAGAGTCTAGTCGCTGTATATAATGTGATACAATATTCAGACACCGCTAAAATTTCCAGCCCCTCCTATATTCACTCTAACATTCTCAACAACTCTTTCACACTGTTCGTATGTTTACCTGACTTCGTGTCAGTGAAATATAACTGTTGAGGCAACTTTGTGTTCTTCAACTTATCTTCCTTGTATCTTCGTGATTGTTGGAAGCAGTCTCACATGCCTTGTGTTACCCGTTCGGGGCGTCAGACTAAAGCCCCACCACCGCCTGACTATGTTCACACTTACACGTCCAAGGACGAAAAGGCTGCCGAATCTGATGTTGATGACAACCAGGTAATGTGTTACTTATTGTTCACACTGCAACCACTGCTGATTGCTAAAGCCCTCTACATGTACTACACAAAAGCAAACTCGCTCTTGTGCTGGCCCAAAGTCTGTCATGAATACCCAAATCCAAGACCATGTAAGCTTATAATTGTCATTTTATTATCTACTAAATCAACATCAGCCGCATCCTCGACCCAAGGCTCGCCCTCTTCCAAGGTCTGAATGTTCTGGTCCCATGACATCATCTGCTGAAGAAGATATTTTCTTCTCTAACTTCAGCAGACGCTCGTCACTTGGCAGGAAGAAGTGCAGTGACGTGAATGAAGGTCCTGAGGTCGTGTTGTCTGACACTGTCGATGGGTCCACAAATGGCACAGATGGCGATGTGACATCAGGTAAGTTTTCTCTCGGTCTTTTACTCGCTATCAACTCTCATTAAATTTTGTTGTCCAGCTGGTCTCGAGGAAGATGGTACTAGTAATGATGCCAATGAGGATCCAGGTATGTGTGTTGCTCACATGCAGGATGTATTAAAATATTGACCTGCTGCAGCGACAAACAACAGAGAGCAGACTCCAGGTAAGTACTACTAAAATCTTTGTAGTACATAACTAATATGTTGTGTGACAGTTCTATCCAATGGTGAACACGGTGGTGCTACAGTGACAAACAAAGGGGAGAGATCTGACGGTGAATGCAGTGGTGCTGCAGCGACAAACAAAGGGGAGAGAGATGCAGGTAAGTTTTGCTACACATGTTGTAGTATATAACAAACATATTTTATTGCAGGTCTATCTGACAGTGAATGTGGTGTCACTACTGTGCCGAATGAAAGGGAGAGAGATGCAGGTAAGTTTTGTTGCATGTCTCGTGGTATACAACCAACATGCTTTATTGTAGTTCCATCCAACGGTGAATGTGATGGTACTGCAGCGACGAATAAACAGGAGAAGACTACAGGTAAATTTAAATTTTGCTATATATATATTAATACGCAACTAATGTGTCTGGCCACAGTTGCACCCACAACTGTTCGCCCGCGTAGATCTGGTGCCCACAAATTGTATGCTCCTGGTCATGAGAGCGAACCCGCAGAGAGCTCTGGCTCTGACAGCGACTGGGCAGAACTTGAAGAGAAGCAGAAGAAAGCAGAATGCGCTAATGACCCTGCGAGGCCATTCAGACTGTCTGTGAATGACAAGCAGAAGGGACCAGTGGTGGCAGACGACCATGGTGACAATCCCGAGGGCCCCGATGAAGATCAGATGTCTGAAGATGGGGATAGGGCCACACATAAAGCAGGAAGACTGTCCAAAGAAGGTGTTTTGAAAACGGAAGAATTTGGCATGAGGGTTATGGCTGAAGCAACTGCAATTGGAAAAGAGTTCGGGAAACACCGGAGGGTGATTCTTATCAAGGCAGGACTAGCGACGAAGGCAACTCGCAAAGAGTCTGCCTGGAACCAGCATCAAGCCTGGTTCCCGACTGTACTACCTCCATCCAAAGAATGTAACTTATTGCATTCATGACTGTTTCGGTGTTTATTAATGACCTTCCAGCGAACTTGGCATCATGGAAAGTCGAGCAAAATGTGCACTATCATGCCCACCCGTACAAAGACCCTAACCACGCATCCCTATGGAAGAAAATCCAACACCATTGGGATAGCGTGGTCACCAGCCCTGAGGATCTTTCATCATGGGAGTCATCCAGTCTCATGACAGCAGTTCGTGAAGTGTTTGCGAAATTGGTAAGTGTTCTTCGGTGACTTGATCAATGACTAAATATTTGGAGGGCTTCATATTGGTACCGCACCCACAGAATCCATATCGCTGGTATCACCATTTATCCAGGAGATGAAGAATCAGGTCGGCAGGCCTCTGGCTTTTTTGCAGGGTCTAATATGGTGAAGGCTCTCATTGACGCTCGACAAGTAGATGTAAAGTGCTTGATAGATGAGCTTACCACAATCCTAAAGTGTGTTTTTTGTCTTTTTCTTCGAGGGGATGTGATACTAATATACATGGAATTAGTGTTTTAAAGTCCAGTTGCCAGACTGAAAAAAGACTGCAGACTAGACTGGACCAGGACCATTTAGGACTGGACTACAGTCCAAGGTTGCCTCCCTTCACGAAAAAATGAAAGACCGATAAAAACCGGTTGCGACCGGTCCTAGGGTTAGGGTTAGGATTGTAGGGTTGAAGCACTCTATAAGGGGATTCCAACGGTGGTCCAATCATGTCAAACAGTTAACATATGACCAAGATATGAGCATTTCAAACAAGGGATACAAAAATCACAGGATGTCAGCATGAAAATCAAAGATTGGCTTATTCCTTACCCAAACCTTAAGTGTTTGACAAGATATGACTATATGACTAGCTATAGACTCACATAGACTAGGACTACAATTACCATTGAGACACCTAAGCCTTACAACAACTTTTATTTTTCAAAGACAAGCCTGATAATGATTTTTTGTCAAGCTCATACCTTACTTATATGTTACCCTATTGACAAGATAAGGCTAGCTATAGAATCGCCTCGACTAGTAGTACATATTTCATTAAGAAGCCTAAGCACAATAATGACTTTGCATATTTGACTCAGATACAGGGCACTATTTAGTCCAAGGTTGCCTGATATTGTGGGAATCAGGCAACCAGTTTGGGTCCAGTTGTGTCCAAATTAGGCCAAAAGACCGGACCAGACCGGACTTTGAAACTCTCTGTCTCTACCTTTGGGTAGTCCTTACCTTGTCAGTTTCCACCTGGACTTAGTCTTGGTAGTCTCCCTATCTCTTCCAGACGGACTATACCGCATTGGCCAATGATATCTGTCCCCCATAAATTAGGGGCATGTACTTGGGTAAGGGGTGCAGCACACGAGCTGAAGCCTAGCCCTTCGGATCCGACTCCTTGAACACGGTCTTAACAGATAGCGAGGAAGATGCCACCAATGCCCTGCCGTCTATCCCCATCGACAACAGCAATCTGCGTTCAACTTCACTCATCCCAATGGCCCACTGTCTATCCCATCGACAACAGCCTGTCTTCAACTTCAACTTTGCTTGTCCCCTATCAACAACAGTCTGTGTTTGACTTTGCTTGTCCCCAATGCCCGACTGTCTATCCCTATCGACAACAACATTCCGCCCATGCATCCTACTCCACTCCTCACTCCCAACACCGAATCTGTGTCCCCGTTTTTGCACCCTGATCACGGTGTGGGGACAACAAATAGACTTGGAGGAATCTGCTCGGATGTGAGGGTGATATGTTCGACCTCTAGGGGAAGCTGAGTCAGGCAGAAGTCGGGCAACTAAGTGCGCTCGAGGCGCGGGAACGCGCGAGGTAAGCGGAGGGCGTGGGAAATGTGCGGAAGGCGCGGGAAGGTCGCGCTCGTAGAGCACAAGTGCGGAAGGATGTCTAGGATCGTGTAGGACGCGAGGAATGGGTAACAAGCGAATGTATTATGGATATAGACTGATAGGGAAAGGAGAGTATGACTCCTGACTATAGATAGGTGCTCTCTAAGACATAGCACAAACTGCGGAGCTCTACTAAGGGTGATTGCATAAGTAGGAACCTTCTGTCAGAAAGCCCAGTAGATATAGAGGATAGCTAGCGAAGAGGGAGCGAAAAGTGTCCTAAAGCGGCCGAAGAGCGCGGAAGCGTGGGAACGCGGGAATGCGGCCGAGGAATGTCACAGATGTATGTAAGGAGACAGCAGCTGTCAGAAAACCAATATATGTATGTAATACGCACCTATGGACCGAATAGACAATGGATGGATGGACCTGAGGAAAGCCGATGGAAGCGCGGGAAAGCACGCACTGAGCGCGAGTGCGGGAGTCTGCGGAAGGTCTGCGGAAGGCGCAGGAAAGTCGCGCCTACAGTGCGGATAGGGATGAGGTCGATGTATAAATGAGGGGATACGAGCCTGTAGAGATATCACTCTCTACAATGGCGAGGATATAAGCATGCTAGAATCATCCCATTCCCTGAAGGTTTTGACAAATTCTTAGCACAATTTGACATGTCCATGCCAATGCCTTAAATTGGTAATGGACCTTCGAGTGGAGTAGACTATTCTGCCAGATTAAAATGTTCCCTTCACAAACACTTTTTGTTAGTTGACCTTGCCTTACACTCATGTCAGCCTTTACTTCCAAATTTCATTGATTTTCAGGTTTAATACAACATACAGAATGAATAAGTGGTATATAGTTTGTCCTCCTAATGATGGTGCTGTCCCAGTTCTACAATGCATCATCATCAATAGAGTGCACCTCATAATGACAGCCCCATCCCAGTTCACAAGGCATTGTAATCTACAGAGTGCACCAGTTAAACTGTGCTGGACAACAGTGGAGAGTCTGTGAGCTTCAAGTTGAGAATCAGCCGCCACATTGAGGCCATGAGGAAGAAAGGCACATTGTAAGCATGAGGTTGGGACTGGACATGGGTGATTGCAGGCACCTGCACTGCACAGTGGGCATCAGCTGCAAGCCGGAGGAGCACTAGGTGTAGGCAGCTTGGAAGGTGGGCAAAGGGAAAGGCTGGAGCTGGAGGACATCATAGATGCAGCAGAGTGTGGGTGCAGACGACAGGCACATGCCTGTGCTGCATAGCGGAGATGCTTGCAGGCCACCTGGGAGCCAGGGGCCATGGGTGTAGTGGGTAGGGAGGTAGACAAAGGACAGAAGTGGCTGGATGACGCCATACATGTTGGTGGCAGGAGGAGAAGTGTGTGGGAACCCGCCATAGATGTCAGGAGGTAAAGAGTGCTTGGTATTACTAACAACAGGCCCAACATAGCAGGTGTTGTCGACGGTAAGGTACCAGCAGTGTAGCCGGGCATAGAATATTACTCTAAGTACCCCCATGATTTGGGGCAACATTTATTGCTGGTGTCGAGGAAATGTTACTGTTAAGCCAAATAAGGCCGGATGAGACACATAATCATCCAGCCTTATATGGCTTACTTATTGGGAAACCCAGGTGGCCTTTGAACCTAATGTTCATTTGGTCACACCCAAATAGGGTCGAACCTAGGTGCATATCTCAACAGTATATCTATAAAAATCTTCTTCTCGCCAGTTTCCTGATGAGGATAGGGCAAGGCATGTGGGAACACCAGCACACATAGATAGATTCAAGTCCAACCTGTTGTGCCTTCAGCACAGGAAGGCAGTGGAGTTCTTCACGCCCATTGCCACATGAGTTTCCAAAAAGAGGTTTAAGCGAGCTAGGTGTTCCCATGTGGCCTTTGACGAAACATCTGATGTTGGTGAAATACGCGAAAACCACGCAAGCTAGCAAGGACAGTTCTTGGCGCTACATGCCTTACTTTTTAGATAATAGTTGGGTGGGGGTGGGTGGATTACACACACTCACTGTGGAAAGTAAAAACACTGAAAATGAAAACATAGAATACTGAAGGTCAATGTCCAAAATACTGACTTTCAGAGTTTTGTGTATTATGATTGCACTCTACATCAGAGCTACAAGATAGGCTGTGCGAGAATTCAGTACCAAGAACCCTGAAAGTGACATTTTACAATGTCAAAAACACTGAAATACGACGATTAAAATAGATTTACAACAAATTTAAAAAAAGACACATAAGCGGACTCGAACTCTCAAACTGCTAAGCACAGTAGATGCACAGTGACAACCGTACATTGCGCACAAACCGTTAAGCCACAGGACCAATACAAAGGATAGTAAGGCACAATATATGACTACCTACCACGGACTTAGAAACAAAAAGATGAAGTGACTACCAGCACAATATCAAACCGCAGCTACACGCAAGCCCATCAAGGGAAAAAAATTGCACAATCATTGGGTGAAGAGGGCTGAATTATAAATATATACATTAGGCAAGTTAATATACACCATGACAGGTAGACCAGAACATGCCACGGTATAGAGATATACAATATTCTAAGAAATTCAGTACTTGTTGCACTGGCCAGGAACACTGAAAAATCAATTTAATTAGTCAGTGTTACAAGTACTGATCTCACGTGAATGCTGAAAATAACAGTTTCTTTTTTCAATGACGTAGTCACTGAGATAGTGATGTGCAAGGCCCGGCTTCAGGACGTGGGCCAGGCCCAGCCCAGCCAACTTAGGCCGAGCCTAGCCAGGCCTTAGAATGCGGCCTATGTAGGCTCAAGGCCTGGCCTCAGGTATGTTCAAGCCTGAGCCAGGCCTTTAAGCCCTGGCTTTCAGCCAACCTTATCTGTATCTATGACCTGCGGTGATATCCGAGAAACTGCATAGTTTCTTCAGTCCGTACTAACCCAAAGTTCCTTTTTTGCTAATCACCCGGCTAACCTTATTTCCCAATGGTGCCGCGCATCAACTCCAACACTGAGGAAGCGCCTGCGCCACGTCCTAAACGGGTTGCTGTGCCATCAGCAAAGGTGATTAGTGCCGACAATGCAGCTGATCAAGAGCTTCTTTCCCACTGAATAGCTCATATTGCAAACCGCGCTGCTGTTATCTTGGACCCTACTGACTTAGATGGGGCCGACAACGACAAAATCCAGCTGGTGAGCCCCCATACCAACAAACGGCTCATCAAAGGTGAGTTTTCTTTAGTTTTATGTGCTTTACTAACTGCAACTGTTAAGACCGTGTTCAATGGGTCGGTGTTAAGACCGTGTCCAACGGGTCGGACTGGAGGGGCTTAGCTTCAGCTCGTGCGCTGTGCTCTTTACCCGAGTATGTGCCCCTAATTTACAGGGGGTTAGATATCGTCGGCCGAAGGGTATAGACGGGCCGGACGAGAGAGAGGGGTATGGACAGGCCGGACGAAAGGGGGAAGACTACCCGAGACTTCGTCCGGGTAGAAACTAACAAGGTATAGACTACCCGAAGGTAGAGACGGAGGTATTTAGCCTTAGGGATATAATCCCGAGGCTCGGAGGATCGGACTAGGATAATAATCCCAAGAGCCGAGAGGACACGACGATTGAACAGAGTCTAAGTTAATATTCGAACTGAGGAAATACTACGGGTTACAAAGGGTTTATATACTGTAGTGTATCCGACGGGTGTCCGGCTGAAGCGCAGTCTTCGGATCAGAGGGCTATGTAGAAAATGTACTAACGGATATGAACTGCTGTGGACGATCGAGAATGGAGCCGGAGATTAAATGAAACAGGGGGGACAAGTTAAATGAAAGGGGAATGAATAGACTAACGGACCGATCAGAATGAACCCAGATATTAACTGTCAGAAGGATCCGGGCGTATAGGGGCATCAAGAAGCATATACAAATGGGGACACGGGGAAATGAATTCTAGAATGGACCCGAGAGAACGGACAGACCGGACCGGACGAGAAGCTGGTACGGAATATGACAGTCGGACCGGAGGGGCTTGGCTTCAGCTCGTGCGCTGCACCCTTTACCCGAGTACATGCCCCTAACTTACGGGGGGTAGATATCGTCGGCCGAGGGGTAATGGACAGGCCGGACGAAAGGGAGAAGACTACCAAGACTAATGTCCGGGTAGAAACTAATAGGGTACGGACTACCCGAAGGTAGAGACAGAGGGATTTAACCTTAGGGATATAATCCCGAGGCTTGGAGGATCGGACTAGGATGATAATCCTAAGAGCCGAGAGGACACAGGAATGAACAGAGTCTAAGTTAATATTTGAACTAAGGAAATACTATGGGTTACAAAGGGTTTATATACTGTAGTGTATCCGACGGGTATCCGGCCGAAGCGCAGTCCTCAGAACATAAGGCTATGTGGAAAATGTACTAGTGGACAAAATGTACTGCGGATGATCAAGAATGGAGCCGGATATGAAATGGAACAAAGGGAATGAGTTAAATGAAAAGGAAATGAATAGACTAACGGAAGGATCAGAATGAACCCGGACATTAACTGTCAGGAGGATCCAGGCATATAGGGGCAGCAAGAAGCATATACAAATGGGGACTTGGGGAAATGAATTCTAGAATGGACCTGAGGAACCGGATGGACCAGACCGGACGAGAAGCTTCAGGTATGGGATATGACAGCAACCCAATTCCTACAGGACAAAAATAGGTTGCACAAAGTCCTGATGCCGAGGATGTTGACCTTGCACAGCCTCCTGCTTCAGACGAGGACAAAGACAAAGACCCCCCAGTGTCAGTGAAACCACCGAAAAAACGGCAAAAGAAAGGTAAGTTTATGTTGTCCTCTTATCACGCTAAGTCACTAACAAATGATTGTAGTACCCCTACCTAATGCCGATTCAGTCGATGCAGAAGGCTTTCTTACCAATATCGAAGTCACGGGTATCGACGAACTGTCCAAGCCTCGACGAGAGCAGCGCAGTCGTGATATCGATGCGCTGTTCTCTGTTCCATATCTCAAGGACAGCAAGAAATACAGAGACTGTCATTCTTGCAGGTAAGTCCTTTTCATTTTAAATGAATCTTAATTAATTGTTATCTTAGTAAATCTCACAAATGCCAGGTGCCATTTGTGAACGAAGTGACGACATTGCGACGACATCAGGAGGCTGCACATCGGGTGAGTTTTTGATTCATATTTCTACGTAGTTATTCAGTTGTATCTAGGGTGCCTATCTCAAATGGGCAAAGAGCAACAGCTTTGTTTCAATGCTCCCAAAGGATGCCAAACGACGCCAAGAAGATGCCGCCGCAGACCAACAGTCCAGTATCAATGGACACCTCAAGCCACGTGTGCCAAATGAACAGGTCGTTCAATATACAGATGCATTATTTCGGGAGGCTGCAACTCAGTGGCTGATTGACACAGACCAGGTGTGTTTGTTTTAAAGTAGGGAAAATCATGCGTCTCACGGGATATCAGCCCATCAAAGCCCTCGAACATCCAGCTTTTAAGAACATGGTCAACATTGCAGCTTGCGCAACAAATGGTGTCATCCTACCCGACCGCAGACAGACACGGCGTGCAATAATTGACTTGTTTAAACAGAATCTCACAAACCTTCGCAAGAGACTACTGGTATGTGTCGTGTTCTGGTTGGTTTTACTCGAGTTCTCTGGTCTCACTGTATGTTTAGAGTGAGGCTGTCAAAGGCCGTGTCAATATCACCTGTGATGGATGGCTGGCCTCCAACACCGATGGCTACTTTGCAGTGACGGGCCATTGGATCGAAGAACAAAGTCTTGGTGTTTGGAAGGTCGAAAGCACACTTCTCGGATTCACTCAATTGAACCATGCGCACAATGGTAAACAGCTCGGTCAAGCACTTTTCAAGGTCATGAAACGTGTTGGTATTGCTCACAAGGTCAGTTCAATTTTTTCGTTTTGTGATTCATGCAACTAACATTGCTATTTGTTAGATTGGTTATGTTACATGCGACAATGCGGCCAATAATGACACCATGATGGAACATTTCAGCAAACATATTGAAGACGAGACAAAGAAAAGGTTTGACCCTAAAAAACGGCGGCTGAGGTGCCTCGCGCATATTATTAATCTCGCAACACAAGCCCTGCTCTCGACACACAGCAAATCTAAGCACGTCAATGCGATGAAGCCCGACGATGATCTTGTTGTGTCACATCATGGGCAGCGTGATGAGGTCGGGCTTGTACGCTCGATTGCTGTTAAGCTTTGTATTTGACAACTTTTGGATCCATTTCACTCATCTTCATATAGGAACATTCTTCTGCCTCCCAGAAAGAACTTTTCCGCAACATTCAACTTCGTGACGAGGATGGTCATGTTCCTACAGCCAATCCCCACCAGCTTCTTCTAGATATGAAGGTACAATGGTCCTCAACCTTTGTCATGCTCCGTCGTGCATACGAAATGTGTGAGGTATGTAATGAGACTTCATTTTTGTCCCCTTGCTTACATTTCATTTTGCTAGGATGTTAATTACTTCATTGGCCAACTCGCATTGCAAGAAAGGGATGCTTCGAGATGCAAAAAGATTGCCAGCTTAGAGCTGTCTGAAGATGAATGGTCTCGGGTCCAAAAACTTCTCTCGATTCTTGGTGTACATTTCGTGTTGTTTGTGGGCCATTGGGGTACTAATCATGCATGATAGTTCGCAGAGTTAGCTCAGCATTTGTTCTCCTCTGAGGAGGGTCCAACACTGCACCTGGCACTGCCAGCACTCGAAGCACTACACAGTGCCTGGTCATCTCATTCAGCACAGATCAAATATATTGATTTTCATCAAATGTTGGATGCCGCCATTGATAAAATTTCAAATTATTACACGAAGTCAGCTGGTTCAGATGCCCACATCATGGCTATGCGTGAGTGTGCTCATGTCCGATTTACTTCTACTCTGACTTATTTGAGTATCTTAGTTCTGGACCCAACACAAAAGGCTGCTCATATCCGTCGTTATTGGGGGAATGATTTACTGCACGAGGCACTTAAGAATGCCGAAGCAATGGTTCGTTCGCCCACACCCCATCTATAAACTGTTGTTGATGTTCTTCTTGCCACAGTATAAGGAGCGCTATCTCGAGATGCATGGTGATGATGCAGAGAAGTCCTCGGCATCTACGGAGCTTCGCACCAGCACCGGCAACCGCAGATTGGATGTTTTGCTGAACGAGCTTTCCGATGGTGATGAAGATGCACTCGACGAACCATACGAAGTTCCACCAACTCTGTCTCGCACATCTTCGGCTTCACTTTTTGACTTTGCAGATCCATCGAAGCCATGGTTGCATGACTTTCACACATACTTGAACTCAAAGGACCATCTCGGAGGGATTGTCCATTATTCAATGGTGGGGTATCAACTCCCCACACTACCCCGTGTGGGCTTCACTTGCCCGCGACTTCCTTTCTGTAGTGGCAACCTCTGTATCAAGTGAGCGAGCTTTTTCGTCAGCGGGAATCACAATCACTAAGTGACATAACCGTTTGAAACCTGATATTGTTGAGGCACTTCAGTGCCTCAAATGCATGATCAAACGAGGGTTGTTGTTTCGCAAGGATCCTTCCATCGTTACTGAGGGTGATGGAGACTTGGACCAGCCTGAACCTCAGATGGGTGACTTACTGGATGTATTGGGCAAAGAATTGGATGAAGAAGAAGTGCAGCAAGATTCTGATGACGAAGATGTATTTGTTCAATCATTAGACATGTTGTAGCACTATTGTGATATGAGCCGAGGCCTGAGCCCTAAGCCGAGCCTGACCAAGCCTGAGCCGTTGGAGAGGGCCTGGCCTGCAATCTGAAGGAGCCTGAGCCCTATCGAGCCAAGCCATAGCCCCAGCTTTTGAGCCGAGCCGGGCCTTGCACATCACTACACTGAGATGTCATTCAGGGTTTCTCATGTTTACTTTCAGGGTATTTACTTCCCACAGTGCACTGAGCATTACCTCTGAATACCTGCCCCTGCTGTAGATAGCTGAAGGTCATAGATAATTTAGGGCAGTATTTAATGCTGGTGTTGAGCTTTAATGCAAGTAAGCAACATTTAGATCGCTCTGGAAAATATAAAAGGAAATTGTGGCTGTGATGTCCCCCGAACCTGCCGTCAGCCAAACAGATGTTTGGGAGGAAGAAAACACTCATTTCCGCGTCATTTTGGATGTGGAAAAATTGTGGGTAGCCATGTAAAGTACGTAGAATTTGTTCCACGCATGGGCCTGATTTTTGACTGCAAAAAACTGCCTGTTGTGGGTCTCCATGTGCTTATTCATGTCAATGCCCACACCGAGCGCGCTTCTCGACCACAAAAAAACTCGTTCCTGCATCTCGGGTGAGTACAGCATGCCCCATGAGAGTCCAGAGGGTTTGGCAGCTCATGGGGCATGCTGTTATTCACAGGAGCCCATTTTTTTCCTGCAGGACAGCATGCCCCATGAAAAACCACATTCTGGTGGGCTCATGGGGCACGGTACTGTTTTCAGTTGTTTTTAGGGATGACGGCACATGTTTTCCGTGTTCGGAACACGATAATATATTGCTCAGCTATGTAAATCAAGTACGTCCCACCCTCATTTCCCTTCCCGCTGGGTTCCTCGCTGCCCACAGACCTCCGCAGGTCGCTGACCACAACGAGCGCACGCTGTCTGGGGTCACCTCACAGCCGCCATGCCCCGGGGCACGCGCTTAGTCATCCTCCCCTGCCAGATCAGCGTGCCCCACAACAAGAGCTTTAGAGCCAGTTCGGTAACTGCTGTATAAGCAAAATGTTCGAAATTTAGAATTGTGTTTGTCCCAGCATGGTATCTGCCGGAAGCTGAGTTTGAAATGCCTCTCCTTCTGACCATGACTCTCAAATGTCGCCCTAGTGGTCCTCAGCGCCAGCAAGTCTGGCTAGCGGTCGCTATCGTCATCCTCTGTACCCAGCTACAAGTAGCTGAGATGTCACGAAGGGGTGTTCAACAAGCTCAGCCTAAAGCCCAGTGGAACCCCAATGAAATCGACTCCTTCCTCACATATCTTATCTCAGTCAAATCAGCAATGGCAGGCACGAGCTTCAAGGAGGTGACATTCAACGAAGCTGCGAAATATATTGAGAGCTTGAGGACAGCTGGGCCTGTGAAGACTGGGGCTCATTGCAAGAATAAATGGGCAATGGTGTGTTATCTTTCATCGATCACTACCATGGCTATACTAATCTTAGCGATGTAGTTAAAGCAGACATACAACGCCATCAAGTCATATCAGCATCATAAATCAGGTTGTCACTGGGACAATGAGCGCGGGGCCAACATTCAGGGGCCCGCCGCTGAAGTTGTCTGGGAGGAGTATGTTAGCAGGAAGGTACGCAGAGATTTTGCCTAGGTATCTGTTAGATCTGACACTTATTTTGTCTTTACAGCCCAACTTCCCCATGAAGAGTTTCAAAAACTGCAGCTGGCCATACCATCCCAAGATGGAGGAAATTCTGCCCCGCCACAGCTCCGCACGAGGCGTTGCTGCCTATAACCCCGCCTCATCATCATCAAACGAACCACCCCCAGCTGCCAGTACTAGCAGCGCACCTTATGACACTGACGACAGTATGTCAGATGTCAATCGCGATGGCGATCTCAATGACAGTGGTGTTGGTGCCATGTACCAGCATCGTTTTATTCCCCTCATTCCTAGCATGGCCCGGCCGGAGATCAGCTGGGGTGTTCCCCCTTCCCCCAATCCTGCATTTGAAGATGATGGCAGCTCTACAATGGCAGCCCCTGCTATGTCTTCCTGCGCTTCCACCTCTGCCTTGTCTGCCCCTGCTATGTCTGCCCCTTCTAAGTCTCTCCCCGCTATGTTTGCACCTATGTCTGCACCTATGCCTGCCCCCCCCCATGTCTGCACCTATGTCTGCCCCTGCTATGTCTGCACCCATGTCTGCCCCCACTATGTCTGCACCAATGTCTTCAGGCTCGAGCGCTGGCAAGCGCTCGCATGCAGAAATGACTCACAGTCATTCAGCTCCCCCTTCAACCACCTACGCTTCGGTCTCACAATTGACGAGGCCGGAATCAGAGAAGAAGCCAAGGCTGTCAACAATGAGTGGCAAGACACGCCCAAGCGCGAGCAAGAAGACTACTGTTCAAGACACTGCCAACACCGCTGTGTTGATGAACCTTCAAGGAACCATCAACCGCCTCTCAGGTTCACTCAATACAAATTTTTCCGCTTCTGAAGAGGCTCGTGTGGCTGACAGTAGGTCGTGAGCGCTCAAGATCATGCAGTCAGAACCGGAGCTTTCAAAGGAGGACAAGGTGGTTGCCATCAATATATTCATGAATAGCTCAGCGGCATGTGATACGTTCAACGATATTGAGGATCCTGAACTGCGCATGGCATTCTTATATTCTATAATTGCCCGCGCCAAACAAGAAAACCCCATGATGTAGCTCTAACCTCCTCGTGCTTGTCCCTTCATTCGTTTGTAGCCCTGCGTCTCGTTTCGTTCATCGTGTTCCATTCTCGCATCAAGTTTTCATTGTACTAGCTATATCACGAATCTACTACACGCTGTTCTCATTCTCCTCATCGCCCTCGCGCCCATGATAGAGATCATCTTCGCCCTCGTCTTACTCACCAAGATCAACATCCAAGATGTGATCAACGCCTTCCAAGTCTTGCTCACGTAACAACGCCTCGTAGTCCTCCCACATGTGTATCGCGATACGATCATGGTGTGCATTTGCAGCTTGTACTTGCAGCCCATTCTCATCCACCGCAACATATCCTTGATGGCTCGGGTTGTCGTTGACAACGTTCGTTGGCGGCAGAGGGTCTTCGGCCGGGTTGTGAATCCGGATGAAGTTGTGAATGGAGCATAGTGCCGCTGGAATGCGGGCTTGTATGTCCATCTTGTACTCCGGGGATAAGAGGAGAATGCAAAAGCGTCGTTTGAGGACGCCGAAGATTCGTTCGATGACGTTTCATGCTGAGGAGTGGCGAAGATTAACTAGCTCTTCCTTATTGACAGGTCTGAAAATGAATTAGTTTGATTTAAATATGAAATGAGTGAAACACTTACCTGACATTGGCACGCCCCCATTCAGCCAGGTGGTGTCGAACGCCGCGGTATGGAATCAGGAGTTGTTCGCAGGAAGGAAATCCTGCATCTGCAAGAAGGTATTTACCAGCGGGAATTTTTAACCCGCCTTCGAGTGCTTGATCCCAAAGCTGTGCATCAGTCACAGATCCTTCCCAGCCGGTCAATGAGTATGTAAATTGCAAGTCGAATCCACACGCAAAAAGGCAATTCTGTGATACAAATCCTTTGCGGTTGTGATACACATGGTGCTCAGCCGCGGGAGGGAATGCGTGAATGTGGCTGCCATCCAGTGCTCCTATAGCGCCCCTAAAATACGGCCAGCGTTTCGGATTGTTGCGTATTTGTGTGGGGACAGGAAAATCGTCACCGGGGAAGGATACATATTTGTTGTAGAATGGGGGTGACATGAATATGTCGAGCATCTTGCGAAAATAGCTATAAAGGTGTTAGAACTAATAAATTCTTTTAAAATACAAATAAATGTACCGAGAAATCATATCATTCGAGTGCTGGAAGCACTCGCCAACATGTCGGATCGTCAATCCTGTCACACAGGAGTACAGAGAGATTGCGAGTTGTTCTTCGAGCGAGACGTATATCGAATCCATGTGACTGAAGGCACGGAGCTCAATGATCAATCCCTCAAACACGTGGACGTGCACCCCGAGCTCACAATGGATTTGTTCGGGATGACCGACGATGAGCTCGATGACCCATTCGTGGCCGGAGAGTGCCGAAGTGTGATATGGCTCGGGGACTCGTGGAATTTGGGTGAGAACCAGCTGTGTGGTAGCAGAGATAAGGATACTGATGAGAAGGACGATGTAACGAAGCATTCGCTGGCGGACTGTCACTAGCGTCAGATGCTGGTCAGTTGGCCGAATGCGGTGAGCAGTCAGAAGGCGCTCATGTGGGATCAAGGGGTCAGCAGACACAGGGCTGAGAAGGGGCTGAGCGGGGGGCCATATATGTGCAGGTCCATCTGGAAGCATGATATTAAGTACTTAGAGCGCGCTATGCAATCAAGCAAGTCGTCAAACTATTGTATATACTGCTGGAGATTGATAATGATAATCTTACCGATTGGATTCAGACTCCGTTTACATCCCGACATTCTTGCGCCGCAACACAATTCTGAATTTCGAACATTTTGCTTATACAGCAGTTACCGAACTGGCTCTTATGTAATGCACGTAAGCCTAATTATAGTTGTCGAAGCACGTAATCACCAAGTATAACAAGGCTTACTAATTGGGCAACCCAGGTGAAATTTGGTGTCTCTAAGTGACGCGCACCATATATAGATGGAATTACCGCAGTGACAGCACTTCACGCATCTTCACAATCACTGTATTCCTGTCCTCTTTGCCATTCCCTTCATTTATGAAAAATGCTGCTGTCGGCCAGCATTTGCTCTCAGGTGAGAGTAGTTGACGGGCCTCTCATGGCATAGCTTGCTCTGACGTCTTCTGATTTTTCAGGCGCCCTCTCTGGGTTCGCGGGAGCCATCTTATTACAGCCTCGTGAGCATTGAAAGCGCTTGGTATCTGATTTCGCTCAACCCAGTGCACAGTCGACCTCCTGAAGACCAGGATTCAGCAAGGAGACTCTGCTTTAAATGCCCGGTAGGCTTCACATGCAACCGCACTACTCATGGCTCATATCTCTGAAGCAATACAACAATCATATGGCGGACAACAAAGGACATTCTACGGAATGAGGGGATAAAAGGATTATGGACAGGTACAAGTGCCACGTTGGTTCGGTGCGTGCTACGATATTTTACATCTCTCACGTCAATGACTTTTCTCTATACCAGCAATGTTCCAGGAGTGGCCCTCTATTTTACGAGCCTGACTTACCTACGCTCTGCCATGGCAAAGTCGCCGTATTTCTCTGCACACCAGCGGCACAACCGCGAAAGCTCTAAAAGTGTCCTTCCGAAGTTGTCCAGTCAGGGCAATCTCATAGCAGGCGCAACCGCTCGAGTCGGAGTCGGGTTTATCCTCAACCCATTTTCTATCATGAAAGCGCGTTTTGAGGTTCGTGTGGTCGCGTAAACCACTGTGATTTTTGATATCATAGCATTACGCAGAGTGAGCTGCATGCATACCGTAGTTTATCAGGCTCGCTTCTTTCCATCGCCCGTATGGGACCGTCTGAACTTCTCCGCGGATTTGTTGCATCGTCGCTGCGGGATGCGCCATATGCCGGTCTGTTTGTCGTCATATACGAGAGTATAAAACGCGAGACAAGTGAGACCGTTCTCGGTGGTGACAGAATCTGGCTCATGTGCTCCAGCATACTTCATCCCAACCGCGTATGCAGCAGGCATACACAGCATTTCAGCAGCCTCCGCAGGTGCCATTGCCACACTGGCAACCCATCCATTTGATGTTATAAAGGTCATTTCTTCAGGCGGTCTCTCCTTTCAGAATATCTGATGGCATACCCAGACGAAAATGCAAGTGCGTTCAGAAGACAAATATCGTGGCTTTACCACGACCGTCTTGAGGATTTTTAAGGCTGGTCCCGCTTGTTTACAAGTCTGAGTCGTATTCTCATCATCTAATCCACAGCAACGTGGTGCAGCCGGTTTTTTCGATGGGACATCTCTCCGCATGTCTAGGAAAATCCTCAGCTCGGCAATTGGCTGGGCTGTATTTGAAGGAATGCTGCTCTTCATGCAAACATAACGATTGTTTGACAATATCGTCCACTGATACAATTCTCGCGCGAGTCTATAGGTCATCGAGAGTACTCTTGTTGGATGAACTTCGCGATTGTTTGCAGTTGGATATTTGATGTCCCCTCATAGATTGCACCCTGTAATACATACCAGCTAAATAATATAATCCACTCAATCAGAACATCACTCACAATCTTTGAATCCCGCCAGAATTTCTCAATCCCCGTCTCTCTTGTGAACCCGACACCTCCACACCACTCAATAGCCGAACCACTCACGTGTTGAGCCACCTGACTAGCCCAGTACTTGGCCATTGCCGCTTCCTTCGTGAAGCTCCGTCCTTCCTCCTTCCGTCGTGCTGCATTGTATGTAAGCAGACGTGCCGTCTCGAGTTCAACTGCAGCCTCTGCGATTTGGAACTGCATGCCCTGGAAGGTTCCAATCGGTTGGCCAAATTGAGTCCGTTGGTAGGTGTAAGGGACAGCTTTGTCAAACGCGCCTTGAGCGAGGCCCAACATTTGAGCAGCGATACCGATACGACCTGGGAAAGTGAGCTTTCATAATGTTAAAACCAAAGATTAGCTACCCTCGTTCAGAATCTCGATGGCAAGCTGCAATTGGAAAGCTTAGCTAAATTTCTTCGCCATAATCAAGTAGCTGACCTTGTAGCCCTTGCCCTCACCGCCGATGATGTTCTCGGCTGGTATTCGGAGATCGTCAAAGTTAAGTGTGCACGTTGATGATGCTCTAATCCCAAGCTTCTCTTCCTTCTTGGCTATTTGCACGCCCATATCTTTCGTTGCAATAAAGCAAGTGATACCCTTGTAGCCCTTGCTGGGGTCGACCTAGGGGCTTTTTCAGCCAATAAAGTAAAGTGTGAATACGAGTAGGGTTCACATTCGCGAAGATAAGGAAGATTTCGGCCTCGTGCGAATTAGTGATCCACATCTTTGACCCATTAATCACCCAATGGTCTCCATCCTTCTTTGCCCTTGTTTGCAGCGCGAAAGCATCTGAACCTGACACAGGCTCGGACAAGCAGAACGAACCGAGCTATATGCACACATGAGCACACGTGCAGAGGAGTTCCTATTCAACTCACCTTCGACTCCGACAACAAAGGCAACCACTTGTCCTGCTGCTCCTTTGTGCCGTACTTGCGCAGAATGGTGTTCACGAGGGTGTTGTGTACGTCACACATGACAGATACAGAGGGGTCGATTTTCGCGAGTTCCTCAATTGCAATAATTGCGGATACAAATGAGGCCTCTGCACCTCCATGCTCGGCGCTTGTTTCTATGCCCATGAGCTGCATAGCGGTGTCAGCACACTTGGGAAAGATAACTGCTTGGATGCTGACCCCTTGCTCGAAGAGACCCTGGATGATAGTTGGGTCCATAGATTCTTTCTCGTCCATTTCGCGGACCTTGGGGCCAACGACGTCCACCGCGAAGCGCTGCACTAAACCCATGCCGTCGGTGCCATGAACACGAGTTAATACGAAGAACGACATACCTGAGTCGCGAAACATGTTCTCCTCCTCCGTGAATGTGTTCAGCGAGTTCAGTTGGAGTGCCTCTGTCCGTATTGCGGACACAGTGAACATTCTGAGTAAGGAGTTACAGTTACAACGACTTGTACGGCCATCTGAAAGAAAGAGTACCTAGCTGGCTCGACAAGTCCCTTTGGACGACGCTTGGTAGCTCGCAGCGATCGTGATGCAGCGCGGAACATGGTGAAAGCGAAGAACAGTAAAGTTAGAAACTAAGCGTGCGCACAATACTTACAGCTTGGCGCATAAATACTCATTCAAGAATCACATGTCGCTTGTCCGGATCTTCGGTAGCCTTGGTCGCGCGTGGCCCGCCTCGGTCAATATTGACAACGAACACTACAAGGCTTGTCACTACTTATAAACTCGCTTGGGTAGCTGAAAGATAACAGGTGGTCGATGCATGGAAATCGTATTCAGATAGACGCGGCGAAACACGACAACCACCTCCAGCACATTGGAATCAAACACCAGGCCTGATACGCAAGTCAAAATACAACTCAAACAGGATCACGGAACATCATCGTGCAGAAAAGATTAAAGCCCAGAATCAGAACTGAACCGCGGGTGGACGCACATCAAGTCAAGGCTGGTGGTCGCACAATGTGCATAAAGGGACATGATTTGACGAGCACAACGATAATTATACCAGTGTACCCTCAACGATCATATGAAAAACAGCATGTTCCACAAAAATGGGTGAAAAGACTAAATAAAGAAACAGGCGAACACGACATGGCATTGAAAATCATGGAAAAGTAAGAAGCTATGATGTCGTCAAAGGGTCGTATCAAATCACTCCGTGAGTCAATCATGCAGCAGCACTCTCGCGTGCCTCGCCGTTCGTACGAGGCGTGCCACGTTGGGTGAGCCCGGCTGCGGCAAAACCCCGTGCGGCGAATCCACCACGTCCGCCACGTCCACCACGTCCTCTAGGACCACCACGGCCACCCGCTCTATCATTGCGCTCTTCGCGTTCTGTCGCTATTTGCACGCTAACCGTACCCTCGCCCATTTTCTAGACAGGAGATATCAGTCACCGAAAAGAACAATATTCGGGCGACTTACCTCGTCATTCTTGTTCAATCCTGCCTTCATGCTCTCATCGTCGCCGAACTCAACATAAACAAAGGGTCTAGCACGTTGAAGCGGGGACCCCTTGTTCATAACGAACGTCACCTTTGTTACTCCACCTGTATCACCACCAAACAATGTCCTGACATCTGCTTCCGTTGACTCTTGAGGGAGTTTGACGAATAATGTCCAAGGATGTCTCGGTGGCCGCTTGCTTGTCGGTGTCCTCGCGCCCGTGCTGTCCGTTGTTGGCGACTTCATCCCTTCACGTACATCAGCGATGGGAACTTCAGGCGTGGCTTTGCCTGATTTTGGCTCCGATGCCGGTGCAGGTGATGCAGACACCGGAGTCGGAGCAGAGGCAGACGCCGGAGCTGGAGCAGGTGTGTTCACAGCAGGATCAGTCTTCTCTTCGGATGTAGAAGCCTCCTTCTCCTTCGCTTCCGCACGCTCACGATCCTTGCGTTCTTTCTTTTCTTTCCGTTTCTGCTTCTCTTTTTCGGCCTTGTCTGATGACGGTGCAGGTGTTCCGCTCCCGTTAGACTTAGGAGCAGGCGTGGACGGAGATGGCTCTTTGGGTGTCTCCTTGCCAGACGTTACAGGTGCCAGAGGAGACCTGACCTCTTTTTGATGCGGTGAGAGAGGTTTTTCGGCCTGAACGGGAGTTGAACCCTTAGTGGGCGGATTCGAAGTAGCATTGGGTAGTGAGGACGTCGTTGAATTGGGAGTGGGCGCAACATTATTGGGCGCTGCGGTACGACGGTACGCATAATTGAAACCTAGAGAAAGTTTAGCGAAGACCGTCAGCCGAGGCGATAATGTGCTTACCCTGGCTCCTCAACTCGGCACTGATTCTGCCATCCTTGACATCCAACACAAGCGAACCAAATGCGGCGTCACATAGATTCCAATTCCAACAGTTCTTCCAAGAGGGCTCTTCCGGACCCTGTACATTTGGCACCCTCTCAACGACACTCAGGGCCTTGTCAAGCAGGACTCGCTGGTGCTCATCGATAACAGTTTCTACCTGCTGTTTCACACTGTCCCAAACCTTATCAAAGGATTCCTTTCCAGCGATGAGCTTGTGGCGGAAGCCTTCTAGATCGCTTTGCACACTGAACTCATTATAACTGGAAGCATAACGGAAGTGAAGCCCTGCGCTGATAGAGAGATCAGCCTTAAGAACGAGTGCAAGTTGTGCCATTATGCCTTCGCGTCCGGGGCTTGCGTGCGTGACAAGGAGACGCGTCTCGGTGGGATCGAAGACGCGCTGGGCAGTATCGACGAGCTCACCGATCTGGAGTGCGGTTGTCCACATGGTACCCTGGCCACCAGCGATTGTTGCGCTACCATCGCCATTATCAAACATTTTGTGGGGAACGAGTGCACCACCCAGACCGAGAAGCCTCAGTTTGACGCCTCCGACATCAAGACAATGAGTGGTTGCCTCATCGAGGACGTGGAGGTTGTCGATATTGTATATGCCACCACGGAATTTTTCGAGAATGACGACGTCCTCGCAAGCACCCCAAACAGTATATACAGGGACAGAAAGCTTGAGTTGACCTGAGAGAAGAAGAGGGAATTCAGAAAGGAGGGAAATATCGACGGTGGCGCGGATTGCTTGGGCGGTGTTATCAGGTGCGAGGAAGTGGGTACGCTGCGTGGATGGTATTAGTGGCGAATACATCGTCAGATGACGCAGCGTGCGGTCATTTATGCGTTCAAGGCTGTTGCTTTCTACATATAATAAACGCGTCAAGCCGGAAAAAAAGTGATTGTAGTAGACGCCCATGCTCACCGAAAAAGCCAAAGTCACCTGTATGGATGATAGCTTTGGCATTGGCCTCGCGCGCGAGATCGTTTAGGCCAGAAAGGCGACCACGGATGTCTGCGATGCAGAGGATACGGCCGTGTGTGGTGTCTAGGACTTTTGTGTGGGTATTCACTTGAGGTCTAGAGTTCGGGGATACTGCAGGACGTGTCGATGAAGATGCTGGACGGGATGACGGATTCATTTTGAAAGCTATGCGAACGACGGGGAAGATGGCGAGGAAGACGGCGAGCACAACGACAAGGTCGCTGAACGAAGAAGGGTTTCAAAGGGACTTCAAGGATTACATAAGCTCATAACTCCACCAAGTACACTCTTACCAGTGTTTGTCAACGTTCTCAACGTCGTCGCCAATGATGGTAATGGTTCAATGTTTCATCGGAAGCTAGTATTATTGGCCTGGGCTCGTTGTCGTCGTCGCTGTGGTCGTTGCGAGATTTTGTACATACCAAAAGCACGAATAATAACCTTAATGATACTTATCATTCATACAAACGATGCTGTTCGTCGCCATAGGCAGCGACGACGCAATAGAATCAAGTGTAATGTGAATCAGTTTTTGCAATGATTCGCTTTCTCAGAGAATAGTTCTAGTGAGTCCGTTTGTGGTGGGTACCACGGATTGACCACGGATCAAAGAACCATGCAGACCGCGTAACCCATTGCTGCTCTCCACTCTCAACGACCTGCAATCTGCTCTTTGACGTCGTTGACGCCAATGAGCCTATATGGCCCACAGACATGAGACAACAGCGCCCTTGCCAAGTGCCTTTACTTCGATTTCCTCGACACTCACCGCATCGGACAAGCTGCTCTCATCCGTGCTGACACTCCCCGCAAATCCGTGCATTGTCTATGCGACATACTCCCCATCTGGAACAGCACCTCCATACGAAATACTAGAGTCTGCACGGAGACAGCTGGTTTCACGAAATCAAGCTTCTACTTTTCAAGACTCAATCCTTCCACATGTTCACATCGATCGGGATATGCCAACCTTTCATGCGTTCATTGTAGCATCCGATGAGCTACTCGACAACTCTCTGTCTGTTCTGAAACAGCTCAGATTCGATGATCTGATAAGTGAGTCTGCGCACATTCACCTCATTGTCGTGAGCTGTTACCACCTTCACACACTGCTAACTGGTGCTGCAGTCTCAGAAACTTCTTCCTTCACACCACATGGGGTCTATCCATGCAGTTTGACATGTGCAGACAGTCGAACTCCATGTGCATCGTGTCTTGCTCACGCTGATCTTTCATCCATCTCCACCGCCCGCCTCCTTCCACGGAAGCCACTCCGACAAATCTACGCTCGATTTATCGATGCTGTCCGGACACGCCTCATAGACTATGTTGTCAATGCATCCTTGACTTCTGCCCTTCGCTTCCACAATGGCTTCCTGCTCGTACCCAATGTCATATCCAACGAGTGGGGCGCAGACTGGGATCATCATGCGCAATTGCGGTATGAATATTACCGTCCCACCATTTCTGACACTGACAAAATTGTTATCCAGCCCGCTCGTCCACTGCCACCTCGATTTTCACCTCGCTTCCAACCGGCTTGAGGTTCACTCCATCTTTCGGCCTTTCCCACACGTTCCCCTTCCTGCACTTCTCCCCCTCCCACCTGGTACACCTCTCACCCTTCTCCCTACCGGCGCCCCTGCCTTCTTCCTAGCCAATTACTCAGGTCCTACTGCTTCTCTCACCGCGCATTTTACTCGCTCCCTTGCACCGCACCCCCTCCCGCGCCCCAAAGACCCCCAATATATCATCGCGTGGCTCGCGGTGCAAAACAAGCAGGGGGAGGACAAGGGCACGCCAATAATCTGGCCTACAGCCCTGTGTTTAGTTTCGAATTCATCATCACGCAAGCCACTGGCACATATCCCAGAGCTACCTGCGCAGCTCCAGCCTTCCCCGCCTCCACCACCTCCCCCGTCAATCAATGTCGGAACACCCCATGTAGACTCGCCGAGCACACCGCTTAGGGTTTTAACGAACCACCCGCTGACGCGTCGTCCCGCCACAGCTTCTCCATCTCCCCTCAGAGCTCTCCGCACGTTAACCCTTTCGCACACTCCCAGCCTGCAGAATGTCGCATCAGAGGTCGGCAGTTATGTCGAGTCTGTCGTGCGTGAGAGAGATCGGGAACGGGAGCGCATTCGCAGGGAGCGCGAAGCGATGGCATCAGTATCCGCGTCGCCGCAGGTAGTCACACCAGCTGCAGCTGCAGTCTCTACTGTCCCTACCCCAGTACCCGATACAAATCTTCCACTGCATCCACCCCCTCCGGCACCCACTGAACAGCCACCTATCCATCCAAGTGTCTATTACCCCTCTCCTGCAACTGCAATTGATCCCCCTGCTCCCCCTGGACCCCCATCTGTGTCTGAACTTTCAATACCGTTGCCACAGACGAACCATGCCCCTGCCCCACCTTCATTTGACCCATTCAATTCCATGGACACCACCTGGTCGCAACCCACATCCGACTTCATGGACTATGATATGGGTCCCGCTGGTCAACGCCGTATCGATGTAGACTTCGCAGACTACGATACATTCACATTCACTGATGATGACTTTAGCTTCTTTGATCGTCCCTCGCGCCCATCAGATGCTGCGCCCGCACCACTTGCGCTCTCACCAAGCATATTTGGTGTCGCAGATGTTGGCGTGTCCTTTACCCCTGCAGCGGGCACTCAGCTCTCTCCAGATGTCCTGACATTCACTCCCGCACCCGCACCTGCTCTCCCCTCTCCGACTACCTCAAGCTCAGCGCCTTCCACACCTCATGTGAAGGTTACACACCCGCCGTCCCAGTTCGCTCGTACCTTTGACCCCGTCGCATTCGCTCCTTCCCACAGTCTTGCGGATGCCAAGTACTCCTCTGCCGGAAAGTTTGCTCTCCCCAGCCCGCCGGACGAAGAGGACCGCACTTCACCCTTGCCCGACCAGCGTTCGCAGAGCTATAGCACAGCTTCCCCTGCTGATCTGCGTGCGCGGTATAGCGCCGCAACAGACCCGCGCATTAGCATTGTACGCCAGCTTATCGGCGTCAAGCGTAAGTCCAAGTCACTCGATCATGGAAGAGCGCGCTGCCGGCAGTTCCTCCTGTCCTCGTATGATGACAGTGTCCACGAGGATACAATTCCTCCGCTAGAGGACGACGAAAAGTCTGAGGCTATTTCTGAAGATGACGCAGACATGGATGACGAGCGTGAGCGCTCGACCACACCACCCCCATCGTACCTCCCTCTAGGTCCCATGCTCCTCCACACACAATTCCACCACGCGCTCCTCCTGCCACTCTGCCAACCTCTTCGCCCGCCAGGATCAGCAGTCGCGCCTATGAGCCTAGTGCTTCCCCCACCGCCTGCGGCCGCACATACACCGGTCTCTCCTGCTGCATCATTGGAGAAAATTAATCAGGAGTTGGCAGCGGCAGGCGCAGCGCTGGCGCGGGAGGTCGTTGAAAATTCTGTTTGGGCTCGCGCTTGGGGTTGCTGTACCGCAGGGGATGAGCAGGTTTGGCCCAGCGATATTCAGGAACTAGCGGGAATCTTGAAGCGTGTGGATGTTCTTGATGGACCAGCAGAACTATCGACAATGTTCTCATCCGGTAAGTTTTCGAGGATCTGATGATCGGATCATATTTAATGATATACCTGCAGGTGAAAATGTTCACCTCCAAAGGCTGGACCCGCCCATGTTTTCAGTAGGCAAGTCAGGCTGTGTCGTGCAAGTATTGCCATCAGCATTGCGCTTCTGGGAGAAGCTAGGCCTCACGCCTCACGGTGGCAAAAGGGACGTCGTCGCTTTCGTGTTTCTCGAAGATGGTGGCCTGGAAAAGCAGCATCAGGCTGAGGTTTGGTTGAACAAGATGTCTGTGGGATATAGTGTGAGTCCGGTCTTCCTCTCGTTTTCAAGTAATCAATTTTATTTTGAGCAGGCTAAGCAACTTGGATCTTTCATTCCTGGGAGCAGCACGATGTGCTCAGCGGACGGAGTCCTGCCCCTGAGGCTGGAGAATCTGAGGAAGTCCATAAGTGAGTTATCTTTTGATCAGTGGTGTGCTCAAATATAACGCTTAAACAGGGTCCTTTCTGCAATGCTTGGAGTCAAGCAATGATCTTGTCTTCTTCATAGCCATTCCTGACCTAGCGATCGGGCTTGCCTCACCCCTCCTGCGTGAAATCTTTAGTTTCGTCAAGCAGACCCAGGTCAAGCGCTCTGAAGCTCCTATTCTCTTCCAGTTTGTCCCCGAGCACCTTATTTCCTCGGCAGAGAGCCCTTCCGGTGAAGACTCGGAAATCGACGCCCTCTGTTATGCCACCTATCGACGCATGCTCAAACCCGTCGAACGTTCCATGGCTAGAGGATTTCCCGACAAAACCGAAACAGTTGCATATTTTCAGGAGCAGCCCTTTGTTCTGGCCCGCCCCTCAAGTACTGTCCACTTCGCACAAACAACTCCAGCTCGGTCCCTTGACGTCATGGATCGACACACGCTCCTTCACGTTGGCTACCGATTTTCTGCCTGTGGAAAATGGTTATTCGCTGCTTGTGTTGACCAACGTGGGGAAACCTACGATCTCGGGACGTGGCTAATACAGGACGAGATAGAGACATCGGCAGTGGTGCAAGTCTGGAATTTTGCGGTGCAATTTGCGAAGAGAGCAAACGTTGAGTGGCGGATTGTCATTGCGAAACTAGGGTCTATGGCTGTCAGCGAATTGGAAGGTTGGTGGTCCGGATGACTCTGATGTTGCCTTTGCTTATCTTATTGTTCTATAGGATGGAACGTTCACCTGGCCGCTGCCGTCCCCCTGTGCAATGATTTGCCTCCTTTCCATGTCAGCTTGCTTTCCGTGGAGCAGAATTTATGCTGGCCTATCATACCACAACTTAATGAAACATCAGCCTCGACGTCATCCAGACGGGCACCTGCGAAGGATTCCAAATCTATATACGTGGACACTGCTGCCCCAACCTACACCATATATCCATCTACACGTATTCCCCTTGCCTCGCGTTCTTGTCAGGAACAGCTAGATTCGCCATTCATCCCGGACAACGACGGCACGACGACATCTGATTCATCCAGCATCCTGCCAATATCTACATCCATCCTCGTTCGGTCTCTGTCCACACACACGGCTTCTACCCAATCATCCATCTACATACATCATCTTCATGCGCTTCACTCTCCTGGTTCTTCCCTCACCATTTCAGATGATACCATGCGCAAGGATATCACGGTCAATTTTTATGAATTGTCTATTCTTGCAGGCGCGATGCTGGGCTTCCAAGAATACCCTCTACTGCCTTTCCATCTTGCTGCACTCGAAGCCATGAACCATTCCCTCAGACGGGAAGATACCAGCTGAGGCTTTGCCTCGTTGTCTCTCCCTCATCTTTTTATCAGTAGATCTGTCGCTATCTTGCTTTTTTTTTTGGTAACTACCTTACAGTTGTTGCATGTACCGCACTATTTTGTATCCTTACTGCTTACATCCATGATCCCTCTTGCTTGCTTGATCATGTTTATTACTATGAAGTAAAAACACAAATGTACAAATGTTATGGAATAGGCGCTGATCTACTGAGTCTTCCTTTCCTGAGCATGGTACCCCTTTGGTGCATCCAAGCGCACAGATGACTGAAGGCTGGCAAGAGCTGAAACAGCCAACATGATAATGGGCACGATGACGAAGAAAACGACGAGCAAAGCGACAAGAAGTGGTGTGGAGAATAATTGGTATCTCTTAAAAATACCACCGTCAGAAAGAGTGGAGTTATCAGGAGGGGCGAACGTTGAGTCGAATTCAGAAGGGGGAAGTAACTGACGGCGGTGCTGTTCAAGTGGTGATCCAGTGTACAAAACCAGGTGGCTCGTGAAAGCTGCGTCGATCTTCTCGATTTCGCTAGAAAGGTATTGATCTGGCACATTATGTGTGAAGTAGATGTAATTCAACTCGGTGTGAACTCACCATAACCCAACATGGCCGCCTTTCGGAATTTCGGGCTACCCTCCATTGCTGGCATATTGACGCATACGATGTGTTTGGAGCTTTCGGCCAGGTCTAAAGGACCATCTGCTGGACTAACATTGGCCAAAGTCGAGCCACAGCGCCTTGCCAGAGACTCTGCGATGTCCTGGAAGGAAGAAGAGGCGCTACGTTTCACATGTGGATACTGTCTTGATGAGGGCGCAGAATTCAAAATGGAAGAGAGTCCAGAAGTAGTGGGTAATCCTCGAAGGTCAGAACTACGGAGCTGCGGAATAATGTCAGTATCATAGCCAACTGGAAGGCTAGTACATACACCTGGCTGGTCTATTACTAGAACAGTATCGAAGGAGCAAATATCTTTTGGCGACAGAATTCCGCCAACTATGCTCACAGAATCTTCGTACCGTAAGTCTGGAGATAGACTGTTTAACACGGACGAGCTGTGCCGAAGTGAGTCCCGACAGAATGATTGGTAGACAGCTGACACAAACCTTTTAGATGACCATGCTACAACTGGAACTGTGTCCGAGTATCCCAGCACGCCGACTACAGGGAATAGAGCCAAGATGGCAGCGCGTCCAGCCATGAAGTTGAAGTTACTGGTTATGATATTGAGCCTGAGGAAGCGCGCGGTAGCCTGAACTTGAATTACATAAGCCAGGCACGTGAAACTGCTGTTCAGCTTCACCTTGGCTTCACCCAGCAAGATAACAGCTAACAGTCATGGCCACTATTCCTCCTCAAGCGAGGTCCAAACAACTCCGAGCATGCTTACTATGTTCTATCATTCAACATCCCATGGATTTTCGGAAGAACGGTTGTCCAAATTGTGAAGAGCTCATGCAGGTGTTACGAGGTCATCGCAAATCCTTCCAGTTTTCGCTGACGTCCTCTCAGATGAAAGGTTCCCCTGACCGCATAAGTGTTTGCACCACCACATACTTTGATGGTATTATTGCTGTCATTGACGCAGAAGCAAGCTGGGTTGCTCGATGGCAAAGAACATGCAAGTTTACGCTACTGTGAGCTTAGATGCTATGCTGATCCCTGATTGCAATCTGTTTCATAGCAAAATATGTTCGGGGAATGTATGCTGTCCGTGTAAAAGGTCGTATTCCTGAAGATGTAGAAGCCGAGCTTGAGTCCCGTGGCATCAAGTACCGTCCAAGAGACCAGAGCGATCAGGATTAGCATGTGTATTGCATTTCATGCTGCAGTCCAGTTTTGTCACAGTTTACATTAGCTTTGTCGCTACCTTTAGTAGCAGAATTAATAGCCAGCATAGATCTTCGATATGCGCCACATTGTTCAGTCTCAACAGGTTTCAACGCATTTGCTGTATTACACAACTCATTGTCACTGGAGCCAGCACCCCAGGTTTCTCAAAATTATTCGAGTTGGAGACCCATGATACGTAATCCGCAACAGTGCCCCAAAGATTGCAGAGGACCTTCGGTGACCGTTACGAGCTCTGTACGGTAACCCGAGACAAGATCCAGCAATTCACGACCACCAAGCATATATTAAATCAGAATCGTATGATAATCCTTGGCAGAGTATGTATACAATAAGGTATCAATTCATAACCTTATACGGTGGCCAGTGTGTATGGATACACCTGGAAGGATATCAGAATAACAGTCACCATAGCCGACTAAGCTTATAATGCTGGGTAAAAAGGGGTATGAGGACTGGAGGTAATCAACAATAGTCTGCCCTTAGCAAGTCCTTGGTAATAACGGAAGAAAACTAGATCAAAGCAGCTCATGAAGGACTTGGTCATATCGATGAGGCATGTGTGACCTAGAAAATGGCGTGAACATGACATCTAGCATCACGGGTCAAGACGCACCTAAGCATATTTCTTGAGAAAACTATTTGAGAAAATACTTTCTCAACGTCCAAGACCTCGAATAACCTTAATGTTTTGTCGGGATACTTATTGGGCTCATGCGACTGATGCGAAGGGTGCAGGTCGCAGTCCCTGACAGCCCATAAGACGCGACCAGGTGGGAATAGATCAGTCATTTGCATGTTTGCCTCAAGGGTTTTCCGCATCGACAGAAACTACATCGCACATTAATCCGGCCGATATTGTCACGTTGTGATGCATGGAACATACCCAATGAGGGTCATCCGACGACCCATCTCCAGCCTTCCATCGCTTGATTCTATTAGTGATGACCGAATATCCTTCTGTGCCACCATTCCGCTCATTTGCATCACACAGCCAGAGGGCTGCATTACGAATGTCCCGGACAGAACCGAGTGACAGTCGAGACACAATGTCATCGGAACATACAAACGATGTGACCATTTTCGACGCTAATCGACTAAGCGCAGCATCCGTCAGACAACTAGGGGGATTCAGAAAATTATGTCCCAGTCGAATAAGATACATAACGTACGGAGGTCCTATGCAATAGACAGATACATTGTGATCCGTTGGCAGGCCGCTTGAAGGCACTGTCAAGCAAGTTGCAGGGTCCGCCCACATCTAAATGGAATGTGTCAATATGAAGCAATTGCAGTTTCGTCGCGTTCACCATAGCCAACAGAACCGCGACACCTGCTCCCAGACTATGCCCGCAAAGTATGAGTTCTGGTTTGCGATCAGTTGTGACAAATATCATTAAAACAATTTCGATTACCATATCCTGGATTGCGAGTCAATGCATCCATGACAGCCACATGGACTGGTTTGCCAATCTCGCCCATCACACGGGCCATACGAAGCATCCCTCCATGAACTTGGTACGTGGGCTGTTTATCATGCGAAGTCGTCGAGAGAATAGACAAACGCCTCCGATGGGTCCTTCTACTTGACCCGGGGAATGGTATACTGTCTCCAGTGTCTTCCTGAGACGTACTGGACGCAGGCTCGAATTCTACCGGATCGCAAGTCAAATCAACAGCGAGCTCGTTAAGTGACATTGTGCCTGTAAAGCAATAGTAAGCACAAGACGAATAACTTCTCTCCATACGAAGCTACCTCGTAAGACAAGCACGACCTGGCGTCTATCGTGGTCGGTCAAGACCCAGAATCTAGGCATCTGACGCTCTATCCCGACAACAGCCGTTGCGCGAGCCCTTGCCTGTATATTTGGCTGCTCTATTGCCTCCCCATGCACCGACCTCTCGAAAATTTCCTTGTCATGCTTGCCCATCAATACATCCCACCAAGAGTACTCCAGATTGTCAGAGGGCATTCCACGAGACGAAGAATTTCCTTTCATCTCATCTTCCGCTGCATTTACAGCACTCTGGAGCTGCGCCTCTTCTGCATCCTTTTCATTACGTGTGGTCGGCGGGTTTAAAGTGTGGGATGGCGATGTCAGCAGCAGAGGTACTCCAAAAAAGAGTAGACTTGCGCCGCCATAGCCGGCAAGAACCATTTTGGAAAATCTTCGCAAGTTAGTCTTTAGCTCAGCTATAGACTTCTGCGGTAAATCTATGCGCGGTTCTTTCCACCTAAAAGAAGATATGGACGACATTGACAATCTCGACAGGACACTCGGAGACCTGGAGCGGGTGTGAGACTGCGCGGATGCCTCTCCGATGTCTGCAGATATTAGCTGTCCTCGATGCCCCGGGAATATTACGTCAGACGTTACTCGAATTCGTGAGGATGTATGTTTGAGATGAGGGGCGGTGGACGGGTCATGAAACTGAATCTCGCGAAGGTACGGGAACCAACTCTGCTCTTGCCACTCGTGGGTGACGCCTTGCAGAGCCACCCATGCAACCAAAGCTCTAGCGACCTCTGTTATTCCGTACCTTCTCCCTGGGATATGCTCGTGTGAGCCAGGATGGTCCCACTCACGCTTTACCAAGTCGATAAATGATGCCAAAGAGAAGGAGGCTTCGCTGCTGCCAGGGAAGATGGTGGAGAGCATATCGATGGAACTATAGGCCGCTCGTAGGGAAGCTGATGAAATATACTCCCCAGCATAGATGGGAGCAAGAGTAAGTTTCTCGGCGAAGGTGATAGCGCTCGCGACCGCGCCTTCTAGGACCGGCGCAGCGACCTCACTCCCACCGAATATTGCGTGATCGAGGGCGGAAGCGACCACACCCACAACACTGGACGCTGCATCTCGAGCAACCGAGAACTATGGAGTAATGTGAGCTCTGGCATCGTAAATTTGGCATTATTCGGCTTACTCCCAGTCGTGTTGTACCCTTGACAGCGGTGAAAGCAAGGGAAGTCGCTGCTGAAGTGAGGTCAAGACTTCGCCTACCAAATCTCTGCCAGTCATAGTCCATGATTACTGGTGAGAAGGAAGGATATCTGTGGGCAGGGCAAGTCCATGCCTCAGCTGCTCAGGTAAATAACAACGTCAGTTCCAGATCAAAGGAAGCAACACAAAGCCTGTGATTCTACAAGATCCCGAATTAGACTCGCCAATGACTAAAATGGCATATTTATAAAATATTATAATTTGCTCGACTTGCAAGTACTTAGCGCTTAGCTTCCTTCATGTGCTCCAGCTTCCGCTCGTTGCTGCCAGGTCTCCGCACAGTCGCTGCAAGATGTCCCCGGTCACAAATTTGCACGTCCTTGAGAACATATGCTACCGAAGCAGCGCCGGATTATGACCACAAGCCCTCACATTATGGCCAACCACTCTTTCAGTCACACCCCCACCTACGTGAGCTTAAACCTTCTAGTTCACTTCCTATACCGTTATCAAAGCCAAGACAGTCAGGCCCAATGAACTCACGCCTGGGATTCCGTCCGAAGAATACGAGCGGCGTCGGAAAGACCTCATGGATAGCCTACCTAGCAATAGCGTGGTAGTTTTGATTGCTGCACCTGTTAAATACATGAGCGGAAGTATGTGAATATTCTATTCTTCTTCTTTCAATACCTTGAAATTCGCTCCAAGGTATATTGTAGGACTTTATCAAGTCTGCGCTGATTGCTTGCCTAACATTATGGCTTCAAGTTACAAATACCGCCAAGCCTCTGACTTCTGGTATCTCACTGGTTTCGAAGAGCCCGATTCCGCTGTTGTCCTAGGTACGGAGTCACTTTTTTTTCATTTGGCCTGGACTTACTTCCTACCAGAGAAGAATGCGTCTTCTCGAGGATATAGGATGACACTGTTCTCGAACGGGAAGGACTCTGCGAAAGAGAAGTGGGATGGCCCAAGGTAAATTCCGTGACTAAACCGATGTCCTGAAATGATATCTTTTTCAGGACAAGCTTTGACGATGCTCTGAATGTTTTTAAAGCGGACGACGCCCTTACAATTAAGGCTTTTCCGACTCAACTGCGATCTATGATAAGCCTTTACTCTAATGTTTATATTGACCTGCCCCAATCTCAGCGCAAAAATGTGCGCTCAACCAAGTCATTGCTTCGGTACCTTTCGCCTCCTGTCAATCCTCGGTCAGAGTACGAGACTGTCGTGGAGTCATTGTCGAGCTCCCGGCGGAAACCTCTTGCTCCTCTCATTGCCCAATTAAGAACGTTCAAGAGTGTCTGCGAGCAACAAGTCATGAGAATGGCTGCTGACATTAGCGGCCGCTCCCTTGCAAAGGTCATTGGTTTCCTGAACCATCACTTGTTATTCTGACATGATACCTTTTCGTCTGGAAGACAATGCGCTTTACGCGACCCGGCATCTCAGAAAGTGCACTAGCAGCTCATTTTGAATATTTGTGTAGTCTGTCGGGTTCACAGCGCCTTGCATATGTCCCCGTTGTTGCATCTGGGTGAGTCATATTGGCTTCAAATGCATGACATTGGGGTCTTTAATCTGCGGTACAGGCCAAATGCCCTCATCATACACTATACGTCAAATAATCAAGTTGTACAAGATGGCGAGATGATTTTGATGGACGCAGGATGTGAATACAAGTAAGTTATTATTTTATTGGATTCTTTCTGGCACACTAACACTGTTAAGCGGTTACGCGTCTGACCTCAGTGGGTGCTATTAATTCTGCTTTCAATGATTTACCCGTATCTGGTCATCCTTAAGCTCGCACATATCCAGCCAATGGCTCCTTTACACCTCCGCAAAAGGAGCTATATGGCGCGGTGTTGTCCGCACAGAAGGCTTTGGTCGGGTTATGCACGGAGGCAGAGGGATTGAGTCTTCATGATTTGCATCGAAAATCTTGCGACCTCCTCAGACAGGAGCTGAAACAGATAGGGTTTGCTCTCCATACAGGAGACCTGGAGAGAGTTCTTTACCCTCATTTCCTCAGTCATCCGATCGGGATCGGTACGTGGGTTTCTACTACAACTGTCTAGGGTCCTGATGCAGGGATTTTCTAGATTTGCATGAATCATCGCATTCAGACAGAGGAGAGCTGTACGTGGTTCTTGTAGTTTCGTCTTCGTTAGATCTAGAGTTCATCATCCATTCAAGATTGAAAGCCGGTATGGTTATTACTGTAGAGCCAGGTACGTGTTCTGTGCATTATATCAATAATGGACTATTAATCTTGACCGATATTCAGGGATATATGTTCCGCCTACCGCTCAGTTCCCAAAGCACTTCCATAACATTGGCATCCGGATAGAGGTTGGCTAGGAGATCTGTATTCTCCACAGCTCTACTGACATACCTTACAGGACGAGGTCCTTGTTGGCGAGAAACACCCCGTGGTTCTCAGCGTTAGCGCACCAAAGGAGGTTCGTCCTAATCTCTTCTCCTTGCCGGACAAACTAAAGCCGCACACATATTTAGATTGCAGATATAGAGGGTGCATGTCAGGGACTGTTGGGACTGGAGCCAATTTGAGGCTGGATGATCATGTATATCTACCCCTAGACCTCGCATTACCTGTGTGCTCCCGTACGGTGCTCCCAAATAACATCACTCGTCCTCCGGATGATCGTCCGTCTCAAATGCCTTGAGTATCTGATCCTTCCTAAGCCACTTTTCTTCAGGAGTGAAGTACCAGCTCAAGAAAGCGAAAATGGAAATTGCGCCAAAGATGACAATGGACTGCCAGGATGGTCAGTGGATGAATTGATGAGCACGGGCTGTAAAACTCACGAAATTAAATGTCTGGGCGCTGACAGGGAATTCAAATGGCGATATATCAACCTAGCACCAACTCAGTTCAAGTCAGGTGTCATTGAGTGGAAGTAGCGCACCGCAAATACCAGCGCGTTAAATAAGACGGCGCAAATATAGAATGGCTTAGCATATTTTCCCAGCCTGAAATGAGAAGACTGGAAACGATCAGGTGTCATCGTCAAGCGCAGCAAAGCGATAAGGCCATATGCTGCAATGGTCGGGACGGCCCCCGCCGAGACCAACGATGTGAATGCCACCTGACTGGGAAGGATTGTGCAGAGAAGAATGGCTGCAAAGATGTAGATGACGGTCACTGCATTGCGAGGTTGTCCCTTGGAGTCGATAGTGCCGATCCATCGGGACATTGGTAAGACTCCATCTCTTGCGACTGCGAACACAAGGCGTGAGGACGCGACAATAGCGACAGTTGTGTTCTAGCACGCCAGCTAATGAAATTCACGATTATTTTCAAAGAGGGAGTACGCACCATGATGAGGCCAATGACCGCAATTACAGTCATAATGATGCTGGCCTTCTTTCCAAGAGCGAGCGCGTATATCTGGACGAATGGCTGTGGCGCATCGAGGGCGAACATAGTGTCGAGGTCTGGTGTACAGAACAAAAATAGAATGGTCGTGATGAAGCCCAAAACACCGGTTGCAATTGCGCTCCATAAAATTCCTTTGGCTGCAACCACACTGCGAGAAGTCAAACAAAGGCACCATTAAGACGTTGTAGAAGGCCATACCTAGCATTCTTGGTCTCCTCAGCGATGTGCCCTGAGGCATCAAAGCCTGTCAGCGTCCCCGCCGTGAATAACCTAGAATTATCTCAGATAATTGCCTGATCACTGAATTGACAATTGACGTACAAAGATAAGAGCCAGTTCCACCCAGCTGGGGCTCCCGTGCCGTTATCTGTCGTAAATTCAGCATGGCTAAGGGCGTTGGCAGAGTGAACCACTTACAGGTCATCGTGAAGACATCATTGGCGGACCGGAAACCATACGTGTTCGAAACACCAATGGGCAACCAGATGAGACACAGGAAAAAGTCGAGCATCATGAGGCCGAGAGAAAATTTGAAGACACCAGAATATAATTTGGGCGGAAGGTAGTTGATAGCCACTGACAACAACAGCATTCCTTCGGATATTGCCCAGATGAGAGCCCGCCACCGGATATTGTCATTTCCAACACCTCCAGGGAAGTCGATCTCCCAAACAGCAAGTTGAGAAACGATATAATTGGCTGTGGTCTATAAAATTGAGAATTGGGTACACCGTCATCTTGAATGACATACTTGGCAGTTGCTCGCGGTAAAGGTCATCCATGCGGTACATGCCCACCAAGCAACGAGGAAGCCGACGAATCTGGCATGTTTGGGACCAGCACTTTCTGCGGCCCATATGTAGATAGAGCCGCTTAATGGTAACGCAGAGCAGATCTCGGCGAGAACAGCAGCTGTCATGAACATGAAGACCATCGTAATAAGGTATGACGACCTGTGTTGGAGTTGGAATGCGCGAGTACAACATAAATCAACGGACAAACCATATCGCTGCGGGTCCTCCTGCAAGGAGTCCAAGGAAGAGAAAAGATCTACCGGAATGATGTTGGTAATAGCAGGAGTAGACAATGTGGTTAAATACCTGACGCCCCCGATAAAGTTTAGGGCAACAAAACTTGCTGCAAAGCTCTCAATCAAGTGCCAGCTGCGATGCAATTGCTAAAGCAGGTGAGATAGGATATCAACCAAGGTACACATATAGTCTCACCTGTTTATAGCCGAGTTTTTCCTGAAATCATGAAAAAATAACATTAGCACAAGACACATTACTCCTCGTAAGGAGTGCGAAAGTAAGGTGACACTGGGGGCTTCCCTACGCAGGTATGAGCGCTGTTCAGGTTCGAGCGGTGTAATCTCAACCCCTACTGCAACTCAGACGTCAGTGACAGCCCAGTGGCATCCGGGCTGTTCAAAAACGATTCCGAGTCATTTAGCAGTAGGGATACCCGCAGCCGTCCAGTTTATCACTATGAATCGACGTTACCGATTATTTCAGTGATGCCAAACGCGTCATTTCCTGCAAGGTCATTCCCTTCTGTCGTTGAAGAGCGAATTACCATCTGCAGGGCGTCTTTGTCTGCGATAGATCCACTTTCGCCATCAACAGCGACATCGTTCGTCTTCTGTGCTCCAATGCTGGAATGGTGGGACATCGTGGCAGATGAACTGGAAGATAACGAGGATAAAACTACGAGCGAGATGGTATAAATACACTTGAATGATTCGGTTATAACTCCGAAGCAAAATCACACAAAAAATCTTTGATTAAGGAACATCAATTGCCATGATCGATGTCATCTACGGACAACTTCCGGCCCGGCAGTGCGCTACCGACTGCCGCGCATCCTCATTGAATATTGAGATGCTGAGGTACAATATTTGAGCTCCCAGAAAAAAATAGTGATCAAAGAGGCTTACGGGTTTGAGAGCCTTGATGAGGAGCCATTCCTCAATGGAGACATCAGCCTTAAAGGATGTCTGGAAGTTGCTAATATTAGGCTTGAAGTCTACAGCATCATGTGCGGTCAAACCTTGAGAACATCAATGCTCTGTCTTGTGATGTGGCTGAAAAGTTCATCCTTTTCATCGAAGTGTCGGCCAAACATTTTTCCAGACTCGTAGACAGCATGTTCGATCTTCACAGCAACGCCAGCACCAGCTTGAGATTTCTTGACAATCTGCGGGGCCAGGAGTCAATGATACGATGCCAACAGCAGGGCAGAAACAAAGACATACATCGAATGATTTGTGATTGATCTCCAACGACGTCCTTGTTACGGAATTATGAGTAGTAGTACTTAAAAAATCTAAAATAAAGGACTTACACCTTTCCAAGGTCAATGATCTCTTTCTTCTGCGTTGTCGGATCAACCGTGACGACACAAATCGGAGTGCCCACCCTAAGAGTCCCATCCAAGATGTCAACTCCCAGGATAATGGGATCACGTTTACAAAAGGCAGCTATAGTCTTCAATCTGCAGGGCCACACGGCTTGCGGAGCTGCGTCTCGTCGCTTCGCCTCCATGATTTCGTTGTTGTAGGCAGTGAAGGCATCAAACAGATGGTAGATGATATCAGCTGCATGACGAATCAGAAAAGTCACCGCAGAGTAACAACAGAAACTGAAACCTTTGAACACTTTGATGCCCATTTCCTCAGCGAGCTTCTCTGTATCCTTGTCAACTGGTACATCGAAACAAAGAATAACTGCAAGCTCCTTGGCCTTCTCTAGCATTGAGGCAGCGCGCATGACATCTTTCTTGTGGACGGGACCGATATTAATCCCCGATACAGGGATTTTACTGACTTTCAAGAAGTCGAGTAACGCTTCGAGAGATCCTAACGTACTAGCCTGCACGCAAACTCCACGACCTGACTTGTCGACGGAGTTTAAAAGCGAGGTAAGGTCTGACATGACCTCGTCGAGCATAGCCTCCTCGTCATCGTCTGGCCCAACAACAAGGAGCCTTGAACCTGCAACAGCTTTATCCAGATCAGGAGCAACAAGCTTGACACCCAGTGCCGCCTTGACTTCTTTGTGGTGAACATATGCTGACTAGGAGGAAACATAAGTTTCACGCTGGAAACACCCCCAACAAAGTGTATACTTGCCTTTATTCGCAGCTCGCGAAGCGGTTGAGGTGTCAACAACGCACGGACCTGAGTAACAATCGGGCCATTGAGACCGCACACAATTATTTTGTCACCTTCGCGTAGGATACCGTTGGACAAAACAACATCAATCGTTGTGCCCAAGCCCTCTACTACCTTAACTTCGAGGACCGTACACTCCAGCTCTGAGAGGTACATCAAGCGATCGCTCATGCGTTGTTGGGTGAGGTTAACCAATAGCATGATCATGTCGGGAACGCCCTCCCCGGTGATGGCGGAGGTAGGTACCAGAGAAACATTGCGGGCAAAACTCTTGTTCTCGTAGTACAGGACTGCGTTCAACCCCTGTTCTGCAAAGGCGAGGATGGTCTTTTGTACGCGGTCTTCGAATTCTCGTTGCACAGATCGTTTTTGCTTCGCAAGTGATTCTTGGAAGGCACCATCGGGAGTTTCTTTCCATCCGTATAATCGGTCAATCTGAGAAAAGAAATTGGAACCAAACACCTGAGAATATTAAGTAGATCCACCTTATTGAGGGCCACGATGAACGGCGTTTTTTTATCTTTCAATAGCCTTAGCGATTCCAGGGTTTGTGGCTCAAGGCCGTGCTGGGATGGGCAATAAATAAAAATATCCTGAGCAGACAATTGGAGCGCACCATGATATCTACCACCAAGATCGCGATGTTGCACAGAGAACTTCCGCGACTACGCAAGTTGGTGAAAGATTCGTGTCCGGGTGTATCGATAACCAACAATCCAGGGATCTTGTATTCTTGAGAGTTGTCCTGCCATCATCGTTCAGACAAAAATAATCGTTATAGCGTTCAAGAGACCAGCCTTATTCATTACTGCAGTCTTCGTCTTTATGGCATCTAATGGGAAGTATGTGGCACCTATTTGCTGGGTAATACCGCCTGCTTCGCCTTCTTGTACATTTGTTTGACGGATCTGAAGGGGTAAGCCTGAGAAATGAAGGCATGCAAGCAACAACGGACCTTATCCAACAGTTTAGTTTTACCAGTATCAACGTGTCCGAGGATACAACAGATGGGACTGCGAAGATTGTCTTTACTGTTCACCGTAGGAGCAGCCGCGTGTATACGTGCTGAACTTGCATGGGCCTGTGCCGATCTCGCATTGGCCTGCACTGTCCCTGCATCTGCCTTTTCTGTCCTTAAATTTGCTTGGGGCGCTGTGGCGGGTGGATCCCGGTCGACTTGAACGCCAGTTTGGATTTCTGGTTGTTCTGGTTGCATCTCCTCCGATTCGAGACTCTCATCTGATTCATCCCCGCTACTTGCATCCCACTCATCCTTCACTCCGTCCAACTTGACCCCATCTTCAGCAGCGGACTCGACATGGGAAGGGGCGGAAGTCTCGAGGATGACATCTGGAGTTTCCGGTCTCGACTCAGGAGCAGGCGAAGGTGAGGCCTCCTTGGCAATAGGACCCTTCTTCTTCCTATTACCGGATACGACCTTCTTTGCCGAAACACCTGCTTGTTGTTGCAGCCCTTCAATCTGAACACCAGATGCAAGGAGGGCCTGCCGACGAAGTTCGGCGGCTGCCTTTTCTTCCTTCTGTTTCTTCGTCATGTATCGACCCTCCTTCTTGGCTAGCTCAAGCTTGGCCTGAAAAGACCTTTTAGCAATATGCTTGTAGGTCGAGATGCTGGATCATGCCTTTTCTTTCTCTTTCTTCCGTTGTTTCTCCTCTTCTTTGCGCTTTGCCTCCTCTTCCGCCTGTCTCTCCTCCTCCTCTATACGTCTCCGTTCCTCCTCCTCTATTCTTCGCGCCTCCTCTTCCAGTCGTTTCTTCTCCTCCATCATGGCTTTTAAGGCACCGAGGCCGCCTTTGGCCTTTTTTGCAGGTGCAGGAGTCGGGGCAACGGCAGGAGCGACATCCTCATCTTTCTTTCCTTTCTTCTTCTTCTTCTTCTTCTTTGGGTCCGTTTCTGCTTCATCACCATCTTCTACATCCTCGAGTGCTGCGGCAGTCGTGTTATTCGCAGGTGCGGGAGGTGGCGGAGTCGGGGCGGCGGCAGGAGCGGCGTCCTCATCTTTCTTGCCTTTCTTCTTCTTTTTCTTCTTCTTTGGGTCCGACTCCCCAACATCTGCTCCTTCACCGTCTTCTTCGTCGTCAAGTGCTACAACAGTGGCGTTACGTGCAGGTGCGGGAGTCGGGGCGGCGTCAGGAGCAACATCCTCATCGTTCTTCCCTTTCTTCTTCTTCTTCTTTGTCCTTTGGTCCGACTCCGGAAACTCATCCTCAGCTTGCGCGGCTTCGGAGATGGGCAGGCGATCATCATCAGATTTTCCGATCTTGTCAGCGATAACATTGTAGTTCTCCGCTGACACACCAGCAGTCTCCCTGAGGATTCGTTACTTGAGATCGGGCACATAAATTTTAACTTCAATGGGCTCACCAATAGTCATCATCGTTGGCTTTTCCTTTCTTTCCTTTGTTTTTTGGCGGCATGATTAATACGATCGCCAATCGCTTGTAGTAGAGAAGGATTTGGGCTTAGGGATGAACTTTGCAGACATCTAATCAGCGTCACGGGAAGGAGACTGCTCATTAAACAAAATAGGCAAGTATTTCTCACATTCGCCGCAATGCAGCCCGTCCTTCCCATTTATCAATAATGTCCATGCTGTGCCCCAGTGGTGAACAGCACTTCGACGAGAATTGAAGCACGCAAGTCACGGTTTACGACTTGAGTCTTGCATGGGTCACAATCATCAGGGTCATCTCTACCGCGTTTAGGTTACTACAGGTAAGATGTCAGGCTGCTTCTGCCCATGCTGTTTCACAGAGAAACGTTCAGGCAGGAAAATCATCTACTGAACCCAATTTTTTGGGTTCTCCCAATACTCGAAGCACGTCAAGCTGTTCTTTGGCGAATAAATCTCTTTGAATGAGCAAGACATGTTTTGTCATGTCCACATTGTCGAAACCCTCGCCATATGGACCCCCATTCCCTCCTTGTCGCAGCAAGTTCTATGTCTGCTATCGACTACTCAATCCACATGGAATTCAGGTCTGTCTTTGTTATCAGTGTGCGCAGCACTGATTCCGATGGCCAAGCTTTCGTGCGCACGATGCAAATATCGGTCATGTGGCTATATGCCATGTAGAGCGATTGAGCGAGTCATGACTAAGATGTTGCCTTGATCTTCGATTACTGCCGGTTGGCGTGATTCGTCGATGTCACACAGTGGTCGATGAGGATCAGCAGCACACGATCCTGCTGGGGCAACGCAGCATATCCTCACTGTCGATGGGCTTAAAGCGTCAACGACGTACATATAGTAATCGCAATTGATGAATTGAAAACCCCGGTTGATTTTCTTTGAGTCGATTGCGTTATGTCTTGAATTGACGCTGATGGAAAATCATGCGTGTGCCAGGACATCAAAACTTTCTGCGGAAAACTTGTCGAGAATATGTTAAGAAGACCATGTGAGTGATGAGATCGACCTTCGCAGAAGAATGCTGATGCATACTGTATTCTTCTACGACTGTCGGCCCGCAATGAAATATTCAACAAAAAAATCATGTGAAGAGCTGTATCTCTTCATACTCGACCTGGGATGTTCTATGATGTTCCATGTGAGTCAATTGTTTTTGTCCTCTGTTACATTGCAAACTACTGCATGCTGTCATTTATGTAATAATTTATTTCGTACCTCCCCATCTCCAAGGTCACGCTCCGCCCTTTATATTCTGACAAGTCATCTAGGGACGACCTTCCCGATGTTATGACACCCGTCATTCTTCAGAGGCCTTGGGAGTGAGACAACCAGTCTCCAATCGCTCGGTGCAGTCCCCAGCGACCCGGTGTGGTCTCCAGACACTTGGAATGTGTCCTGATTTTCTTCGGGGGCATAAGTCAGTGTTCCAGATACTCGGTTGTGCACTTCCCGCATGGAAATGCAATCCGTGTGAGTTCCGCGAGGTTTCGTGTGAGTACCTCGGTCTGCAGAGTACTACATACTCACGAAGAGACTGGCATGATGTTGTGGATGCTGTTGCAGATGGGTGCAGATAACTGGGCCTGTGTTACCCCCTTCGCCAAGGAGTGTATCTCGCCTAGAAGCTCTTTCATCGAATCACAGATCTCCATTCCTCCACAGATTATCGACTCACGATGGTCCTTGCTCCATCAGTCAGGGCTGTGACTCAGTGTTTCTTGACACGCAACAAATGTATTGTAAATCGTAGCATATGTTAAAGCACTTTGAGTGACACGTACGTCCTCATGCAATATGACAGCGAACAAAGAGCGCCTTTGTGGTTGATCATACTGGGGTTTTCGGTGGATCCGGACAAATAGGTATCTATGTAAATCAATTGTATATTACGACAATCTGCACCGCGATGGCCGCGATGGGCTTGCAATTGGGATGTTCCCCAAATTCAATATGAAAAGGCGATCGATACTGATGTCCTTAAACGGGTTCTATGTTGATTGACCGTATTTGCCAGCGGGTCCAGTCTGAGGATCCGATGAACCTTCGTGTAACACTGCTTGCTCCGACGACCAGTCAAAGTGTTACACCTCCATCATGGGTCTACTCACGATCATTCGTAAGAGCAGGCAAAAAGAAAGGGAGATGAGAATTCTCTTCCTGTACGCCATCCGCAGCTCTCCGAGTTTGTCCCTCCCACTCAACAACCGCCCAGAGGATTGGATAATGCTGGTAAGACAACCATCCTAAAGAAGATCAATGGGGAAGACATATCCAGCGTGAGCCCCACGCTAGGATTCAATATCAAGACATTCATTCACAGAAAGTGAGCCTGGTGACTCAACTTGGATTTTCTCTCCAACTGAGAGGAATCGCTTCTCTGTTTGATCGGCGTGGTGCCACGCGTCACAGTTACACTCTCAACATTTGTTAGTGAACAGACTTCCCTTATGCTTTTCTGGTGACGGGAACATCTTTGCTATCAGGGGATGTAGGCGGACAACGAACGCTTCGACCATACTGGCGCAATTACTTCGAACAAACAGATGCCATTGTTTGGGTGGTTGATTCAGGGGACAGAATGCGAATGCGGGACTGCAGAGAAGAGCTACACAATCTTCTCCTGGAAGATGTAACATATGTTCCTTCTGCTCATCAATAACACTGGCAACTGATCGAATTGGTAGCGGTTATCTGGTGCTTCTCTTCTTGTCTTCGCAAACAAACAAGATATACACGGCTCGATGTCAGATCTTGAAATCAGCGAGGAAAGCTTCCTTGCCATTCAGAGGGTCTCCAGAGTGATGCTGATGTTCATCCAGGCACTGGATCTACCTGGGATCAAATCTCACAACTGGAAGATTTGGTCGTGCAGTGCAGTCACTGGTCTTAATTTGATCCAAGGCCTGGACTGGGTCGTTGAAGATGTAGCTCACAGGCTTTACTACAGCTCGACTAGTTTCGCGTAATGTTTTTTCCATCTCGCGCGCAAGAAAATCTTGAAAACCTGCTTGTGAATGCTCTTCTTTCACTGAGACGCACCAGCCATGTCGATTGCGCGCCGAATGATGCACTAGGTCTCATTTCCGCAGCATGCAACGGAAAGTGCAACACCATTCTTTGGACGGCTCACATTATTTCCTTCCAGAGAATGGGCGAGGGCGTCGGGCGAATGACTTTCCAGCATGAATACGGCCTGCTGCCCGTATGGGTATAACCTTGAGAGAAGCAAGAATCCTCAACTGCTTCGCGGTATTCACTTGAATTTGTCTCCAGCAACGGCCCGTCGTTTCGATGCCTGAAAGTTCAGTGGTGTTGGCCAAAGAGCTTTAGATACCCGCTGTGATTCCAGCGTGGTATACAAGCCACATCTTTTCTGGTTAGTACTCCCAGCGCATGCGAATGTAACTGAACTGCACACGTAAAATTTGACAGAGTCTAACTTCAGGATTAGTGTAAGAGATTCGAGGGTGCGTATTCTCAGGGGTTAGCGAACCTTGAGATCCGTCGAAGCATCTTCAATGGTAAGACTGAAAATGTCAGTGCGGTTGCGGATGAAGCTTCAACCAACGATCCGAGTCGGCAGAATGACGCAGATCTACAGAAGGGGTCCCATCTAGGTACCGACTAACTACCTCCTACGTTTACCCATCCCCGCTCTACATAGGTTTAGGTGGAAATTCTCTTTTCCTGAATGAGACTAGAGATGTATGCTGTGCACTCCTGTGCATCACACATGTATGATTGCCATGAAATTTCTATCGTCATATGAGCCTGAATGACCCGGATAATGGTGCCTGGGCAAGAACAATGGGTAACCCACTCATATAAAGTTTTTGCGAGATGCACGGGCAAACTTGAGCGAACCTCTGGTAGGATTACGAGAACGTAAGACCGACGAACGCTCGGCTGAAAATAAGTGGATGAGCGTGTTTCAAATGTAAAGACTGAATACACGGGAGTTGAGACGAATCTACTGGGTGAGTGGAGACTCTGAGAAGCTGCGACATACGAGACTCGTTCTTGACGATCATTTGGCGATGCGTTCCGTGCTCGGTTCAGGGCAGTATGCAATCATATTAAAAACACGAGGGACCATCTATTATAGAACGTGACGCGGATGATCGATTTAGGCATGAGTCGGGTTTTGAGGTCAGGCTATGTACTAGGGTCACGGAGCTACATGTTGTTCTAACTGAGTTGGGGTGATTCATTGGAATGTAATGCGATCATCGTGCGCGGTAACCAAGTTGTGAAATGGAGAGCGAAACTTTGAATGTGGGTCCGAGAGCGATAGAGTTGATATGAGCGTCATACCGAACGACGTTTAGCGGGTCCGGTTTCGGGTGACCGAGTGCAGGCCGTTCCGACGCGCTCGCGGGTACGTAGTGACACCCCTGGCCAAGGGTCGCGACTCAAACAAACAGGGATGAAACCTGATAAGGTCTGAAATGCCTTGTTCGTGTCTAGTCTCAATGATTCTTTGGGTGAAACTTGTTGAAAGGTGAATAGGTGAAACTTTGTGGGTGATTGACAGCACGTGATTTGTAGCGAATAAAAGCGTGTGACGATTTTGTCAGGCACTGTGCAACGGGCGTGAGTATGATTTTATTGAACTGTGGGAGCCACGTGTTGTCGGGTATTACCGACTTCCTTATTGTTTTACATGTGGGTAGTGTGTGTACATTGTTTATCACCCTTCGCGGAGTCAATAGTGAGTAAACTTGTTTCAAACATCCGGCAACGGATCTAAATTCTCCTCCTCAAGTCTTACTCCGTCAAAATTACCAGATCTCGAATCTCGATCCACCTTTTGCCAAGTTCCCGCGAATATACCCAATGTAAACTATCCAACATCTATTTTTGCTTGTCTCAGTCCACGATTTTCTCCAAGCGACAACATGACAAGGTCCTCCGTGGGTTCAACGTATAAAAGGGCGACACTCCGTCCCCCATTACCTCCTCAGGTTGCGCCGTCTGTACCTTCCCCCCCCTCCGATATCATATCTTCTTCTTTTTTTTCTTTAAAAAAATCCAATCTTGTTAAAAATGTTGAATGCAGCAACCTCTTCAGCTTTAACTTTCTCCTCAACGCCCAATTTCTATCGTTCCCCCTCATCATTATCCATCGTCCTACCGAATCCAAAGACCATCATCTCCAGTTATGGTTAGTCAATTCGTGTTACTTCTTCCTCGTCTCCGGCGCTGACACTCAATACTTAGCGCGGAGTTCGGTTCTTGCCGTCATGGAGAAAGCGATCACTCGCGGTCACTTGACAGTCGCTGATTCTGAAGGTGTTCATCACTTCGGTACTCGCTCAAAAGGCTCAAACGATGTCTACCTCAAAGTCATCAACACCGACTTCTGGATGCGCATTCTATTGTAAGTCACCTTTACATCTTCTTCGCCGCCCTAGCTAATAATATTCCAGTTCCCAGGATCTTGGCTGCAAGTACATCCTACGTCATACTTTTTCAATCATAATTAATTTTTATCTATAGTCAGTGAAGCCTATATGATGGGAGACGTCGAAGTCGACAGCCTCAAGGCTGTCATGGACGTAAGTCATCCCAATTCCTTTACTGCGCCTACTAACACATTCTGTTTTCCAATAGCTTTGGCTGGACAATGAGCCTGGAATGGACAACTTGACATCTGCTGTCTCTCGCATAACTTCGGCAATTTCCGGAATATCAAACGCGTTTCTAGGTCAGACGCGCTCAAAAGCACGATTGAACGCCATCGCCAGTTACGATCAGTCAAATGAGCTATTCAAGGTAATCATCCATGTTTCCATGCTGATAATGCGATCTCAACCCTCTTCTAGGCCTTCCTCAGCCAGGAAATGATGTACTCTTGCGCCCTCTGGACCGAGGCCGAAGGTGGTGTTCGTGGTGACTTGATCTCTGGTCCCACGCCCGGGGACTTGGAAGCCGCACAGCTTCGCAAAATTCGTTATGTTCTCACCGCGGCCAAAGTCAAGCGAGGTGACCGAATCCTAGAATTTGGTTCTGGCTGGGGTGGTATGGCCATCGAGGTCCGTTGCCTCATAAATTCTTATGCTGCTATTCCTCATCTTGTTTCAGGCTGCTCGCACTTTTGGCTGCGAGGTTGATACCTTGACGCTCTCAAAAGAACAGAAGGCTCTTGCTGAGGAACGCATCAAGGCCGCTGGTCTACAAGATGTCATTCGTGTTCATCTCTTGGACTACCGCGAAATTCCTCCCACTTTCGAAAAGGCCTTTGACGCGTTTGTGAGCATCGAGATGCTCGAGGTATGCAATCAGTTACCAGTGGTGGCGTCCTGATGATTGACGCTCGACAATATAGCATGTGGGCTCCAAGCATTACCACGATTACTTCAGGCTTGTCGACTTTGCACTCAAGTCCAGTAATGCAACCGCTGTTGTTAGTGCATCAACATTCCCAGAATCAAGATACTCCGGCTATCAGTACGTTATTTTCGCTTCTTAATCCCCACACGCTTACCCAAAGATCCAGGCCTGAGGATTTCATGCGCAAATACATGTGGCCCAACTCCTGCCTCCCTAGTGCCACGGCACTTATTACTGCCGCTAACACCGGTTCAGAAGGGCGTTTCACCCTCGAAGGCGTAGAAAATCACGCAGCTCGTGAGTATTTTTCGCGCTCCACAACACACGGTGTTCCTAATCCTTGTGTACGTGTAGACTACCCACGGACACTGCGCGAATGGGGACGTCGTCTTGACGCCAACGTCAGACAGGACTTGATTGTCAAAGACTACCCTACCTTAAAGGACAAAACCGAATTTGATGCTTTCCGCCGCAAATGGCAATATCTGTTTGCATACGCGGGCGCTGGTTTTGCTAAAGGTTACATCACCTGCCATATGCTCACATTCACCCGTCCAGTAAGTTGTCGTTATCCTGTTATGGAACATTCTCTAATTACATCCACAGAATGACTGCCCCATCACCTGCGATTGAAATCATAGTGCTTCATTGCCCGTTTTCTGAAGCAGGGATTCGGCTGCGGGATTAACTCTGGAAACGGATCTCATAACCATCGATGCCTTTGCACATAGAGCCCCGTGCACATTACTACTTTATCCTTTCGATTATTATGCTGATAATCTCCTCTGCTTATCTATTCCGCTCAAATGCGCACAATTCGTTCTAGTCTACTACTGTATCAATATGTTGCATAGATCCGCGACTATATCTCGTTAACGTTAACTTTTGCATCCATACACCTTACAACTTGTTGTCTGTTACTTACGTACAAGAATACTATTTGTTTTATGATCCATTGCCCTTGGTTTGACAGCATGACTTGGCCGCTGCTGGAATGTAAGGAACTTGTTCCGAGAAGGGGTCAGAGGAGCTTGCTCCCCATTGGTGGCGATTTAACGGGACAAGTCACCCCTTAATGCTAACTTAGTATTAGCACACAAGGTGAGAAAGATCTCGTCCTTTGTGACTACACAGTCTGCCATCTAGAATCTGAGAGAGATTGAGATTCTGTCATTAACCTTTCCATCATAATAAGAAGAGCAAAGGTGTGAACTTTTCGAAAGGCACTTCTTCAGCCATGCATTGGCCGCCCTGATAAGTCGGCGACAGTCGGTCAGTCACATTGTCATGTCTTCTTGCAATGCCGGCAGACGGTGATTGTAGTTCCAGGCTACTCCTGAACTTCTCAACAGGCACGACGGATATCGCCACCAGGAATGCTTGAACCGTTCCGCTCGCTGCCGTATACGTAACAGGGTCATGGATGTGCTTGTGTCGACGACGACAACAACAAACACGGACGAGGCGCGGCCTTTCCAGATGCTAAGTTTAGGTTTGAACGTTGAACGTCCTTCGTGGAACTGGCCGCCACATTGTGTCAATGTCCGCCCTGCAATAATTGATATCAGGCTCCACAGCCCCTCTCCGAGTCACCCGATTCCACCGCGAAATTATCGCAGATATTTGGTCGTCAACGCATCTGACAGACGCTCAAAGCGTAAACAGCCGTATAAAGTTTGCGGATGTAGGCTGTGCCCACTGGCAGCCTGGCATAATCGCATGGTTCTCCATCAACCGATGGCCGCGTGAGATACAAAGCGTTCGTACAATCAGTGTACAAAGTGATGGTGCAATCCCAGTGAACGTTAAATGTCATGTCAGAGACGGGGAAGTTACAGTTATGTAGCGTCATTATCCACATGCTGCATAGTTCATCTTGAAACTTTAAATGGTGGATAAAAACTTTGCCTTATGCGTGTGACACACATATGGCTGCGGTACCGGTGCCAGAATATTGTCCTGTGTTTGCAAGAGAAGAATTTTGCCTCCGACGCCCCTGGGATGATTGCAATATATGGTAAGTTCATTCGCTGATGGCGTGAGCTGTCTACAAGTAGCGGAGGGAATAACATACGTAAGGTATAGCATAAGAGACAGGTATATGGCGAACAATAAACGAACAATGAGATGTGAATCCGCAACATGGAAGCAGCAATGCTGCGTGGTATATTAGATGGTTCCAGTAGGGTCAAGCTTTGAAGTCCATGACTGTAGCTCCTTCAACGAGGGTGCAGCGAGTGCGTGCGAATTCGCAGTAGTAAAGAGTGTAAAAGAAAATTGTTTCTACATGAAAGCTGAGCATGAACGCATCTGAGATGTGAACAGGAAGACTTACACCCAAAAGCAGCTCTTTCTGTGCATCACATTCAAGGTTTGCTCCGTGAAGGCTGATAAGACCGGCTTCCTCCAATTCGTTGGAGTGTGTATAGATATGTAAATAGGGTCTAAATCAACCGTAAGCAGTGTTCTGCATGGAAAATTTGTTGGAACTGATTACCTTCGAAGGACAAACCAACGCTTTTCCCAAATATTTTGACTGGCATCTGTCAGAATCATGAGATGACCTCTTTTCGTGGGTCCGTCACTATGGAAGAGATTAGAGTTCAGGAACATTCGTAAGCACTTGGATAACCAGGAGCTTGCCTGCGGGGCACCAGCGTAGCGGAGGAGTTCAGTTTTACGCCTTCTGGAAGTGTACGGGTGGAAGGCTTCCCAGACGCAACGGCACAGTCGGTCTCTGTAGGCACTTGACTCAGAATGATCTGGGAATAATTAACGTCAAACCATGTAAAACCGACTTGAACCAGCTTACTTCTCCTGCATGGCCAAAGCGTTTTTGCCAGAGTCCCAGTGCCTTCCGCAGCAGTGCTTCCGAACCCCAAACAGCAGCTCCCGGGTCAGGGCGCGCAGGTAAAGATGAAGACGCCGACAGCACCCGAACTGCTTGAACATCTGCGGCCCGTCGCTCTGTTGATACAAGCCGGTTGTAGTCCTCCACAACTGAGATACCACGCGGTTTCCACGTGCTCAACAGCTCCTCGCCGCGCACGTATTTCTCTGATGTATCCAAGCGCCACAGATCCTGAGGCGAACGTGTCAGAGGGGGCGAAAAACGCAGGTTGAAAATTGTGCTGATACGGGAAGTGATTTTCCCTGAGCTTAGGAATGATAGGAGTCGGCTTGGCGGGCGGGCATCCCGTGTCTGAATGGCGACTGCTATGTCCATGCTGAACTGTACTGGTTCACTGCACGTGTCCACGGCAACGGACCAAGCAACCTGCAGTATCACTCGGTGTGCACTCGCCGTGACTCGATTGAGCAAGAGAGAATCATGGACACTTGAGTCCCAAAGCGCTTCCGCCATGAGGGTTCCCGTGCCATCCGGCCTGAACGCAACACTTTGATCTGCCAAGAGCGGGAGCGTAACCATTGCTTTCGATGTCGAGTTGTGCTGGCGACCTTTCGGATCGAGGAGGCGGACATTTCCCAGACGTATTCTTGTTACATCTGTCCATGGGAGTTGCGGTCCGGAATCTGATGAAAGCACGAGGGCAATTCTGCGCTGTAGCCCCTGATGTAGAGAGAATACCCCCGGATCGAGGCTGCCTTGGGAAAGCACGGGGACCGGAATATACTGACCGTCAGCCCCGAGCTCCTTTATCTGGACCCAAGCGACTACGTCATGGGCTTGCTCCACTACGAAATCGTTTTCCGAGCGACGCATCTGGGGAGAGATAACTCTGCGTGTGTCTGTGTGGACCTCGGGAGGACCTGGCCAGTCATTGACCCTAAGTTCACGCATCTCATCCCAGCGTTCGAGACGTTCCAAATATGTGGGTTTAGCAGCCGCAAAGAACTCTATGGGAGCGTAGCCTTGGCGCAAGTATGTGATTACCTTGGAAGAAGTCACGATCGAAAACGTGCGGCGAAACTTTAGCTCCGACAGAGAAGATGTCTCCATATCGAGTGCAGTGGATGAGAATATCTCTTCGCTCGTGAGTGATGGTCCCACGAAAGACGATAAACGCAGCTGCAGGTGTAGTGCCGAGAAGTCGTGTGAGGATAAGCCTTTGATCGAATCTACGGTTAGGAAGAAGCTGATCTTGCTTCCGGGTGGTATGACCGATGGGGCTGGGGATGTCGGACGGGTTGATGCGGGAGTACCATGCTTCGACGCTTGCAGAACACTGGAGATCTTGATATCCACGCGACACGAGCCTATTGCCTCCGCGGTATACCGGCAGAATATTGGCACGACTGATGTAGATGATAGTCGCCGAGACAGAGGTGCAAGAGATAGGAGGGCATTGCCGATGAATGAGAATTGTGGAGGAGGGGACTCGTAGAAAGGTTCATCAGAGCTGAAGTGCTGAGTGTACGAGGGCCTGTCAATGTATGTGGTCAAGTTTCTCATTCGCTTGACTCGCTGCTGAAGGAGATCTAAGGACCAGGTATAGATAGCATTATGCCGTTTGTCGAGAACCTTGACGGCGATGGAAGGTTGGGTTGCTGATGCTAGTATGGGGTCGGCAACATCACCGAAACCGTCCAGACCTCCAATCGTATCAACACCAGATATCGGAGCTGCCAGGGACCCGCCAGAAGCAATGGTGAAGTTGTAAGAAACATCCTTGCCCAACTCTTTGCTAATTTGAATGAGACAGTTGGTACCAGAAATTCAAATGACCACGCACCTGATTACGTTGGCTTCTTTAACAAGCACGGCATTGGACAGAACAGCTTCAGCCATCGAAAATGAACGGTGGGCTCTCCACTTATCCAAGACTTTGCGAATGAGCCTTAACTGTCTTGCGGTATAAATGACGGGCTCGAAACGAGCAACCTCCTCCTCCTCAGATTCACCCCGGGCCCGTGCATGTATCAGGCGTTTAAGCTGTTGTTGCACCATTTTCAGCTGGTGCTCCATATGATCCTTCTCCACTTTCAAATCTTCCGCCTCACTAGACTCTGTGATAGCTTGAAGACGGGACTCGAGTTGGTACTGAACGTCCTTCAGGGGTCCGTCAACGTCAGGTGTACCATGACTCGCTCCAGCTTCAACGCTTGTGTCGTCCGTAGTAGCGTCACTCGAAAACGGTCGACCTGATTCGCTCCATATGTCGTCCCGAACGCTAAGGCTACTTTCTGGTCGCGGTTTAGAGTTGTGATCCCGCATCGACTTCACTTTTGTAATGCGTTCATATAGCCTGTTGATATCTTCGTCTGGTAGGTTATCAAGGGCAGGATCCAGACCAAGGCGGGCGAGTGCGGCTTCTCGACGTGCAAAATTCCAGTCTACATCAGCTTCGTCCGCAGAAGATGCTCTTGATTCCGGGCGCGTGGATGGTGGCACTGAATCGCCTTCTACATCGGCAGCAGACACACTCAAATACATGTTGGATCTCGCCGTGGCGCGGTCACGCTGCTTGCGGACTTCCTCGGGGTTATTGAACCTGAAGACGTGGTGCTCCCCTGAACGATACAGATAAGTTGTTCTCCACAAAGAGAAAATACTTTCGTACCAAGGATGATCCGGTATCCAGAACGCAGTTTGTAAGACTACATTGATGATGTTGAGTTTTTCTTTCCATTTTAAAAGCCAATTGATTCACCTGTCCAGGAGAAACTTGCTTCCCGTTTAAGAACTACAAACATGGTCAGAAGAAATGCAGCTGCATACACAAGACTCGATTCTCACAGTGACGCTCTCCGGCATAGCGTGGAGGGTCACTTTGCCGTCTGTATTCTCGAAGTAGCAGTGTTCCTCGAGGATATTTTCGCCGCTTAATCGAATAGCGGCAGGCTTTTCACTGTCCAAGCGACCGACCTATTGAATGCCAAATGCATATTTAGCAGAAAAGAGCAAGCAAAGAACAATCATACGATGGTTGTGCCAGGTTTGAGTTGGTATATCAAACATTCGCTCATGAGAGGATCTGATGAGATACTAGATCAACTCGTGTTCGAGAAAAACCTCAAAGCTCTCACCTTCATTCTGAAAAGACATGATAGAAATTTAAACACCAAGACTCCCCACAAAAAAAATGCAAAATTGACTGACCAAGTTCACTAAATGCGGCATCTAAAAACAAAATAAGTCCGGCAGATCAGCACATAACGCTCCCTTCACGAGTCCCATCCTCACCTTCTTCGGGGTATGTACGCCCACCAAATTCTTCTCAACCGTGATACCAAGCTCTTCAAGTGCCTTCTCCCGCTCTTTTTGTACCTCCTGCGTCCGAGACATCTTCTGCTCCCACGTCTCATTCAAACCCTGCATCAATTTCTCGCTCGTCTCCATCTGCTCCTGCAACTCCGCTTTGGTAACGGTTTTAATCTTTCCATCCTTCGTCTTGTACGTGACCTTCTGTTTCTCAGGCGGAACGTGCGGGTCGAATGTATCCTCTCCGCTGGACGTCGCCACACGTGCTAGGGAGTGTCAACCAGCTGTCAAAGTATGAGACGACGAAGGTTACCTCTAAGCAATTCGAGCTCCTCCTTGAGTTCGCGAACAAGTTTGGCATTAGGGTCCTCGTTTACGACAGCCTTGTTCTTGATCTTCTTCGCTTGGTCAGCGTATCGCAGGGTGCTCAGCGTCTCCTCATAATCTGCAGGAGAAATGGCAGCTATCATTGCAGTTTTGGAGTTCCCGCCCAAGCTGTCTTTCAGCAACCATGTCAAGACCTAGTCAAAATCTATAAATAAGTATCATCCGGAAGAAAAAAAGACGCACCGAGTCTCGGTAAGGTACGAATTCCTCTGCCTTTCCTTTCTTCCCCTTCTTCCCCCCATCCTGACTCGCAAGCGCAAGAGAAGAAATGACTTTCCCAAGAGTAGTGAGCGATTTATTAATATTCGCTCCCTCCTTCAAACGCTGTCCAGTGGCGCCTGTCGAATTAGCCCGCTCAGAACCTGCCAAGTCAACCAAACTGTATCGTGTCAAATACATAAATCATTGAACACCTATTAGACGACCGCAGCGCACCTAATTCGTGACACCTTCTCGGTATCTAAATTCGCGTCCACGTCGTGCCTCTTCATAGTCAACAACAGTGTAAATACTGCGTGGGACCGGGAAGAGGTCTCGTTCATATTTGTGGCGGCGACCGTGCGCGCTTTATTACCCTCATCCATGAGCGTCATCATCTCATGGTAGCTGCTCACGACTAGCTTCGATAGATCCTCTACGTACGGACCCAAGCTAGGATGTTCGCGCACTCGAAGGTTTCCTGTGTTTTTTGGATTCAAGAGGTCGCGTACCTTCTCGTTGTAAATCTACGGGTGGAAAATGAAGTGAGGACTGCGTTAGGGTTTAGAGCATGCAGCGTACCTCGATGTAGGACACCTCTACAGTAAAACTAATATTGGGGTCTGCAGCCCTCTTATCCTCTACACGTACAAACAGCTCCGAACATGTCAATGGAATTATTCCTTTGTCGGGTCCATCTAGTGATAATCCCTATTAGTGGCACGCAAGTCATTCATTTCATCATACGCACAACCCATCATACTAGACACCATTTCTCAGTATCATGCAACAAAAGAATATGCTTAAACACACCTATATGATTTACCAGATCCTGGTCAAGGCACGTGAGCCATACCCATTAACAAAATCAAACACACGCATACCAGTCTGCCCATCTTCCAGACCAAATCAGCATCAGCACACCCTTTCACTAATACACAACCCCAAAATAAACCACTTACAAGCCAAAATACAAGCATTAAATCCCGCAAACCCATGGTCCAACAACTCCTTTCCCAGGTCGTCATACAAAGTCTGCTGCGAGCAGTATCCCGGTTCATCTCGTGGTCCCGCAGACCAATAACTCCTATCGAAGCTAAAGGCCATCGTTTTGCGTTCCGTAGCGCGTTTGGAGTCTTGCTGTGAACCATGTTCTGGTGGGTCGATGAAAGTCTGGCTGCCCTGCATCCGGATGAGTGGTTTGGCGCCTCGTGCGAGCTCTGTGGGCGATAATTGGCAACGTTTGGATGAGTATGAACCATGCATGCGTATCCCTCACAAACGCACCGCGAGAATTGAGGGGTCTACATCGCACCACCACTTTGATGTTGCCGTCTCCTTCGGCCATGGTCAAAGTGGAGTATAAAGCAGGAGCTCCGAACCAATGGTTGTGAGTCCTGCACCAAGAAAATGATCTATGAGTGAGAAATGTCGCAAAAGATAGTTGTAGCTGGATTGGTGATAAAAGGAAGGGTATTGGTCTGCCGGTCGTTTAACGCGTTTGAGCAAGTCCGGAATTCACGTGTGGCTGACAAAGCTATTTAAAGGATCCGACTCTATCCTATTTCTTGCTCAGCCACTGTGACTTGCTACTCAGTGACAGCGATCAACAGGCTCATATAACATCGTCTTGGACGACTCATTCACGACTGATGGCTGACCATGAAGAATGGAAAAGAAAGTGATCGAAGCCCGGGACTGAAAGCATCACTCAGTTTACCTGTGAACGATTTGGTAACAGTGTCTCAGTTATACGTTGACTCTTCAAAGAACTAGTATGGCATGGACTTGACGAGGCTCGACTGTAATACCACGAGCTATTCCGATATCTTTGCTGCGGCCCTTGCTTCGTCACTGTCACGAGACACTTGTGCGCCCGCGAGGATGGAAAGATAATGACAGAGATGTATGGAGACCGTATGGGAAAGGGAGGAGGAAAGATTTAGAAGAAGATTATGACCGTGATGTATGAGAATGTGTGGCTCACATCTATTTACTCACTGGTTTGAGCTCGCAGGTATATATGTTTGATCCGCGCAGTTACAGATCATTTTAGGGTCAGCGCTTGACACTAAACATGGCATCGAGCTCATTCAACATCATCTTCGACGACATCTTCACGACCGACAAAGATGGCAAAAATCCGATCGAGGTTCAAAACTCCACGTCCTACATCATTTCTCTCATAAGATGTCGAAGATGGCGAAGACAAAGACCGTATGACATCCGGGTTTTTTTAAAAAAATTTTGAGCACTTGCTGTCAAGGAATGAGACGGTGCATCACTTGACTGGAGTCTCGCAGAGTCTCGTCCTCAGCTCTTGCTGATGAGTCCAGCGCGATTTATATCGCCCATCGCTAGTCCATTGACAGACCACTGTTTTCCTTCAGTCGCACACAACGGTACACTCGAGGGCAAGAATATCACCCGTACTACCCACATATTTACCTGCTTCACAAGCTTCAACTGTGTCCAGGGTGAAGACCGTCGTACTATACTTTTTTCATGTCCTTGGGCCGCCTTATCAATGCTCGATTGGTTCAAGACTACCGCACTTCTCAGGGTATGTCTCTGTTTGCATGGACGTTCGTAACCAGGTAGGTCGACAGCCCTGGGTCCGATTGTCCGATGCGGAGAGCAAAATAGGTTGAGCAGGGTAGTAGGTCTAGGGCAAAATCAGTGAATGGTGCCAAGGAAATGTTTGGTATGTTCCTTTTGTCGCCTTGTGTTTTTTTAGGTTGAGGCCACTGATATGTTACATGTGAATGCATCTCACATTCCACTAAAGCGTCTGGGGAGCTTTTGAGCAAAGGCAAGTCCTGTGACTCAAACCATGACTATAACACCCTACTATATACCATTAGTGCCCCTATTATTCTCTTGCGCAGGTACAGACACGTCTTCCGATTCTCTGAAGAGTTCTTCGCTCCTAACGCACACAGAAGGGGATCATGCGTTCCTAGCGCCGCTCTGAAGACAAGTCAAAGACATCTTCGTGGAGAAGAAGGCGATGTACAATTTCCAAATATCCAGCAGTATTTTGCATGGATTTGGGACGAGGGGAGATCCAGAATTTGAGCCCCAAAGTCAGTATTCGTCGCCTTTGCCATTGATTTGAATCTTCACACAACTACATTGTTGATAGGGTGGGCAAAGGAAGAGTGCTAAAATGCGACCATGGAATGGTTCAATCAGTTTACGAGTCACATGTTATAGATGCCGTGATTAACTTTAAGTGAAATGGCAATTTGTTTCGCTCACCTTGCAGATCAAATAGATTGCGGTACCATTTTTGGTGTGCTGAGGGTTGTCTCGAAGGGTGCAGCTTATCCCTCATACTCGATTATCCGGTAACCAAGTTTTTCGCGACGCTTCTGTGGAGGTCGATGATCAACGCCACTATCATACGCCATTGACGGACCATCGTCCCGAACGTAGATGCAACTGGATTATCGCCCATATGCACCATCATGACAATGTCCCCCACACTCGCCTCCGCCCCTTGAAGCAGCTGCTTCTCCGGTGTAAAACACACATGCATACCCTTTGGCCGCATCGAGGACCTTGGTGGGATCCAAACATGCATATCTGATCCTCCTGCTTTTGCTACAACACATAAAGTGATACTCTTCCTGTCAGACATCTGGGGATCGCTTTCGCGAACAATCAGTTGCTCCAGAATTATTTCGCGTCTCGCGGTGCGTCCTGTTTCGTCCGCTCGTAAATCATGCAACGAACGTGAAATGGACGGGGCTAGGCTATCTCGTCCTTGGGCCGGATTACTTCTTCGGCGACGCCGTGCCAAATCATCCACCTGACCGCGATCTCGATACGTGGCTTGCGAATGCACTGAAACCCGCTGTCGACGCGTCCCCGGACCAGAGGCCGTGAAAGCAAAATATAGTGTGTGACTTGTCCCAATCTCGCATAATTTATCGAGATATATTCATGAGTTACGCAGGGAATGAGGAAACCAAGTACTATGCTGTTGGTAAGTCACTCATACTCAAGATGACTGAACTCCGTCATCGCACCTCACTCTCTCTTATCATTGACTGAGGTGCGTATATTATTCCTACTCTACAGTACATGATGTTTACTGGTACTTTACCTCTAGGCTCGCGCTACTAGGTTCGTATTATAGGAATTCAGTCTCTCTTACCATTGACTGAGGCTCGCGCGACTAGCTCTCTCTAACACATTCATCATGGACTTGTGTTCGGACGGATCTGTAGTTGCTGGTACGTCATCCAACCCCTCTCAAATTGAAAGAAGGATGCTCACGCGAGAACTCTAGGAGCTCTGGCTCACCCCACATTCATCGATGAAAGCCACTTTGAGAAACTTGACGGTACGTTTCTCGTGCTTAATATATTACTGTGCTGCCAAAACTAAAGCACAATCATTAGATCACTGCAAAACCTCTTCTTCTCTCATGCGCAGGTAAAATTCCTTCATTCCTTCAAATACTCGCGAACGCTACTAAGTAAAACCCTGATTCATAATCCCATTCTCATATAGAGGAAGACCACTTATTCCTCTCGCCTCTCGTAGACGAGCAGAAGACATTTTGGTCGCCCGTAAATGCACGTATTATTTCCAGGTGTTTTCGAGCGTCAAGCATAAGTTTTCTGTACGAGGCGGTCCAGGCGCCAAGATGGAGCGTGAGTGGGATGGTCTAATTTTTTCAAATATCGATATTGACAAGGTACTGCATGTTCGATGCAGGCTGGGCAAAGGAGGAAAGTGCTAGGGGGGTCGTGGGCTCGTTTGATCGGTTTACGGTCTAGGTTTGTTATGTCGGGTGAAGTGAGATTAAGCGGTCACAATAGGGAGAACTATCACAAGAGCGCACAATGTAAAGTAGACTCTGGCGCAAAGAACGAAGTGCGCACATTGTCCTGTTATTTGGATCCGGCACACACTTGCCAGTTCCGCTTCCGAAAGATTAGACCCCTCAATCGACACTTGCAACGTTAAGTATATAGTAATTAAAGGTCCTGGCGCCGAAGTAGCTCCTGCCTGAAATGTTGTGAGATAAGTGGTATAGATGTATACTATATAAAAGTATACTGATCAATCAAGTTAAATAACTACACTAATGCCACTTTCGGGCTATCAACCATGAAGGATACATCAGTCTGCTTATATACACCGTGCAAAGGCTGCATAGGATATTGCCGCGAATTGCTTCGTTCTGTGTCAGTTGTCCCTCCACTGACAGCCGGGACGTAATGTTGATTGTTTCGACTAGTCGCGATGCGAATAAACACCATATAGAAGGTAATGGAGACGATCGGGACGCTCTAGAAGTCGAACGAAGCTCAGTGATTTGCGATAACAAGTAGCAGCAGCGGAATTACCATGTCACCCATAACATACAGCCCATTGTTCCCGAGGGCGAAACACATTAGTGAGGAGCAGAGCGCCGCAGAGTACAAGATAGCAGCATCTATAAGCACACGCAATATAGGCACTTTAGTTCTCGTGGCGCAAATTGCAGAGACCTCGCGTTCGATCATCCAGATGCGATATGCCAGTAATCCTAAAAAAAAATTCAGAGCTCAGTATCATAACGGGGCCTCAAAATCGCGCTTGGGCAGAAAAGTGCTTACCGGTACTTAACACATTGGTAGCAAGTGTGAAGGCAAGGAATGTCGCGACCCAATGTCCAGGCTCGCTGCTGAAGAAATTTTCGATGTCACTAGTCGTTGCTTTCGAAAAGTAGTAGACCGAAGAGACACCAAACGCTTCGAGAGAACATTAAAGCGCATGACTCTCTAAGTGTGATTGCAACCTCACCTCCGACACCGCACCACATGATGCACGGCAAGATGATAATCCAAACAGATTGCCACACGACGTAACATCGATAAATCTTTTGACAGAAAGGGTATTTCTATAAGCCACGCGGGTTTCAAGCTGGCGGAGAACAACCCGAACGCACCACCACTCCGTCACCAAGCAGAGTTTGCAACGTGTATATCGCATTCTTGGCCACAAATGTTCCTCTGTGAAAGTCTGAGAAGAACGCCATTGGACCTCCTGGGTACGTGTCACGATACTGTACCAGTCCAGCTTCGAGATGAATGATCCCTATGACTATGTGCTGGGAAGACTTCATCAGATGGCATCGCCAGATGAAAGAGTGAGAAACTAACCGCAGTGCTTAGTGCGAGCAGCAGGGTGGCAACTGCAGCGATTGGCCGATTGACGTCCCGCACGTTTTTTTTGTCCGTAAATGTCCATACGAAACCTATGAACATGAGGACGGAAAAGCCTGAAGAGCGCTAGCGAGTCGGTCACCTGGGAATGATACAAGCAAACACACTGTGATACGCACCATATAAAATACCTTCCAGCACTGATGACATGATGGCAGCGGTATCTAGGGGGATGCCTGATGGTACAGTAGACATGGCGAAAATGATGCCTGGGGAATTGATGATGGCGTGTGTCGTTTCGCCAGTGGAACCCATCTACATCGTTATCATATAGTAGAAATGATCGCCGAGCTTGAGATAGCATCACGTCAGAGATCGGCTCATTGCAACAATGCATGCTAGAGCGATTTTGGTGGTTTCAGTTGTTGACAAAGCCTGAAACGAGACCATGGACCAGCGTCCAGCATTTATCAGGCAGCTAACATCCTGTGACTTACTCCCTCGTGCAATATTTGCTATACAAGGTGCCCTAGTGTGGGCCTGAAACACGATGCGTGATGCTGGTCTCGGAGGACATGTCATTTTCTGTCGCATTACGGCAGTCAGAACAAGTTGAAGTTGTAAGAGGGCATAGCACCTGTAATCGATTTAACTTTGTCCTGCCACCTTCCATACAATTAGTAGTATTACAGTGACCATAACCAGAAGTAAGCATATGAATCGCACCAACTCTCCTTCAATATGCTCTGCCTAAGGAAGATTATTCAGCTTGCCTGGTAGCTAGATAGTATTGCACCGCGCAATACGAAGCTAGAAAACAAGCAGATGAGCTGGAATGATAATTTGTCGCAGCGCCTTGTTCGTTCCACATGGACGTGACTGCCATGGCAAATCTATTATTAGGTTGACGGGTGTACAAAGTGATTGGCGCTGTGCGGCTCGTTCGTGACAGGGATGTGTGGAGACTGGGGGAGAAAAAGCTTGGATGAAGATTATCACTTTGATGTACATGATCCGGGAACACGGTGCAGCTGCTTCTTGAAATTGTACAAAGGTTTGTGCTCGCAGCCTGCAGGTATATATAAGCTTGTTCGACACTGGAAGTCACTTCAATTCCGCTCATACCTACAATGTAGCACGACCTACGCCTCATTTGGTGGACTCCGTGGACTGGCTCATGTCGTCACTTGACCAATGCAACCCCGCGTACGTACTCAGACAATGATTGTCGGAAATCACGGTGATCTGCTTGATTTGGCAAGCATCGCATTCGACGCAAACAGGCGCTAGCCCCTGTGCATCTGCCCCTCAGGCCTCATGACCGCCTAAAAAGTAATTGTTTGCTGAATGTCGCAATTCATATTCGGGTCGACCCGCATACAAATAACAGCTCGCGTTGCAACGAAGATATGATCGATAATGGCTGTAGCAAGAACAACAAATCCGCACATGGTTAAAGAAGCAGCTCCTGGAAGGTCTATTCATAGCAGCGTATCAAGACCTCTAATCAGTCCCAACCCTAGCACAATCACGAGAATATGTGAATGAGTTGCGGCGTTGTTACGACTTTTATGCTGTGTTGTCGGCAGTCTGAATATGACATGCTTCGAGTGCCTGCCGTCAAAACAGCCAACAGAGCGGCACCGAGAATAGGTTGACCAAGGTAAGCGAGTTAAGGTTAAGTCCGCGAGGAACCGACAGCACGGAGGTAACACACATGACGACATCGACTGTGGACGCGTCGATGCGCGATCATAGTAGATCGTAATCGTCAAGCTTCGGAAGATGGTCAGAAATGGATGTGAATTCGCAGTCGATCACTCACCTCGTCGTTGTAGTTCATGATGGTTCTCTTCAACTTGGATGTATCGACCCAAGTGACAAAGTCTTCCATATGTCTGAGAGGCGGTGAGAATATGCAAACTAGATTAGTTTTGTGACACACCTTGTAACAAGAAAGGCAGGATCAGTGATAGTATCAGGTCCGACACGGACGTGACCCTGCTCAATAAATTTTGCAGCCTGAAGAAGTGAGCTGAGAGTGCAAGTTGAATGAGTCTGAACGTACTGCGCTGACTGTTTCTGCCATCTTGCTCATGCACATGAAAACGGCAAGACGACGCCTGCAAAAGGCAGCGACGGTGAGCTTGTTGTCTACGTCGCTCAGTTTTGCTTGGGAGTTGAGTACGCCCATGTCATATAGCTTTGAGAGTAGCTGGGACTCCATGCGGGTGCGAAACGGGTCCTGAGAGGGTAGAACGGAGAGACGGTGTGCGAATGACCTAAGAGCACCGCAGAGCTTGTTGTACCTGTGATGGTGAGGAATGATCGACGGAGGAGTTAGAAGGCTCACTTGTGATAATCTTCTCTGTCCTGGATATGGTACCTGCGAATGACTTTGATCTCACGAATATTTGCATCTTGTTTCCACTTTATGGCGTTAGCTGCTTAATCCTTGATTGAAAGAAGACTGCATACGTTTAAAAAGTCAACTTTCTTGAGCAATTTTTGCTCATGGTACTTGAATTTGCGGACCATCGAAGTCCAGTGCAAGCAGCTGGCTGTGTTTATAAAATTTTGATTCCGGTGATTGTGCTGTCAAGCACGTGGTAAACGAAGGCTGCGTGTGAGAGTCTTGGTAGTACTTGGACTAGATTCAAACTTGGACGACGTCGACTTGGACCCTTGTCGTCCCCCGACCAATCTCAATTAATAGTTAAGCTAGTCGACTTCATCGTCGTCGTCGCCGTCGTCCTCTAGCTCCTCATTGTCCTTGTCGTCCTCGTCGTCATCGTTCTACTCTTCCCATATCTTTGATCGTCATGAACGCTCAACCTCGACCTGACATGCTTCGACCACAGAGCATGTCACAACTCTCCATGAACCCCTCCCCTCACTTTCAACAACACCCACAGCAGCAGCAGCAGCCTCCTCTGAATCACGTCTCGCTCATGCCCACCAACCCAATGAATTTACTCGCACCCGGTCCACAATCCCAAAACAGTATGCCAAACACAGCATATGAGCTCCGTCGTCGTCACCACCAGCAGCAGCAGCAGCAGGTACAACATATGCAGCAGCAGCAGCAGCAGCATCAACAACACCAGCAGCAGCAACAGCAGCAGCAGCAGGCACAGAATGTTCAGATGAACACCGCAGCAGTAGCCTCACAAGCTAATTCTCATATGAATTCTATCCCTCAACACTCTCTACAATCAATCCCTTTTTCGGGCAACATGATGTCTCAAGCTGGGAACAATCTTGGTCAGGTCAGACGAGTCGCCTCTCATCCACAGGCGCTCAATCAGGTCAATCACGTCCAAGCAATCCATCCCGGTCAACCAAATATGCCAGGCATACCCCCAATGAATGCACAAAATAATATCCCTGCTCATTTACGCCAACCATCCGCTCAACCCATGATGTCCCGTATTCCTGGCCCAATTCCTGGGTCAATGTCACCAGAGTTGTCCATCGCTCTTAATCGCTCTCAAGGTCAAAATCAAATGCGAACTCAGTCATCCCAACCCCAGTTGATGAACAGTCTATCACAACCAACTGGTCTTCCCCAAGTTGGAACTCCTACAACCATGCCCCCAAATGGTTTTCCATCGCACTCGCACCATCCAATCACATCTTCTTCCCCTCGTCCTACAGGTCCTCCCCAAGGTCATCCCACAAATATGATTATGGGTACACCAGGTCCTTCACAACCCCCTGGAGCTCGTCCGATGAATCCTGGCGATGGAGTGTTCATGGGTATCCAGAATCCCCAGTACAACCCTGGCTTTGGCCCCGTAGGTAATCGAATACCGTCTGCCAACCCCTCCTTCGCCACTTTTGTGCCCACATCCAGCCAGGGTGACATGGAAATGCAGCAGAACCTCACAGATGCCATGTCAGGCAGTCGCACTGGATTCCTCACCCCGGCCCAGCAGTTTGAGCATATGCAGCCTCCTGATAACAGTTTTGGCGGTAGCTACAACATCCAGACCCCAGTAAACGTCCCCCCTCGTCCCCCATCTCATCCCACGTCCGGTGTACATCCTTCCATGCCACCTCGACAACCCCCACCTCCCCACCAACATTCTCCCCATCAGTCCGATCCTATGGCAGGTCACATACAACAACCTCCAAGACCCCAGTCACAACCACAGGGTCCCTCTGTAAGACCACCGTCACAAGCCGGACCGTCGCAAACACCGCGAACCTCGCATTCCCAGCTTCCACCGCCATCCTCCAGCGGTCTCCTTCCTCCTGCACGTATACCACCTATCACACAAGCACAGACGTCACCGCATCAACAACGGCAGGCAACTCCAGGGCAACAGCCAATAGCTCCACGGCCGCCACAGTCTTCGACGAGTGCTGCTGCTGCACCTCCTGCTACGACCGCGCCGTCCTCGGAGCCGTCGGCTCCGCCTCCCATTCGCCCTTCCCCTGTGTAAGTGTTATTCGGATTGCTTATCTTGGCTTTACTCATGTTCTCTCGAAGTGTGGCCATGCCTGTTGGTCTTGGACAGGGTCTTGTTCGATTGCTTCAATTCAGCGGAGTACTTTCAGCTGAAAACCCCACTGTACGTCATTTCATATTAATATCATTCCTCAATCATGAATCCTCGGTAGAAACATCAGCTATCACACTGGGAAAGTGTTGTAAAAGACTACTTCACTCCAAAGGCCATAATGAAATTCACCCTATGGAAAGATAACCAGCGGAATGAAGCAAAGCCTTTCGGTCAGTCATAAACGTTTCAAATTTTAACTTTGCTCATCCGTTCCGGCATTAGAGATCGGCGTCCCTATACTGCCTCGGTTTTTTCTTGTTACCACCCAATCTGGCGTTAAGTCCATGACACTCTCGCTAGACGGTGCTCGGGAACGGCTATTGTCACAGCACCACGCGGTAGTGGAGTGTGTTGCGGCTGTTTGGACATACCGATACACCAACGGGTACACAGTCACACTTCGGGGCCCGCTCACAGTCCACGTTCTCATCATCCCTCACCCAAACACCGCCCCCTCCCAAACACCGCCATACTCCCTCAAATTCGACCACCTCCAATTCGATGCAAATCATCACGAAAAGTTCATCGCCTTGGACTCGGTGATGGGTCATAGGCAATCGGAGTCGCCGAAAACGCCACGGGTGAGGACAGCACCGACGCCAAGTCCGAACGGGACGGTAATGCATAGGATGGATGATGAGAGGATATGGGAAGAACCTAGAGTTATGATCGACCATGCGTCGATACCGGGAGAACCTGTGAACGCATTTGGGATTCCGCAAGCGACGATGCGATGTTTGGAGGTGCGTATTTTTTCAGCTCCGTGTTTCTCTTTTGCTGAACACAAGGCTCGGTAGTTGGCAGAAAGTGTCAGTCAGATGACCGATCTGATCGCATTTGCGAATGAAACTAAGCTGGGACCAATGGGTAATGTTTGCTTGTTGAGACTATTGGTGAACGATCGCTGACTTGCTGGATCGATTAGACGCTCTTGCAAAGCTGGCGGACAAGCTACGAGAAGGGTCTCATGGAGTATCCTACATGGGCATGCCTCTCTCAAATGGGCCATTTCACCCCTTTCAGACAATGAACGGGCTCTCAACATCGCCAGCGGTGACATTGTATCATGGCATGTCTTCATCACCGTCAGTACCGCATCCTGGGCCCTCCGCGCACTCCCCCCAAAACCTCCCTCCTTCGGCTGATTCACAAAAGCAGACCAGACCCCCAACTGCATCTGGCACCGCACCCCCAAACTCCTCAAATCCAGCCAATGCGCCCACACCTTCCCAATCTGGCATGACAACGCCTTCCATGACCTCTGCTACCCTCAAACGCAAGAACAACGATACCAATTCGCCCTCTCAATCAAACGCCGAGACTTCAAAAAAGCCGCGAAAGTTGCACAAACGATAGCGGGTGATTATATATTCGGGATTTCTTTTGTTGCTTCGTCGTCGATCGATCTGAGCGATCATATTGTTTTGTCGCATTGTATGATGCTGAATATACCAGCTTCGATATCGACATATTCTATCTTTGCTAGGGATGTATCTTGCCACGCTCATTGTCAAGTAGAATTGCTTTACATACATCTGTTTTTATTTATAGCTTTTTTCTGTATCATCACAACAATATTGCGTGTCCAGCTTCTTTTCGTGCGGGCCCGCAGCGCTTACTTGGATAGACTATCAAGATGCCATCGTATCGGATATCAAAAATGTTAGTCCACAAAACATGCTCAAATGCTGTATATGATGCTGCCACCCATCTCTCTAAACTCCTCCCGCATTTGCATCACGAATAGATAGGTTCATGGCTAAAATCGCACTGATCACCATATCTGCACCTGTTATTACGTTGAATCAGTTTTAGTCCCACGACCCAGAATTTGGTATGTTTGATGCTCGCCTTCCTTCTGCAAAAAAACTGCATGGTTTTCGTTTACTACTTCTATACGATCCATCTTCTCCCCGTCCCCGACCACGTCCGCGACCGCGAAACTGACCCCTATCTGCTGCCCACCGCCCGCGAGCACTGCCGTTGTCAGCATATCCTCGACCATAATCACCGGTGGCGCCATTCGGATTCCAGTTCTGATCTGTGCCTCCAAATTGGGACTGTACGCCGGCTCCAGACGGGTGCTGATTGAACAGCGCTTGAGCTTGCTGCATCAATTCCTGCACCTGTTCTGGGGCTATAGGCAATTGTGAAAGCAGTGCGGGATCAAAGCCAAATGATTGGATGCCCGCGCTGTTGGGCGCACTCATCAAATCAAAACCTCCCGATAATTGACCTACGAGATCAGCGACAGATGCAGCGTTAGGCTGAGGCAAATCGGCTTCTCTCCAGAAGATATTATCGCACTCTGACCCAACCGTCATAGCCTTCACGTCCACATCTATCTCGTCATCACCAATGATCGTCGTGGGCTCGCCAGGACTGTCAGGTATCTGTGCTGGCGACATATATAGTGCACCCAAAGCTGTTTGCTCACGCTCCTCCTGAGTCGTCTTTTCTGCACTATTCTGGCCGCGTTGGGACAATTCGAGATCGAATTCGAGACCTATAGATTGTGGATATTAATTGGTCGCGGCTCATGAGAACGATGATAATTTGCTCACTTATTGGGTCCGTCCAATCGATAACCTCCTCGAATAGGGGAGCGTGTAAAGCAGCACCCTCTCCCCGATCCAGATCGCGTAAACTGTGAGCAGTATGAACGCCCTATATGAACAAACCACAAACAAGTATTCGTGACATCAATGTAAGTACTGTAGCCAACATAAAAAACGAGAGTAGAATGCTGACATCAACGGGGTCATCATCGTACACAGCCCGTTCTATCAGCCGGATCGATTCTAGCTGACCATCAGGAGCCCAAGTCACAGATTTCCTCTTTGTTCTTCCAGAAGTCATCAGGGGAGGCGTAATCGACATCGAAGCTGGTGGCGGTGTGGGCGTTGCTGGAGAGTCCCTGCGCCCTTTACCCATCGACTTCAATGCCTCCTGGAATGGATCGATCGACGATGGTTGCGCAACATTGAGATCAGGTTCCCTCTTGACAGGCGCGGGAGCTTTCTTGAAGCTAGGTAACTTGGCTTTCGGTTTCGGCGCAGAAAAGAACGAGGAATCGGAACGAGCATCTTTGACGGCGATGATATTTCTCATCTCCTTCTTCACCGCCGTTGGCTTCGACGCGGAGGCGGTAGGAGCTACGGCGGCCTTCTTCGCGGGTGGTGGCGCTTTTGCGGATGGCTGTTCAACAGGTTTTCGCTTTTTGAGCTTCGAATCTGCAAAGCACAAATTGATGAGCGCTTGTTCACTAGTACAACGAACTGACGTGACCCACCCTCAGTTTGAGTATTTTCTGCCTGTTTTTGGGCAGTTTCGACCAATTGCCGCCATCTCCGTTCCAAGTTCGATGCCATGTCCTTGATCGCTGCACATTTGGGCAACACAGAAATCAAACAAGAGTTAGATACATGTAATTTTCGTTGACTCAAGCAAGTAGTAATAATACGACAGACACGCAAACTTTGGTTGCAAGGCCGAGATCGTACACGTGTCGCGAAGTCTCACGGAGACCGCATGAGTGGATGTTTGTGAAACCAAACGCTCACCTGGAGCTGGAGGCTCCTTGACTAACTTGACGATGAGCTTCCCTAGCTTCGAGGACTTGAGTGACTCGACCGACAGTGGTAACCTGTCAATGATCTTTGCACAGTATTAGAGGCGACTTGCAGCCTTGAATATGTGTAACATACGTGAAGTAACGGCATTACGGTCTCAACCAACGGGGTGTCAGACTTGGCGGTAGCAGCAGCTTTTAGCCATTCCCGAGTAATGTCCATCGCAGTACTATTTTCGGACCACGCCCGAAAGTAGTGATTGCCGGCGTTATCCCGGATCTTGGTGAGGATTTCCATCCGTAGCGTGGGTTCAACCTCCTCAGAACCAAAGTCGTCGATGAGATTAACAAGGTTGTTAATAGCACGTGCACCGCCGAACGCGTTGGGCTGCAAAAGAGGTCTGACATCAGTGACAAAACTATCCTTTCGAGCCTGAATGTTTATCGTCGGTGGTTGTGCGGGAGCAGCAGTAACGGAGGTCCCTGTCGTTGCTGTGGAAGTTGAAGGCGTAGATGGCGATTGTGCATAGAAGGAAGATAGTTGACCCATCATTGTAGAAGTAGGTGAATGAAGAACGTGGGGCGAAAGAGTGCCTTGAGACTGTGATGTGGGTTGATGCTGATTTAAATGCGAAGAATAAAAATGCGCGGGAAGAACATAGGCAGGATTAATCGATAAAGTAGGATGCTGATATTGATATGGATGTCGTGGTTGAGATTGGGGAGTGGGTTGAGGTACATGAGTTGGAGACTGCGTATATTGTCGCGAGGGTTCCGATCCAGATCCGTTCATGGTAGTCAATGCGGGGCTGTGGTAAAAGTGAGTAAAGTTAGAGAGCATACGAAAGAGATGTAACGCACTCGATCATCATTGGCTGCTGGGTTTGTGCGGGAGGCGACTGATGCTGAGAGGACTGTTGAGAGGAAGTCGTGGAAGAGGAAGTTGCACCATTCAGCGTAGAGTAGTTTGACAAGGGTAGATGACTTTGCGGGTTAGTCCAGGCTGACATCGAACCATACGGTACGGCATTGTAGGGACCGGGAACAGAGGGCAAGTAGAATGGATTGAATGGACCTCCATAGTACGCAGGTGGTTGGGATATCGATGAAGAGGTTGAAGGTCCTAATAACCATTATTTTAACATTTTTTTTTCAAGGGCGCTCAAGAGCGTGTTTGGAGCACGGGCGCTTATGAAGAGATGCTTACCCGCAAGGTCACCTATTGTATAGTCGCTCAAATCGAGACTTGACTGCTGCGCAGTTGTTCCAGGAGGACCTCCTTGTCCATTTGTGGGGGACGACTGTTCTTTCCAGTCGTCGGTGGATGGAGTGCCTCCAGTTAAATTCTGGGCCCAGTTTTGCGCATTCGAATACAAATCCATAAGGACTGTTTTCTTCTTTTTCTGCTGCTTCGTTCTCAAGCGTTATTGGGGCAACACTAAACGGCTTATTTCTGTGCAACGAGACGCAGGAAAAGCAGGAAAGAAATGTAAACGGTATACAAGCCTTCTATCACCTTTTTTTTGCAGTGCGTTCTACGGGCCTCAACTGCCTGAGAGACCTGGCTCAGTTGAGGGTGCGAGTGTCAGCTTCGTCGCCACTGCGAACAACCCACATGATCTTCTTTTTTGAATCTCCGATTTAATAATCAGGTCTTACCTATTCGGCAACTCGGCATCATTGGACATCGTGTCAACGTTGGTTGTTCGTTGTCATTAACGTTGTCCATGCTAGTCGTGTAGAATGTCCAACTCAAAGGATCCTACTCGACATCACACTTCTCTCACACGTGTAACCCAAAAGTCTTATCATTAGACCACGGGTCGTCAACCGAGCTATACACACACACAGGTTTGCGCTTAACTTACCTAGTGTTATCGCTAGCTTACCTGATTTCCTATTAGTTGTTTCAATAGGATTAACCCTAATAGTTGTCAACAAACAAAAGTTTATAATTGCTTACAAGCATCAACAAAGTTGATTTTTCACATTTGAATCCTTCCCTTGTCTTTTTCTCACTACCCTCCTTTCCTAATCATTATGCCACCCAAGGAGCCGAAGGAAGAACTTGACCTTGATGAGAAGAAGGCTCAGGTCCGTGCTCTCCCATATATCTTCCCATCGTCGCGTCTGCTCATTCTCAACGCGTTCTCCTATCTAGCTCGCGATCAAGTTCAATAATGCCGCGCGTCAGTTCAGTGCTCTTGCCGAAGTTCTTTCCAAGGCTGTCACCGAAGTACCCATCGATGAACCCACTGTAAATAGTCTCACCGAACTTCTGAACGCGGCAATCGCGAAACCGTCGCGTAAGCGCAAGCTCGTCGCGCTTGACATTGGTGAGGATGGTCTCCCCAGAAAGAAGAAGCGTGAAAAGAGAATCAAGGATCCCAATGCACCAAAGGGTCCTGCCTCCGCGTACATCCTATTCCAGAATGACATTCGCTCCGCGTACAAGAAGGAACATCCAGACATGTCTAACAAGGAGCTGCTAAGACTCATCGGTGACCAGTGGAAGACGTTAGCCGAAGAAAAGAAAAATGTACGTGCTTGTCAAGTGTATGCTCATGGTCATCGCTCATTCGTACCATCAGTTCTACCGTGATCAACACGGCAGGGCTAAGAAGAAGCACGAAGTTGACCTTGCTGCATATAACGCCCAAAATCCCGACCACGTTCCTGCAGAGGTCAAGGACAGCGGGAAGAAGAAGAAGAAAGAAGAGGCATCAGAACCTCCCGCAACGAAGGAGATTGCGAAGGCTGCCCCCAAGACCACCAAGAAGGCTGCCGCTCCTGTACGCTCTTTTGTATCAATTCTGACCTCCGCTGACCTTATTGATCAGAAGGCTGGCAAGGTGGTCCCGAAATCTAAAGAGGTTGTTGAAAGCTCAGGTTCGGAGGCAGAGGATGCTTCGGAAGTAGAAGCCTCAGATGCAGAGTCGTCAGACGATGAACCGGCCCCGACAGCCAAAGCTAAGGCGACCACAGATGAAGATTCTGACTCCGTATCTGAAGCCGATACTGATTCTTCCGAGGAAGAAGCTCCTCCTCCGCCTCCTCCAAAGAAGTCCAGAAAGTGATAAAAGATTTATCAACAGCTCCCTTCTGTGATTGGATTCTATTGTTGACACGTTGGCTACCTTCGCTCTTCTTCGTATGATACATATACTCCACTATTTTATCGTCAGCAAGCATATGGCTATTGATTCTTTTGAATACTATACATACTATTCTTCAGTGGCCCTCAGGCCTTCGTCGGACGTAGGGATTACGTATATTGCGTATTATAAGCACAGCAATCCTGTGCCCACCAATTCGTAGTAAGTCACCTGCGTGACTTGTCAGACGTGTGGCCAGCGGCTGGACAGCCTGGTCCGACCTATATAAACAGCAACCCACAATCCTGCCAACGCTATCACTTCGTTTCAACTTTCTATACCATGTCCTCCCCTCCCCCAAATCCTGATTCAAGGTCTCTTCCGAGGGGCTGGCTTGCGCAATACAACTGGGAGTATGTACAATCTGATAATCTCACGAAGCGCTCCTGATCATCGTAATCTATAGATACAAAGCATGGTATGCTGCACGTTCCCGCCACGCTCCTTGACACCTTATCAAGTCTCTAAAATGCAGGTTTTATGTGAATGAGATGGAACAACCTCCCCGATCATCTTGGGAGCATCCCCTCGGCCCGCCCCAGTATACTCCTCCCCCTGGCCCTCCCCCTCCTAATCGTGATTTCAACCGCTCTCCTTATGATGGCGGCTACAACCAGGGTCCCACTTCGGGTGGTTACGCGCCTTCTTACGGTGGTGGTTACGGTGGTGGGTATGGTGGCAACCCGCCCCCTGCTGGATATGGCGGCAATCCGCCCCCTGCTGGGTACCAGAGCTACCCACCTGCAGGAGACAGAGGTAAGAGTCCATGAACCGTTCGTGTTAGATGTCAAACCATTTCGGCAGGCTTCTTTGGCAGGATGTCTTCTCAGCCCCAGCAACCCGTCTATCAGCAGCAGCAGGCTCCGCCGAGGAAGAGTGGACCAGGGATGGGCACTGCTCTGTTGGCTGGTAAGCTTTAGTCTGCTGTGCGATACTGGCAGGACTAATGCCCGGGATCAGGCGGTGCTGGTCTAGTGGGCGGAGCCCTCCTCATGGATGCCTTTGAGGACCATGAAGATAATGAAAGAGAACAGGCCTATGACCAAGGTAAGTCACTTTGCTCGTGTTCCCATGGATGTAGCTAAACATCTGGCAGGGTATGACAATGGCTACGACAACGGTAATGACAATGGCGACAATGGCGGAGGCGGAGATTGGTAAACTACATACTTGGTTCGATACCGCAAATGCATGGTTCTGGGTTCTGGCGCCTAGTCTGGTGGATTTGTGTTTGTAAATAGTACTCTAAATGCTTGGATTTATGCAATGGACCTTGTGGCACAATTGATGAGCGCCTGGCTATGCGGCGTCTGTATGTGACCAATTGTATACTCCCATATGGTGAATGCGAAGCTTGTCTAGTCACACTGTGAACCCAAGCTCAGTAAATTTTAGCTGCGACATCACCTGTTCACGGAGTTCCACCCCCTTGTCAAGTGCGAATCAAGTACTGTGTAAGTCACCAAATTAGCTATTGGAATAGATGACGACAGTCTCCCCTAGCTAGACGACCTATCGAAAGAAGGCAGTCCTTCCTTCATATGAAGAGCGTACGGGAACAGAGTATTGCTTCTTGATGGCTTCTATTATAACCAGAGATGCTAGTAAGTTAACACTCCACAGAGATGAGCCACTTCAAGTTGCGCCAGCCATCAGGAATGCTCGAGGTAAACATAGTCACGGACCACGGTTACGGCGAGCCAGGGACGTAATGGAAGTCTTTGCCGTGTGTGCGAGATGACAGGCCCGGGAATGGCCCTTTACTGCTGTCCACTAGAATACACAGTACTGGCGGTCATCGTCGTTCGAGGAAAGAAGCTCCTGGAGGGTGTCTGATACTACGAGAGGAAAGCGATAATGGGTTGATCAACCCATGCGGTGCTTGGCGAGCCTTGTGGCTGCCTTGGCGCATGATGTTAACGTTGGTCCATCAGCATCAGTCACAGCATTGATTGATAGACGAGCCTAGACACAAGGGCCCGTTATATTCGTGGGTACCTGGTTGTACCTTGCATGAGCATGATAAAGTATGGGGTATTCTCGTGTGTCGGATCCTGCAGTTTCAATCGTTCCCACTAATGAGTTTTTATGCTGGTGTCGTGCCCGCAGACGGTCTCTCTGCACAGGCTGGCGTAAATTGGTGAGTAAATTGAAAGAATTCTTAGTGGTGGTTCTCAAGTATCTCAATTCATGATCAAGGTCGCCTCACCAGCAGACAATTCCAACACAGTCTCCGCCGACTAGTGCTAGGACTGTGTCTGCATCAGCGCCTAATTCCAGCACTTATGCAGCACCAGTCACTCCTGCGCAAGCATATGCGCGCTCTGTTGTCTCTGGGCAACCTGTTCTGCACTACACCATCCAGCGAAAGCAGCCGGGGCAAACGCCTGGTCAACAGCCAGCACCACTTTTGCAGTCTACAGCTGAGGCTTCCGCGTCTACACGCGGTCAATCATACGCCCAGCGCCTGTATGCCAGTTCGTTGGGTAAGCAGCCCCAGGCACAGACCACTCTTCAGACCAGCAATAGGCGGTCTTCTTCTGGACGTGGAGAATCTCCAGACAACCGAGTTCCGGCTGGCCCACGGCCTCCTCACGGTGCAAGAGCGTCTCTGATACTGAACACCGCCCCTAACACCGCCCCTCAAGCTGTTTCTGCCCTTGATTTCTACCATAGCAGTGTCTCAAAGCTAGAGTTTCAGTCACCGGTACCTGACCGAGGCACTAGTTCCCCACGAGCCCGGCGCCCTCAGTCTGCTAGTTCCGCCTCGAGCACCTCCGTGGCCCATTCCTCGGTTCCTATTCAGGCACCATATGGCCTGCAAGCACCCGTTAGGCGTGGCCCAGTTCCAGTGGAACTCTCCAATGTGCCTCCCCAATCGCCAGCTGGCGACCTTCAATGGTCAAGTCAGGCGGGCTCGCGCAGTAGAAGCCCACCCAACCCAACACCTGTGATGCCAAGAAATGCCATAGTCTCACCTGTTCTACCGGAGACACCCTTAAGGGAGTTTAGCCCATACTCGGAGGATCACGCAGGAGATTCAGCTCAAGTGGCTGTGATCTATTCTAGTCCCGAGCCCGCGACTCAAGAAAGTCATCCTTTGCCTGCATCTGTACGGGCTGAGAGTCCTCATATCGGCGGTTCCGAAGAAGTACCGTTATATTCCCTTGTTGATGATGAACCTCCTCCCCCAGACTTCGACGAGTCCATTGGCAGCGCGACCACGGCGAGCGTGTATCATACTGAAGCACCCATAGTGCTAGCACCCCCTGATGTGCATTTGCCTACATCGCATGAGTTTGATGCTGTATCTGGGGCCGTACCTTCAGCAGTCGCAGATACTCCTTCAATCGTCGAGGCCCCTCGCCCACTTTCTCCAGAACCTCTTTCGGGATCACCGCGAATCTCCCTAGCTATGCCAGAAGTACAGTCGTACTCTCTGGGGAAAGCGCCTGTGGATGTCAAAGAGAACTCGCACGGTCACTCTGCAGAAAACTCAATGCCTAGGTTTTCTGAGAAGTCACAGTCGTACCCGTCTATGGAAGCTACATCGTCATCTCGAACACTATCCGAAGGGCTGCCTTCATACAAGCAACCTACGCATAAAGCCACTCCTCAGGACATCTCTCCCGTTTCCCCAGCGGTCCCCACACGCAATGACACCTCTGCGAGGGCTTCTTCTACAGCACCTCTGCCTGCTCTTCCACCGAGACGCTCTGTAGCTTCCACACTAGTGCCCATCGCAACTTCTGCGCCATCCATGATGCCTCCCCCTCCTCACCCAGCAAGCCCAAGGGCGTCAGCTGTGAACCCGGTTGAAGTTCGGCCAGTGCCTCTTACGATGTCTCCACCACCTCCTCATCCAGCAAGCCCAAGGGCGTCAGCTGTGAACCCTGTTGAAGTTCGGCCAGTGCCTCTTACGATGTCTCCACCACCTCCTCATCCAGCAAGCCCAAGGGCGTCAGCTGTGAACCCGGTTGAAGTTCGGCCAGTGCCTCTTACGATGTCTCCACCACCTCCTCATCCATTAAGCCAAAGGGCATCAGCTGTGAGCCCGATTGAAGCTCGGCCAGTGCCTCTTCGACCTGGTAGCGGTCGCCAACCATCCAACCCACCTCTTCCTCCAAGAGTTAGGGCAGAGCCAATATTCACTCCTCCATCAGTGAGTATCCCGCCCTTTATTGCCACTTCTCCTGAAACAATCTCGCAGATGTATCAACAGCCTCTTCATTCGCCTCCCTCCACCCCGCACTCTCAAGGTCCATCGGTGCTCTCCTCATCAACCGGTAGTTTTCCTCCAGCGTTCAGACCCCAACTATCTCCGGATGTATCCCCTACACTGCAAGGACAGGTTCCTCACCAATCACCGCGCCAAAGCTTGCAGCGTCCTGCAGAATTCAGACACCAGCCATCTCCGGCGTTGTCCCCTACACTGCAAGGATATGTACAGGTTCCTTATCAGTCACCGGGTCAAAGCTTCCAGCCACAGACCTCCCCGCCGCCCCCACCGCAACAACCAAGGGCACAAAATGTACATGCTCAACCGGTTCAATCTAGCAGGGGACTTGGGAATCTCGCAGCAGGTATAGCAGGGCGCGCTTTTGGTGTCCCTGCTCAACCGGCACAGTCTAGCAGGGGATTTGGCACAAATATCGTGGCAGGAATAGCAGGGGGCGCTCTTGGTCTACTCGGGGGGGCTGTGCTCGCTGAGACACTAGGCGATGGCGACATTGCCGATAATATCACTGGAAGTATGGACGGGATGACGTTTGGGGACCCTACAGAGGGTCTGTTCGATCCCAATATGGGCACTGGTGATATGCTAGGCAGTGGTTTCGACCCTACGGCGAACTATGGAGGAGACCAGACGTTTGTTGGGGACTCATTCGACCCTACGGCAAACTATGGAGGAGATCAGACGTTTGTTGGGGACTCATTTGATCCTACGGCAAACTATGGAGGAGATCAGACGTTTGTTGGGGACTCATTCGATCCTACGGCAAACTATGGAGGAGATCAGACGTTTGTTGGGGACTCATTCGATCCTACAGCAAACTATGGAGGAGATCAGGCGTTTGTTGGGGACTCATTCGATCCTACGGCAAACTATGGAGGAGATCAGACATTTGTTGGGGACTCATTCGATCCTACGGCAAACTATGGAGGAGATCAGCCGTTTACCGGGGACTCCTTCGGCTCAACATATGACATGGCTGATCAGACCATGGGGGATGGAGTAGACCCTAGCCAATTTCAAGGGCAGGCGCCATATTATGTGTCGGAACAGTACCAAGAGACTCAGGAGATCACTATCACGCAGACATTTGATGAATCCCAGTCGGAACAGCAGCCGAATGACCAGAGCAGTGGCACGCACTATATGCATGATGCAGGGCGGATCCTGCAAGCCGCTTACAAGAGGTATAACGCTACGCAGCAGAATGGTGCAGCCCAGGGTTCTCAAGGTTCACAGACAACGTCTCTGCTGCAACAAACTCCACATCCTGGTCGCCCACCTAATTCGCCGCCGGTTGGACACGCACCGACGTCCTCCACTGGCATATATCCCGGAGCACAGACCAGTTCCGCATCGGTCCCTTTCCATGGAGCATCTTTTACCCACTCCACCGCATCAGGCTATACCAGTCCGATCCAACAACATGGACAATCTACGCACCTCATGGCACAACACCACTCATCTGTCAATCCTGCTTCTCAGCAGGGCACACATCCACTTTCTCACCATCACGCGTCCCCACAAAGCTCTCACCCACAGAGCTCTCACACCCAGAGCCCGTATATGAATCATGTTACTTACCCCTCCTTCGGGACCGCCACTCATACCATGAGCTCGCAGGCAGCCCAGTATGCCGTGAACAACGGTGCCTCTCCTCACGGCACCGCCACTCACCATTATTCGCCCCAATCCCAGGCGGATGGACGGTACTCCGCCCATCCCTCACAATACCTTGCTCAGGGACACCCGCAACAGAGTCCCACTGCTCAACAACCTCCGAGTGCTGGTGCTGGCCTAAATAAAACCATGATTGCAAAACAATTCGTCAAAGGCGCGTTGATGGCTGGCGGTGTTCTCGCAAAGTATAACCGCCTGACCGGAGGGAATGGGAATTGATGGAGGATACTCGTAATTCATAATGGCTAGCCCTTTAATTATCAATCGCATGCGATTCGGGAATTCTACGTTTATTCTATCCGGGTGTTGACTATTGCTAGTCTATATATATCATGTAGTGGTTTTCAATCTTGTTTGACAGCTTTCAAGTTTCGCCCGCTTGATTGGAACATTTTCTCTCTTGAACACCAGCCACTTCCTACGTATGCACACCCTTCAGTAACAGATTCTGATCAACATCAGCTTCGGGCGTCAGCTCGGGACAGTCCTCATCGCCCTCAAGAAAAGAATGTTAGACTGGGTCGTTTACTAGGCACCGGGTGGAAGGTCGAGTTGCTAGGATCAGTTCAATTGGGCCTCTCCATCCAGTCTGTCGTGCACTTGAAGGACACCTCATTAATCTGGTCCCACTGTGGAATCGCCGTAGCTGGTACTACGGGGAAGGTTGCAAATTTGTGTATGTTAGTATGTGACACCAAATTGCATTCCGCATCCATGTACCCTCCCAGTACTTCCTTAGGGTGATTGTAGCAGGCAAGAGATGTAGTGCGGAGCACCGGGGTCCAGGCTGTTGTTGCGACTTTGCCAGTATAGACTTTGAAGTTGTGCTCTTCTACTCGTGCGACTCGAATGCCGATCATGCATCCTCAGGTCCGTGTCTAGTTCTCCCCCTCGCGGTCCCACATCAATACATTTCTCCTAGAACCTGCGATTCCCCCAGTTCTCACTCACAATGAACGATGCATCCAGTGTCAAAATAATTAAGAAAAAACACGATCCACCCCACTCACAATTGGTGTGAACACACACCTTCCAGGCAAACTCCACGACATTCGTCAAGCCTGGGCTCTATGCAGTCGCTTCACCAGCCAGAGCCGCCTGATATTGATGGTGGGATTTCAAAACGCCAGATATATTACCCGCCCGCATTCGTCACCGTCGTGTAAGGCGGCTGGGTCACGAGTCTACGTTCTACGTAGCGAACGGCCTCGAACGGCCCGCATGCGGGGAGATATCAGCGGATGACCCAGTGGGTAGGCCTCCAAGAAGCGTTCTCCACGGTCAGAACGACCCTACCGACCAATGCAAGTATGACTTGCTTCATCACCTGATCCGTATAATCGGCATAATCATGCCTCGTGCCAGTTATCGCTCTTGAATTTCTCAAGGATGTCCTCGAATACAACGCTCCATGCGGGCTAATGCCGACTCGGACCCCCGCTCTCGCAAGGTTTATAATGCCACATGCGTCAATTTGCGTTTTTTCATCACCCTGGTTATAGGTGTTTATCACTGCGCGATCTATGCGATTGAAACTGTCTATGAAAATCAATCTATTGACTGTGTCGCAGCTTCTGCTTGCGCTAGAAGCTTTATCCTCTCCGACAACCACCGGATCTGCATCCATCGTCAACTTGGGTTATGCCCAGTACCAGGGATCAGTAGACACAGTGGCAAACATTACCAGCTTCCTTGGAATACGGTATGCAGCTCCTCCAGTCGGTGCGTCCAGTCTTGTGTATTGTATGAAATCTCAGCTCACACACCAAGCACATAGGCGACTTGAGATGGGCAGCTCCGCAGCCTCCACCAACCGTTTCTGGGGTTCAACAAGCTAACACGCAACCAAATGAATGTTATCAAGCACTTGTAGGCAACTCTTCGACGAACCCTTTTGAAAGCACCTCTATGAGGAAAAGGGCAGTCAGTCAGTCTGAAGACTGTTTATTCTTGAAGTAAGCCCTGCCATGAAACGATATGTTGTCATTTACGATTGATGGTTACATCCGGTAGTGTATACACTCCTGGAAGTGAAGTGGTGGCCACTTCGTCAGGAGGGCTCCCAGTTGTCGTTTGGATTCATGGAGGAGGGTAAGTAGCACGTGCCATGATCCTCTGTCGATGAAACGATTTTGGTACAGGTATATTTCAGGAAGTGCAAGCTTATTCAATGGGGCAGATCTAGTTGTGGAGTCGAATCACGGTGTCATCACTGTCTTAGTCCAGTACCGCCTCGGACTACTTGGTATTATTTCCGCTGCTTCCTCTGGTTCTCAAAATGTATACTAAAGTGTATACACTGCCAATTAGGTTTCCTTCCTGGAGAAGCAGTCAAAGAAGGGGGTGCACTCAATGCCGGACTGCGTGCGTGATTATCATGGTCTGACTGCCCTTCAGACCCAGCTGAACTTAATATTCCAAGTCGACCAGAATTACGCGTTACAGTGGGTACAGGCCTATGTGAGCAGAAATCTTTACTTGCGCGTTATACCTCAGCTGATGGGAAGCTTAATCGTGTAGATAAGTGACTTCGGTGGCGATCCTACAAAGGTCACGATTTGGGGAGAGTCTGCTGGTGAGCTGCGCTAGGTACTCTTCGTTCATCGTGATTTTTGTTTATCACTCGTTATTTAAGGTGCCGGTTCCGTGATACAGCATCTTGTTGCTCATGGAGGAAACACGCAGCCTCCTCTCTTCAGTGCTGCCATGACGAGTTCCACGTTCTTGCCATCCCAATACAATTACAATGACCGAATTCCGGAGGTGATTCTTGTTCATGAGGTCGATGTCTGCAGAGTCCTGAAAGCGCCACCGACAGATGCTATACAGTGAGGTCGTCGATGGAACGAAGCAAGTACTTTCAAAGGTTACATGTGGCCATTCCCGATCTGATCCCTCAACTTATAGCTGTACTTCAAAATTGGATACCCTCTCTTGTTTGCGCGCTGCCGACGTCAATACGCTGCAAACATTGAACTATAACATCAACGTCAATGGTTTCTTTGGCGTGTTCGTATTCGTCGCTGTTGTTGATGGCACTTTCATCTTGGAGAGGCCTACTGTGACGATCAGCAAGGGTCGTTTGAATGGCGTATGATCTATGAATGCATTTATCTGACAGCGAACTCAGGCCCTTTTCTCTTAGAACTATCTTCTTGCCGTAACCAATTCGCATGAAGGGAACATCTTCGTAGACCAATCGACGACAATGGATGTCACAGATTATGTCAAGACACTATTCCCGAACTTTGGTTCTGCTCAGGCTGCTGGAGCAGTGACGATGTACCAGGACCAGGGAAGTAACGCCAATCAGGCAAATCTTGTGATGGGTGAATGTACGTATGTCTTTCAATGAATTCATCATTGCCCCTGATTTCCTGCGATTCAGCAATATTCGTTTGCCCTACTTATTATCTCCTCAAAGCATTCGGAGAGCGAGCTTGGAAAGTAAGTTCGAGGCAAGGCACAATTTATGTATACTTAACAAAAGCAGGGCGAGTTTGCAATTCCAGCTGGTCTGCACGGAAGTGATGTCGCATACTATTTCACCTCGTATCAGTAAGTTGAAGCGATGGACCAAGCCCTACTCTGATTGCATACTGTTTCAGGAGTGGTCCTACATACAACAATTCCCAGTTCATCACTGCGTTCTCGAATTCATTCATGGCTATGGCCATGTCCAACACTCCCGACGACAGATACTCCCCCGGGGATATCACACCTTCCTGGAAATCTTGGCGACATGGTTCCACCGAGATGATGTTCAATGAGACATCTGTAGGAGTGCCTGACGTGTACACTTTCAAGACTGATAAGGCCTTGCTCGAGCGTTGCGCGTGAGTACTGTACCATATTTATGAAAAGTTAAGGTGCTGAGCTAAATGGATGTAGCTACTGGCAAAACGTGACGGCGTATTCGGTGCAGTGATTGGAAATTGAGCTCTGTAATGTTAACCGAGTTGAGCTGAGTATTAGTACACCGTGTTTGTGATCCAATTTTCGGCCCCCGGTCCAACCCCGGCCGGTCACAAAGGTCCCTTGACGTAGATGGTTTTCGTTTTACGAGCCGACAATGACTACCAGTAGGCCAATACTTAGTGGACTCTAGTGGTGCCGGATCTTCCGAACCGAGTACATCAACTGTCAGCGCTTCATTGCCTTCCCAAGACCCTCCCGCAAAGGAGATGGTGACGCGGGTTCTATCTGGGTTCAAGAATTCCAGGGTGGGGAGGCTTTTGCATAAATATATGATTCTGCCGCATATTTCATCGGAAACGGCGAACTTTGGTGCCGTCTGAACTTGTCAGACATTGGTTATGAATCTGACAGAACCACGTCATGTGGCTAGGAAAGGACATATAGCTATATCTTCTGAGTTAGAAACCTTGCATTGTATCCGAGTCCTGACATGAACCTTAGCCACTGCTCCGACAAATGGCCTGAAACCAGGCTGCCCTTGTTTACTGATACAACCTACCAAGGTACAAGTTTGGGAGACAGGAGGATCAAGCCCACATTACAAGTGTTTGCACTGGTGCTCGTTGTCGGATAGCTTTAAGTTCAAGAAGAAACATGCCATGGTAAAGAATGTAAAGCTTGAAGTTTTGTTATAATAAATTTTGGCCCGTACGGCAAACGCGCTTGTGGCTGCAATACATGTTACCACGTGATACTACCGAATGGAGCGAAAGACCAATAAATTGAGTTTAGGTTGTCCGCGAATTGCCCGCGCGTCTCGCTGAAGTTTTTTGCTCAGTCGCGACGGAAATGCCCTTTGTTTCTGTTCTCCCACCTTAGCACTGCTATTATGGTCTCCACGAGAAGCAATGGCGCCCGTAGTGTTCGCACACCCGCAACTACGACTACAGGCACTCCAAGCACGTCCGTGTCTCCCCTGCTTAGTGGCGAAAATTCTGCTGTACCTGAAACCCCTGACACCTCCGACGTCGGTGAGGATCCAGTGGTCACGAAAGTCGCAACGAGATCACTTGCAGCAAACCTTATGAATACGCGGAAGCGCCCTACAGAAGATGCAGACGAAGACGAAGACCTCGCGGCTAGACCGGTTGCGACTAAACGGAGGGTCATTCAAAAGGCGTTTTTCGTTGAGATACCCATTAAACATTCGACCTTGAACTCAAAGGCGAGAACGCAGTCTTTAGTAGTTCCGCCCAGCCGCATACTAAATATTATCAATGTACAGCAACAAGCAACACCTGTTAAAGGCAAAGGGCGAGTTGTTACCTCCAACGACCAGCTTCCCTCAGAGGATGAGGACCTCTCCGACGGCTCGGAGTATATTGAGTCGGATGATGATGTCCCTCTCCCCTCAAAGAACGTGGATGACGTCATCTCGAGTTCTGAGGGATACGAGTCAGAGGGTGACGAAGAATTGATGGTTGCTGCTGCCATTGAGTTGTCCCGTGAAACAGCACGGCTCGCTGCTCAAGAATACTCGGGAGTCGGCTCTTCCTCTAGAACTATCGTTGCGTCGCCAAGCCTCAAGATTACCAAGAAAGGTGCTGCTGCTGAACGTCGCCTGACACAGTCCGGTAGCAAGACCAAAGTCAAGGGAAAAGGAAAAGATCGTTCTGCGGGCAGTGAGGATGGGGATTTCATGCTCGCAAACAGCGATTCAGCACTATCGGCCTTGAGTTCAAGCGAAGAGGAAGTCCCGGTTTCCAAGGGCAAAGGAAAAGGAAAAGCTACGAAGAAGGGTAAAGACAATAGGAAGTTTATCGACACCGAACCCATGACTTGGGTAGAGCGGTCTCAGCAGCGCCGTCTGCAAGCAGCCGAAAGGAGGGCCAACAAGTCAGAGGAGTATGCATTAATGCAAGAGCTTGGCCGAAAGTTAACTTATGTACGGTGCCCTTTTCCTGCTAGAACGTTTACCCTAATTGTCAGCGCAGGCTGAGAAATCTTCCTTGGCACTCAAGAAGTATCACCCTGAGCTCAAGGACGTCTGGGGTAACATCGAGTCCAGCATCCCCATCGTCGTACCGGAGAGAGCTGAACAGCCTGCTGGTTTGAAGGTCACGTTGCTTCCATTCCAGCGGGAATCACTCTCCTGGATGCGTAAACAGGAGAAAGGGCTCTGGCATGGCGGCATGCTAGCAGACGAGATGGGGTATGTTTCTTCAACTTCCAGTGTACACCAGTTTGAGCGCGCTCCTTACAGCATGGGCAAGACTATTCAAATGATATCTCTCTTTGTGTCGGACTTGAAGCGTCCGAACCTCGTTGTTGCGTATGTATCCACCGTTTAGTTGTGTTATCATGTCATAATCACATGCTACACAGGCCAACTGTTGCTATAATGCAATGGCGAAATGAGATCAATACTCACACAGAGGGGATGAATGTCTTGGTATGGCATGGCGCGTCTCGTCTCAACAACCCCAAGGAACTGGAGAAATACGACGTTGTTAGTTCCAGCTTCAAAATTCTCTTATGTCTCTGTTCTAATGCAACCAGGTGCTCACTACTTACGCTGTGATGGAAAGTTGCTTCAGGAAGCAGCAGAGCGGCTTTAAGCGGAAGGGGCTTATTGTGAAGGAACCTTCGCCTCTTCACCAGATTAAATGGAACCGAATTATTGTACGATCAGCTCATTTTTACAACTTTATTTTTATCATTGCTGATAATTTTCTGACAGCTTGACGAAGCGCACAACATCAAAGAACGCCAAACCAATACTGCCAAGGCATCCTTTGAGCTTGAGAGCAATTACAAATGGTGTCTATCCGGAACGCCCCTGCAGAATCGTGTTGGAGAGCTATACAGTCTCGTCCGTTTCCTCGGGGGTGATCCGTTCTCTTTTTATTTCTGTGCGGCGCGCGTTTTTGCATTCGTCTTTTGAGTTACTGACCTGAGTATCGTAACAGGTAAGAAATGTGCTTGCAAATCGCTTCATTGGAGGTTTACAGATAAAAGGCATTGTGACGGTAAGATTCTGTGTTCCTACTCCAAACGCTCATTTTATATTTTACAACAGACTGTGGTCACAGCCCGATGCAACATGTAAGTCGCCATCACAATATGCAAACTTTGCTAACCAGGGTCATTTAGACCTGTTTCTGGAATAACGAGATTTTGACGCCTATTCAGAAACACGGCATGGAAGGGCCAGGCAAGATTGCTTTTAAGAAGCTACGCATTCTCCTTGATAGGATGATGCTCCGTAGAACCAAGGTCGGACCCACCCTTTTACTCGTGTGCTTGAAAATGAATCGCTGCGACAGATTCAACGAGCTGATGACTTGGATTTACCTCCTCGCATGGTTATCGTACGACGGGATTACTTCAGTCCTGAAGAGAAAGAGCTTTACCTTTCGCTCTTCTCAGACGCGAAACGCCAGTTCAGCACTTACGTTGACTCTGGAACGGTTTTGAACAGTGAAGTCACTTTTTGGAAAGTTGGATCTGACTGCTGACGCTATTCCATCAGATTATTCCAACATCTTCAGTTTGTAAGCCCTTTGTGCTCTCACCTCGTTTGATTCTAAAGATCCTGTAGACTGACTCGCATGAGGCAAATGGCTTGCCACCCAGACCTTGTGCTCCGCAGCAAGACTAACGGGACCCAGTTCTTGGGCTCTGACGAGGCTGGTGAAGCCACAATCTGTAGGCTCTGCAGTGATGTGGCGGAGGATGCTATCAAGGCCAAATGCCACCATATATTCGACCGAGAGTGCATGAAACAGTATTTAAGCACAGCTGGAGACATGACGGTCAGTTTTGTTCCTTATCAAAAAAATTTGGAGTTCTGATTTCTCTAAGCCTGACTGTCCTGTTTGTCATCTCCCTCTTACTATCGACCTCGAGGCTCCCGCGCTCGAACTTGAAGCAAATATTCCTTCTGCTCGACAAGGAATCTTGGGGCGACTCAACATCGAGACTTGGCGGTCTTCCTCCAAGATCGAGGCTCTCGTCGAGGAACTTTCTAATCTTCGCTTGCAAGACAACACGACTAAAAGTATCGTGTTTAGTCAGTTTGTCAACTTTCTGGATTTGATCGCCTTTAGGCTACAAAAGGCGGGCTTTTCGGTGCGCATGGTCCCAGGAGTTTTTCTGAATTTTGACGCCAAAACCTTGCGTAGATCTGTCGACTTGAAGGAACCATGAGCCCTCAAGCTCGCGATGCGACCATTCAACACTTCAGTACGTCGGACCGTCACCTACCGATTTTGTTTTCCTAAATTGTTTCCCCAGTGAACAATGTTGGGGTTACTGTATTTCTAGTCAGCTTGAAAGCTGGTGGAGTGGCATTAAACTTGACGGAAGCATCCCGAGTGTATCTCATGGACAGCTGGTGGAATCCTGCGGCAAGTTCTCGTCACTACTTATCTCATCCTCAGCTGACTCTTGCTATTCCAGGTCGAATATCGTACGCAAATTGACTCATTGCACCTCTTGCACCTGCTGATTTTCACTGTAGAAGCTATGGACCGTATTCACCGTCTCGGACAATACCGTCCTATTCAGGCCATCAAACTTGTCGTTGAAGACAGCATCGAAAGGCGGATCGTCCAATTGCAGGAGAAGAAATCAGCGATGGTGGATGCCACGCTGTCTACTGATGATTCTGTGAGTACTTGTGGCTAGCAGCTGAGACGTTCATGAATGCTTACTATGGCCTAGGCGATGGGACGGTTGACACCAGACGATGTAAGTGCTGAAGTTCTTTCTGTCGCATGACACATGGCTGATTTTACTTGTGTAACCTAGTTGAGCTTCTTGTTCAGAGTGCGTCCGCTTTTCTTGACTCGTCCGACTTTGCTTACCTTTTGTCTGCCAACAGCTGTAGCTTATATATTGTTTACGAACGTACTGTACACACCCTGCCTTTTACAGGCAGTAGAATAATACGCTGTCGTTTCTGATTCTACACGGAATATATCTGATTTACGAAGACCTGCTAATCATTTTTTAGCAATTGTTGTTACAGATCTTGATGATGATCATCGTGCTTGTTTGCGCGCATCGGGTGAAGATCCTGGATCGTTAGCCCACAGGAAAGTCTTCGACGTCGACGCCGTCTGATATAATGGAACCAAAGTATAGATGCGGCACTGCGTAGGAACCATGGAATAAACTACAACCGCGGCGGGTGCGCGCAAGGCATGGCACAAGCTTATTTCTAGTATATTTATCTGGTAAGTATTGATACAAGAATGTGATCAAAGCTGATGTTGATTTGGTTAGCACGTGACCTGGACGCGTCGCGTTTGTGAATGCCAATCTCCTCCCTCTAGAGTTCTCCCCATCTCACCGCTCTTGCCAATGAATATAAAACGCGGGCGTCCGACTCCAGTCATCAGTAAATTTGAGGCTGGCCGGAAGCTGACACTGGCGGGCGCGTAATTAGCTGTCAGCGTCATCAACTTTGCTGTCCTCATCTCACAGTACATGCTCATGACGCGCCATGACGTAGGGCAGTGTCGGTCACCGCTGGTAATCATTACGGGAGGCTGACTCTCCCAAAGGTATAAATACCTGCCCGCCCGGGCTTTCTCTTCTTCATCAGCCTTGACCTCCTCCCTCCGAGTTGCCAGCGATCCTTCATCGTCACCATTGACCCTTTGACAATTGCGTGTCACGGACGATTATATTTCGTTGTCTTGTCACTGATCGTTTCATTGTCTTGCTCTCTCGCTTTCCTGCTCTCTCGCCGGCTTGCTCTCTCGTCGTCTTGCTCTCTCGTCGTCTCGCTCTTTCGCCGTTGGTACAGCCATGTCACATATTCTCCTCCTTCTCCCGCCTAAAAGTGAGTTACCGCCCTACGCCAACACTACATCCTTCTTATTACCTCTCCTTCCAGAATATCGAAAAGCCCAACGTTGGCCGCGTTGATGAAAAAAAATATTCTCTCTCTCGAACCTCGCCCTCGCTGGCGCCGCCTACCTTTCTCCCCTCCCGCCCGCTCATCTAGCTACGCTGCACATCCACCCATTATTATTCAACGTCGGACACTCGGCGTGCGGTGGCTCTGCATTCAAGCTCGATGGCGTAGCATCAGTAAGTCTTGTCTTCCTCACGTTCTCTGAACCTCAGTCTGACTCTCATCATTCCTCCAGTCTGACCGCAGTCGCTCTTTCTACTGGATGACGGATGCGTCACCATCTCTCGTTCTGCCTAAGTCTGTCGTCCGACAGCCGCCGCTCTTTCTACTGGATCGCGGATGCGCCTTCCATCTCCCGTTCTGTCTCTCTTTCCGAACATAAGCCTGTCGTCCGACAGCAGCCGCTCTTTCTACTTGATGACGGATGCGTCACCATCTCCCGTCCTGTATCTCTTTCCGTTGAACATGCGGACGCACCCGCTGCTTCTCCCGCCCGCTCATCTAGCTTGGCATCAGTAAGTCTCGTATTCCTCAATTTCTCTGAACCTCAGTCTAACTCTCATCATTCCTTTAGTCTGACCAAAGTCGCTCTTTCTACTGGATGACGGATGCGTCACCATCTCCCGTTCCGTCTGTCTTTCCGCTGAACATCACTACAAGCCTGTCGTCTGACAGCAGTCGCTCTTTCTACTGGACGACGGATGCGTCACCATCTCCCGTTCCGACTCTATTCCCGAACATCCTCAAGCCTGTCGTTCGACAGCTGTCGCTCTTTCTACCGGATCGCGGATGCGCCTTCCATTTCACATTTCCCTCTTTCTTCATTTATCGTCCGACCCACGTCGCACCTTCGTATACCCCTTTTACCTTTCTCTTTCATCATATTTATTGTCCGACCCATGTCACTCCTTCATATACCCCTTTTACCTTTCTCCTTCCTCATATTTATCGTCCGACCCACGCCGCTCCTTCGACATATACCCCTTTCACCTTTCTCTTTCCTCATATTTATCGTCCGGCCCACGCCGCTCCTTCGACATATACCCATTTCTCCTTCCTGTTTCATTTTTCGTCCGACCCACGTCACTCCTTCAACATATACCCATTTCTCCTCTCTGTTTCATTCATCGTCCGACCTTCAACATATACCCATCTCTCCTCTCTGTTTCATTCATCGTCCGACCCACGTCGCTCCTTCAACATATACCCATTTCTCCTTCATCGTCCGACCCACGTCACTCATTCAACGTATACCCATTTCTCCTTCATCGTCCGACCCACGTCACTCCTTCAACATATACCCCTTTCACCTTTCACCTTTCGTTTTCATCTCATCTACCGCCCCGATCACCGTCATTCCCCTCATTCTTTCGCTATCACTTTCTCTCAGCTCTTCTTCCAAGCCTCGAGCCCGCCCGCCCGCTCCTGCACTCTGCCACGGACGCCGGCGCGGGACGGCCTACACTAATTCGAGCACCACAGCCTACGCTATCTGTTCCCTCATCCCAAGCCTCGAGCCCGCCCGCCCGCTCCTGCACTCTGCCACGGACGCCGGCGTGGGACGGCCTACACTAATTCGAGCACTACAGCCTATTTATGCTTTATAACCTCATGACATTCAAGACTTTATGACATTACGACTTTATGACATTACGACCTTATGACATTACGACTTTTATGACATTACGACTTTATGACTTTACGACTTTATGCCCCATGCCACTTTTCATCTATGCCCTATGCCACCTTTTCTTTGTCTCTCACCATATGCCCCATGCCACTTTTTCTTTCTCTCCCAATATGCCCCCCATGCCACTTTTTCCTCGTCATACCATATGCCCCTTTTCCCTTGTCATACCATATGCCCCATGCCAATTTTTCCTTGTCTACTATATACATAAAACAACATGATTTTAAACCGTGTGCGCTTTGAGATTAAGTTGAAGTTACAGACTTACAGTCTTCGTCTTTTGAACTATCTAACTCACACGCAGCTTGGACTATATCCAGTCGATTGACTCAGGCTCCACGTTAGGAAGCGTCTCGTTCTTAGTATACAATGCCGAGACAAGACGGACAATCTCTACTATTCATCCGTCAACCAATGAAATCCAACGGAGACGCAGGCCCATTATCACACGGTGCTAAATAGCATGTCAAGGGCAGTGCGCATGATCGTAGGGCATATGCGGATGCATACAAGTATTTTGAGGGATGTAAGAGGTCGTAAAGCATAGCAAGTGACATGTAGAAAAAAACCATCCGACCTCTTAAACCTCCTTGACCTTGACGGTACCACGGAGCAGACCAGTCTACCCAAATCATTCAGCATGCACGAAAATGAGAAGAGTCTCCGAAATGAACATACCCGACGAGCGGCAATAAGACCGACTTTCTGTCCAGGAACTGCGGAGCGGGGAACTGTCGAAGCTTTTCCAATGTGCTGGTGGTTACCACCACCGTGAGGATGGTCGACGGGGTTCATAGCCACACCACGAGTGCGAGGCCAGCTGTGAAATTATGTGAGTAAACAGACAAACAGTGTCGCCGCTGTTCACCCACCTGTTACGCTTAGCCTTGTATTTGTGATATGCGCGACCGGCCTTGAGCAATGGCTTGTCGATACGTCCACCACCAGCAACGATTCCAACAGTCGCACGTGCACCCCCAGCCACGGTCTTCTTTGCACCACTAGGGAGACGAATACGGGTCTTGTTGTCCTCTGGCGAGTGACCGATGACGGTTGCGTAGTTGCCTGAGGTACGAGCGAGGGCACCACGGTCTCCAACTTTCTCCTCGACGTTGCAGACGATGGTACCTTCTGGGCATTGGCTCACGGGGAGGACGTTACCGACGGTAAGGGCGGCCTTCTTTCCGCAGTATACGAATGAGCCGGTGTGCATGCCCTCTGTTGCGATGAAAGTCTCCTTGCGGAGCTTGTAGCGGTAGGGGTCACGGAATACGACGCGTGCGAGGGGTGCGCCGCTAGAATGTATGTGAGGAAAATAATGGAATGGAGTGTGTGGTCCTTACCGGCCAGGGTCGTGGATGATTTCTTTGACGATACCCCGGACGTAGCCATTGCGTTCTGCGAAATCGAGGGTACGAAGCTTTGCGGGTGCTTTGTTGTGGTGGGTGTGCGCCTTGAACTAGATGGGGTGTAAAGATCTGAGTAGGGATAGAAGTGGGGGAACATACGATGGCGTGCGAGCGCCTCTGAGCCCTGATAACCCTACCCATGGTTTATCTGTAAAGAGTGATGAGTTGAATGCGCATAAGGTATCCGATGCAAGTGCAAGTCATCCAGCCGATTCTGCATCGATTTGGACGCGATTTTGGACCAGTGTGAACAGGACGTTCGTGCGATGGAACCCGGAGCAGTGATTTGTACGGCGTACTCACATTATTGTGTCTTTGGGACTCGGAGTAGACTGTGGGGGTTGGCGTACAGTGCAGTGAAGCGGTATGTCGAAGCGGCGCCACAAATCTCGGCAATTCCCGGTAGGGTTGTGAGTAATACGTATTTCCGAGGAGAAGATATGTTTAACATGAATATAAGGGGGACTTGGACTCGCGATGTCAAAGGGGACGATGTCGATGGCATTGACTGGGTTCTAGAGTGATAACGAAGAAACTAGGTTGGACTGATCTACCTCAAGGGTCGGTACGCACTAAATGGTTGTCGGTGTGGCGTTGAATACTTGTTCAGGTACATAAAAAAGTCACACGGGGGGTGTTTGTTCTCTCATCGCTCGAAAACGTTTTCAAGGTGTCACTTCAATTATTTCCCTGGGCAATAACTCGGCGGATACCTTGTCATATCCTTGGTCTGGTCTGGTCTCTGTTCCAGCTGGCTTGTCAACCTAGGAATAATATCTTGTAACTTTGGGTCACTTTTCCGGTTAACGACCAATCCTCCGTCTACCAAGTTGCAAGGGAAAGGATATGATCCATCTCGATCGTAACCGCAATGAACTAGATTCAGCAGTTCAAAATTCAAATCTAATCTTACCCGAAGATCATTCAGCTTTCTCCTGGGTCACAGACATAACACATGACGACGAGCACCACAATTACTTCGCAAACTCTTTGTCCGACTTAGCTGATCATCATCCCCACCCAGAGGGTAATCCTACTCCATCTCCACCTCATCCAGCTGACGACAAGAGTTCGTCCCTTTCCCCTCCTCCAGAATACCCTTCCCCTCAAATTAAACGCAAGTCACCACCACAACAAGATAAACATGACCCAGAACCAGACCAAGAAGACGACGGCGATGGTTCCTATTCGCGACAGCTAACGCCCCTCACGGACCTATCAGCAGTTGCAGATGGTGACGAAAGTTTGGATTTTGAAAAGAAGGACGGTAGTACAGGCGAAATAGAGTCAGGGCCTCCAGACCAGAATGGCGACCTAATCCCAGACAACATAGACAATCGTTGGGCAGAAAAACGCGCTATCAATGGTACAATATCTCCGGCCCGCTCAATCCCCAGTTCTCCCGCAAGGCAGCCCATGGCCATACCCGTTGCAGGTCCCTCTCAAAGACTTGGCCCATCCGCTGGTCCTTCTCACTCAAGACGACCGTCAAGGGAAATGGTTTCGATCAGTCAACTCCCATCCCCAAACATTTCAGCAGCGAAATTGGCTGACGGCGAACCAAAAGTCGTCCGCATTTTGGAAATCAACTCAGAGCTGCTAAAGTTCGTTCATACTCACTTTCTCCACCCTCCAACTCACCTTGTTGGCACTTTAGAGTCTGTATGGAATTTCAGACACGTGGCGTACCCCCGAATGACACTCGCTTCTCCCAGTAAGCACCCATTTATTTTATAAAATAACGCTGACCATTTAAACCATCAGTTTTGCCAATCGCATACAAGTCAACTTGACCTGGCTAGCAGCAGCTGCAGATCATAATCGATGTAACGTATGTGTCCTTTGTCGCGTCTCTCGAGCCGCTTACTTAGTCTCTTTATAGGATCCTAGACTCGTATTGCCCGCAATGGATCCTCCTACTCCCGTTGAATTCGTTTCCATGGAACGAATACATCACCTCTATGCTGATTTACCGACCTTATTTGCAAAGGAACTCGCACGACGGCAGCTCGCTTCTGGCGCTCAATACTCCCCTACCACATCCACTGCACTTCTAAATGGCACATTAAAGCGCAGCCGACCAGACGACATGGCAGACCTCATGAACAAAAGACGCGATATGGGTGAGACGAAACCACAAATCATGCAACCACCCGCAATTCCATCCATATCGATATCCGGTGCTGGCCAGCGCACAAGCCCAATATCCACCTTCCCTCCAGCCATCCATCCAAATATAGCCCTCGCCAGCACACCTACCATGCCCCAGAGTCCCCGTGTCTCTAGTCCCATGCCTCCACCATTGTCCGCCCCTTCACTACCCTTCGGTGCCACTGAAGCATCAATAGCGGCCACAACACGTAATCGGGCAAGGGAGATGCAGATCCATCAAGCACGAGAGAACCAACTCCGAGCAGCGCAGATGCAACAAATGCAATCCCCGAGGCAGATTTCCCCTCCTGATTCCTCCCCACGAATGCCACAAAATTCTGCACCGGCCCCACAGCAACATCCGCATCCATATGGGCCTAATCCTAATGCTCCAGCGATGCAGATCCTCCAAAATCCCAGCCATCCCCTGATGGTGTATCTTGTATCCCAAATCCCCAATTTCACCTCTCTGCCATTGCATCAACAGTTGCAGAAGCTCACGAATTTTCAGGTAAGTGATCGTGCCGTGTTTGCGAACTAGAATATTGATGGTTCGTACAGAATATTCTAGCGCAGAAGCAGCAGCAGAATCCGTCCAATCAGCAACGACCGCCTATGCCTGGTCAAATGCCCGGTTTAGGACAGAATCCTTCCATGTCGCCTATGCCCAACGCCTCTATGCAAAGCGGCGGTCCAAGCCCAGTATCTCCCCTTGGCCAGCCATCACCTGTCTCATCCCAAGTCCAGCAGATGAGCGCCCAATCTCAGCAAAGCGGGATGTACCCATTCAGTAATCAAGGCCACAACGCGCCCAGCGTAGACCCTCGCATAGCAGCTTCGAATTTCTCGCAACAAATGTCCGGCAACATGGGCACAATGAACATGAACCAGCAACGGCAGCTCATGCTTATGCAACAAATGCGGAATTCCGGCGGGAACATGAACGCCATGAACCCGCAACAAGCATTTGCGATGCAGCAGCGGATGCCTCAGGGCGGACCGTCTCAAGTGGGCGGCTCACCAATGTCGGTCCCTGCAAATGATACGTTCCCAGCATTGCGCTCGAATTCGACTATTCCTGGAATTGCGCGGAGTGGACGCTCGCCTTCTGAAAGTGTGCATTCTCCCATGACGCCTCGCGCGCCGTCGAGGCTTTCGTCGCAACCTCCTATGCAGCCTGAAGAGTACCACCAGAGGGCGATGACGCAACAGGCACAGCCGGGCATGATGGGAACGCCGCAGAACGCCGGTTCTTTCCATCCGCAAATGCAGTATCATCAGTGGCCGAATGGCCAACAGCAGCAGCAGCAACAACAACAACAGCAGCAGCAGCAGCAGCAACAGCAACAGCAGCAGCAGCAGCAACAGCAGCAACTGTCGCTTGGAAGCCAAATGAACGGGTTTGGGATGAATCCTCAGGGAGGTGCAGGAACAGGAAACAGTCCATACGGCGGCTCAATCTCGCCATCTGGGCCCAACTGGCAACAGCAGAGCATGAACGGCTATTACCCCCAAAGTAATCAACGTCCACCCAACGTGCCTGGCGTCACCATGCAACAAAACATCAGTCCAGTAGGAGGAGACACGGCCAGTACAGGAGAATACGACATATTTAATTGGAATGGTCCATGAAGGCGATTCTGTTCTGGGGGTCCTAGGACGCTGATTATCACTTCGGTATTATCTTATTATTTGTTTTCGCGGCTTCAAAGCTGTCTTCTCTCGTGCTTTACTTACTACCGCACACACACGTACATGACTCTCTGCTTACTATACGTTGCTTTTTTTCGGTTTATAGTTTTTCCTTTTTTTTTTCTCCTCCCTCCCTGCTCTGCTCAGATCTGGAGTCGTGTGTCTGTATTTTGTAGAATTTTTTTCTATGAATTTAGATCTGATAAAGGTCTGGGGCAGGGCTGCCGTTTTCTTGTTGGACTGTGCTGTTAAATTATAGGGGGAACGCTATCGAGTGCCTGACCACACAGGTCTAAGTATAAGCGATTGGACATCGCCAGCACCTCAGGACACGGGTCAGGGTTATAAGCGCTTGGACTCTGCTACATACCCCAAGGTCGATACCTACCGCGATGGTTTTCACAAGACTCTCCTCAGACGAGAAAGACGCCTTTTTTGGGCTCTTAGACGAGTTGGCCGCATCTTTCGTCTTGTTCCTCTAATACACTGATCGTTGCTTGCAGGTACTTCCAGTCCCGCCCAGAGATACTTGCCAATGTTAACACAAGCACAAGCACTGGCAGCCGCGGTGACGATCCATCTGCAGCCGCTGCATCAGCCGTTCACCGCGCTCTCGCCAAAAACCCAGAAGTCACCTCCAAGCTCGTCTCTGCCGGAATGACGCACGGACTTGCAAAGTCCAATAACCCATATGCATCCACCGTACGTCTCATTCGCTGAAATGACCAGTCATGGTGACATCTGAACTTAACGATATCAATCAATCATGAAATCGTCGACCAGATAGCCAGTCATCCAGAAGTGAGCAACTCCGTAGGCAGAGTAGCAGCAGCATCGCTCTCATTCTCCGGAGGCAAATCCTTTCCATCTTCAAATCCTTCAAGATCCCTAGCCCCTTCCCTCCCATCACGCAGCTCCAGCGCACTCAGTGCATCCTCGTCAGGCTCCGAGATCGACAAACTAGTCACGAAAAAGGTCCGTACTCTCCCTCATCTCCCTCATGCCGGTGATACTTCCATTCAAATCCAACATCGTGACTGACACCCCCACTTTCGTATTTCAGTCCAGCATGTTGGGGGCATTCAAGAAAGCACCTACAGCGAACGTAGCTATACCACCTGCTTTCCAACAGCCCAAGACCACATACGGACCGCCTCCTGTTCGGCGTACGACGTCAGAAACGGCCACGGCTGAGCCTTCCAATGCGAGGTCCCCACCACCCATCCTCCCACGGCGTCAAGTCGAACCTGAACCCGAGGAACCACAAGGGGAGTGGGCCGAGGTGTTGTACGATTATAGTAGCGAGGTATGATGCACTCAGTTTGCAATTGATGCGTCGAGGCGGAGCTGAGCCAACTGCTTTTTTTCGTTTTGTAGGATCCTGGAGATTTGGAAGTTCAATCTGGCTCTCGTGTACTAGTCACTGCGAAATCTTCCGATGACTGGTGGGTTAACCTTGTCCTTGTATCTAGATGGTTGACGCCCGTCACTGACTTTTTGTCCAGGTGGACGGGTCAGATAGAGGGCCAAGGAAGGGAAGGATTGTTCCCTGCCTCATACGTGAAACTGTTGTAATCTTTATATCTGACGTCAATGCATACCACTATCGTTTCAAATGTGATGCGGTGGTCGAATGAGTGCAGGTCTACTCTCGCCGCCGGTCGTGACAAAGTTGTGGGACAGTATGCCATCACTGGTCGAGCAGGCGTCCCAAATACCACATTCAGGTAGACTCGCAATCTTATCGAGTCATCACAAACGGGATTGAAATCATAGTATATATTTATGCATACATCCACTGAACTACATGTAATCGACGAGCGGCGTGCATATCTGATAGATACAGAACGAGAGTAGGAATAGAGCTACAGTGGTGTCCGACGTCCATGTCACCGAGATGAGTGATGTGTCCGGGGAATGAGATGAAGAACGGGTCCGAGGGGTGGGTAACGTGGTGTCCAGAATACGATAGGAAATAGTGATGTGCCATGAAACAACGAGAAGATCGATGCAGAAATGAAGGGGTTGATTAAATGATGTATGAAAACACGTCCGTCACCAGCCGGTCGAGACTCAAACGTCAAGTAGATTCTGATTGGCCGTCGCTCGGAAGATCGCAGACCTCGAGTGCACCAGTCTATGGAACGCACTAGCCCCATGACCAGGGGCATGGCGTTCTGCTGGCTCGACAATGCTCACCGCAGGAAGACCCAGCGACCCCTTGCCAGAGAGGTCACATGTTGGCTTCTCTTTCTCCTGACCCTTGATCGCCGCGCTCCACATGCGACTAAGGAATCCGTTGGAAGACATGCTGACGCTTGCTTTCATACGAGAAGCAGGAACACCGGATCCGCCAGCGGAATCAGGGTCAGACTGATTCTGATTGTCGTTCGACGTGCCATATACGTAGGAGCTCGCTCGCTTACCGGGGACGGCGGCACGGTTGACGACTCTGATCGTGCATGTCTCCAAAGGCGCGGGTGGGTTTGGGGGAGAAGGGGAGTCGCCTGCTCGGACGGTCGCTATAGATCGAACTGAGCCTGCTTCGGATACTTTCCGTCCTTCTCTGTGTGCCTGAGGCGGGATACCACCCAGGACAAACTGTTTCCTCACAACGCTTGGCTTCTCGTCTGCCTCTTGCTCATCGTCGGAGACGCTGCTAGTTGAATCAGACGAAGAACCAGTGTCCTCTATCAACGATTCCATCTCGGAATCAGTTGCACTCAAGCTGTCGCAACTATGCACGCTCGATATCGGCGACGCGATGCAAGAAGCACGGCTCTGGGTACCTCCAAGACGGCTGCTCGAGAGTCGCCTTGCAATCCCGCGGACTGTGGACACAATAGATGATCCCATGGGAGGTGGAGGAGGAACTTCGCTAGGTGGAGTTGGTAACTGGGCCTGGGCACGCGCTTTGCCTGCTTTAGAGACTCGCTCGACCGCCGCCGCACGTGTTTCCTGCTGCTGGGGAGTGAGCGGGCAGACAATGCGCGTGGGCATGAAAGGTGCAAAGTGGATGCACGCTTCGTGCTCGTCGAAGCGGAGGTCATAGCCCAGTATGTAGAGAAGCTGTTCCTCCATGAGGTTCACCTCTGGGAGGTCGAAGTGTTCGGCGTATGTTGCCCAATGTATGTTTTTGGGAGATGAGTCGTTGAGGTACTTGGCTGCTACGATCAGCGTCGCAAGGAAGACACGGTGCCGGGTGCACGGTCGACCTGAAGAAAACGCAGTCAGAAATTGCATGGAAAATACTCGATGCTACGTACCCTTGGTCATGGCGGGCACCTTGACACGCACACGGTGCAAGTAAATGAGGGTGGTGAGTAGCGTGGGCACCTGGACGTTCGATCTGTTCACCAAACGAATGATGAAGCTCACGAGGCTCGGCAGTTTCGGCACCACTGGGACGGGAGCTGCGACATCCTGTGTCTCAGAGAAGGGGGCCTTGATTGGCGTCGTAGGGGGTGTTGGGAGGGCACTAGCAGCAGGAAGTTGCTCGTTGATCATGATGGCCCGCGACGCCTGATGGGCGATGTAGGAGATCATTTCCATTGAGACAGGCCTACGCATAAGATCTACAAGGTATGGATTGTGAAGGGACCTTGGGAGGAGAGACGCTGGGTGACGGCGGTCTAGGGACATTTCTGAAGGGAGTGGACGTAATAGAGATTGTTGTGTTGTTCCCGGCGGGGGGCAAATGAAGCAAAGAAAAGAAAAGACAAGGAGTAATATTCCCGCGGGGCGAGCTTATGAGGGGGCGGGATCTGGCGTGAATACCTGTCACAAACAACAAACAGCGCGACGCGCCGAGATCACGAGACTAAAATCAATATGGTAGATAACCGCCGGGACCAGCGACGAGGACGTTTACAGCAGGCTGCGCGGGCAGTGAGTGGAGCAGAGCACGGAGCAGAGGAAGACCAAATTCAAGACTCTGACCTTATAAACTTGAGGGCAATTATGAACGAGACTGCCCAGACTGAGCAGCGCAGTTATGACACAACTGTCGTAACCTTGTTCGTTTCAACGTCAAGATCATGCTGACAAAATGTTGACGTGGACAGTCAAGTATCCTGAGCCAGAGATTCAGCTGAACGTATTGATTGTACCAGTGAGCTAGTGGAGCGTTGCGGATCGAAAAAGCGTTATCCGCGAACCGCAGACCGCAGGCGCAGCAGCAGCTGCCGCATTTCCTGCTTTCTTCATGCTGTCATTATCAGACTGGATCACCACTCTTTCATTGGTGTTCGGAGGATGCTGCAGGTGAGTGAACTCACACTAGATATCATTCTGGCACTGATTCAGGAACGTGACCCAGTAATGCCATCACCCTAGAGCACATCACATCTCGATACCCGAACGCAGGCGTCCTGATCACCTTTTTCCAATTCCTCATTGTTTCATTGTATGGACTACCCAAGCAATTCACATTCAACAACCCTCCAGAATCCAAACACGTGGAGAACGGACTGAATGGCGTTGTATCTGATCCCAAAATACGACGTAGGAGTTGGATTCCTCGGCTAAAGAACCGGAGGGTACCTCTGCTACCTTATTTCATTCAGGTAGCACTGTTCTTCGTACTGTCGACTCTGAACAATGCTGCTTTTGCCTACGACATCCCTATGACTGTGCACATTGTGTTTCGTAGCGGTGGCATGATCATAAACATGATCCTGGGATGGATATTCACGAACAAGCGGTCAGTGTTTCGCCAGAGCATTTTCGACTCGTTGCTCACTCCCGAGAAATGGCAGATACACCACACGACAAGTCGCTTCTGTGCTTGTCGTCACAGCTGGCATCATAATGACCACGCTCTCTGCCTCAAAACCCAAAACGCATGCTGCCCAAATAGACGCACCTCACGCCTCACTCTACGCGTTGGGCATCTCCATCCTTGCCCTTGCCCTCATCCTCTCAGGTTTCCTGGGACTCATCCAGGACTGGGTCTTTGCACGATACATCGCACCCGCTCAAGCTGCTTCCGATCCCGCAGAACAATCTTCATGGCAGGAACATATGTTCTACCTCCACTCCCTCGCTCTTCCCTTGTTCTACTTCTCCAAAGACAACATATCGACGGAGCTCACGCGCATGAGTTCTAGTCCGCCTGTTTTTCTTTCCCTGCCGCAGTCTGGACCTCTTGCACCATACGAGGCGGGCCTCGTTGTGCCCTCAATATTTGTCTACCTCCTCCTGAACACGTGCACGCAACTCGTGTGTGTCGTAGGAGTCAACAGGCTCACTGGGCGCGTCTCTTCACTGAGCGTGACCCTGATACTTACGGTGCGCAAGGCTATCTCATTATTGCTGAGTGTCGCAGTGTATGGAGGTCAGGGAAAAACGGAGATGTGGGCCGGTGCGGCATTGGTATTTATAGGGACCATCGTTTATTCGACTGGAAGCAAGCCGAAAGACAAAACAGAGAAGAAAGACTAGCGGGGGCCATCGTATAATATCGATTGTTACTGAGATTTAACTTAGAGGCTATATCCAATACATACCATGTATTCACCTGTTCTTCGTTATGATCCGGTCGTACTGCTGTCTGATCATGCATGAAAGGTAGTACAGTGTAGTGCTGAACAAGAGCAACTGAGATGGATCACGAGGCTTAAAAATTGTTGACAGGTATGAAACAAGCGAGGCTGGTATTGATATTCAAATTCAGATTGGAACAACACCGGCTTCAGCAGCTGACAGTGCAGTCACTGCATGTCTCAGCCAAGTTTCTTTCCGACAACTGCACTAGTACGTTGAATCATTAACTTTCCATCCATCTCTGCTTAAATATCGTAGGACCATGCAGCAGCAGGCCTCGGAGCAGGCGTCGTCGCCGTCCTATGCATGCACCCTCTTGATCTCCTCAAAGTCAAGCTGCAGGTAGCTACAACAAACCCACAGGGTGGGGTCGGAAAAGCAATATGGAACTCTTTGCGTGAAATACATGCAAGTGAAGGGTGGAAAGGACTGTACCGAGGTGTAGGAACAAATGTTGCGGGGAACGCGTCGAGTTGGGGACTTTACTTTCTTTTGTGAGTTGCATTTCATCATTGCAAATTTCGGGGCACGACGTTGATATACTTCAGCTACAATATGCTGAAGAAGCGCGCAGCTGGAGATGACCCTAATTATAGGATGTCCCCGGGAGCATACCTACTTTGTTCCGCTCAAGCGAGTTCGCCCTTCCGTTCCCTTTTGTCTTTATCATGTTTTCTTAACTTTTATATCATTAGGCGCGGTCACAGCTATAATGACCAATCCTATATGGGTTGTGAAAGTCCGTATGTTCACGACCCGTGCCGATTCACCAACGTCATATCATGGCCTCTGGGGTACGCCCGCCTTCCTGTCTCAATCCCTGTTATTTCGCTTTGGTTTATTAATTATACCGTGTTATTTTAGACGGCCTTTCTTCAATATGGAGGCAAGAGGGGTTCTCTGGCTGGTGGAAAGGGACTAGTTTGGCTTTGTTCGGCGTGAGCAACGGTGCGGTGCAGTTCATGGCATACGAGGAGATGAAACGATGGGGCTTCGAACAAAAGCGAAAACGGTTTGCAAAGGCAGGAAAGGTGATGGGACCGGAGGACGATAAGCTCGTGAGTTTTTTGCCCTCTTCGTTGCCTCACTTTTGAGACGTCGGCCAGTCAAACACATCTTACACATTAATGTCTGGTGCGAGCAAGCTCTGGGCTCTTGCGCTTACTTATCCGTATCAAGTTATTCGCTCTCGAATACAGGTGAGACGATTCTTGTTTGCTGCGTCACGTCTTAATCCCCGTCCCAGAACAATGCTACCACTCACTTATACCCCGACATACCGACCACTATCAAACGCACTTGGCAAGGCGAAGGGGTTCGTGGGTTATATCGCGGGATGGGAGCGAACCTCGTGCGCGTTCTTCCTGGCACTTGCGTCACTTTTGTTGTATACGAGAACCTTGCATGGTTATTACGGACATCTGCAGCGCGAAGGGAAGCAAAAAGACGAGGCACGACTACCGAGCTGGAGTGAATCTACTTTTCAGCCACTAGTACTCGCCTCAAAGGTTATGGATTGTCCGGTCTCCCATGCCGCATTAATATTCCGTTTCCACCAACTATGTCATTTTTTCCAGTCCCATGACATCTTCCAACCGATATGCTTCATGACACCGACTCTGTGAATGCGGATCCTCGACAGGCTCATGTATGAGGCAGAGACTCTCCAACCTGTGTGGTATTTTCTCTGACACCAATGGTCTTCCTGGATGTCTGCCTTTTAACCCTCGATGGCCACCCGTGGCAACTTCGCTCTTCGTGATCTTCGCTGTGAATGCTGGCGGAACGATTTTCTGCTGCGTCAACTACAATGATGCGCTCTATTAAGTACGTACTTTTTCAATCCTAGGATTTAATCATCAAGCACTTCGCCACTCTAAGACGCTTGACTTGTAATGGCTTTGGGCGAGGTTGTACACTATGTGATCCAGCCTGCAGGCTGGCCACGATATCATTGCTTCCTTCTCAGGCTTGCCGCCCGTTCCACTGTCCCGACCAGCCAGGTAGCGAGCGTCACGTATTGAACTAACATCCGAATATCACTACGGCGAAGATGCAATGTTCATCATCTTAGAACGTGGCCAAATCTGATCGACTGACCTGCGACCCTTCTTGCCGCATATGTTATCTTGTCTAGAATTCATTCATTCAGATCCAGGACCAGTTCAGGGAACGAAGGACGAATCGATATATTCTCCAGTTCAAGGCAGATGCCTTTCTGCAGTACTACGTGCCAATAGGTGCCAGTCTTGCCGACGCCCGTAATATTATTCCCCCGCTTTGCAGCACTGCATTTAAATTTTAATCAATAAATTAATATTTGATATTACCAGAGACATGTGCGGGGATCTTCGCGTCCTGCGAGAGATAAGGTCATCTAATAAGTAGATGGTCGTGGGGAGGCTCTGAGGAAAGTGCCTCAATCTACGCGAATGTGCCAATTTCACCCACCCCCATGTTTCTCTTCCGAGATTCCAATGTGAATTCACCTTATTTACAGGTGTAAGTGTAAATTTATACCCCTCTATTTCACCATATACTCAGGTCGCCTTCAGAGAAAGCTGCTCCCTCCAGAGTCTTTTTTTCATCTCCAGATTTGCGGTCTTCATCATCCCATGGAAGAGGACCGCCTTAAGGAAGAGTTCGTTCTGACTAATCAACAATATTCAACGCATGGCATTGGCAAAAATTAGATCTCAATCAAAGCGGAGACGTACCCATGATATGAGTTACCGCCACAGGCATAGCCCAATCTTATGGTCAAAAGAACCGTCCATCGGTAGGATCACCATACCGTCCCTCTATCACCTCTGGCAAAGGCTGGTGCTGCCTTGGGCCCTCGGCTTCCTGCTTGACTTTGCGCCTTCTCCATGTGGCACGAGTTTAGGTTCAGCACGATATTCCTTCGTCCAGGTGTACCTTCAAGTATCTTGACACCGAGGCTTTGCTGCGAACCTATCCGATGCTTGAATTCACTGCTAGTATTTGTGCTGTGATTCACATTTTGTATGAGATAGGTACACACTAAGATAGGTTCACATAACAATTATGTACTGTGCGTGAGTGTACCGTAGTACTCTACCGCCTTAAATCTGCAGAAATAAAAGTAGTCAGCACGCGAACAACTTGATCACAACAAACAGAAGTCGGTCAAAATAACTATAACTGCAACAGAGGTCTCGGCACAGAACGCCTCTCCCTCGCCCATTTGCACCTCTCCTCAAAACGAGGGGAAGCACAGAGCAAAAAAGGGACTGGATGCTTTTGCATCCCCATGCTCCCATAATGTAAAATTCATCCTACCGGCTGACTTGCTCAATAATGACACTCACATAATAAATGCGCAGGACAGATCACTGGTAGTAACATGGCATAGCATCTGTGAAAGCAGGAAGCGATGATCAGCTATACAGCTTAACATCAATCAACAAAGAAAGATGAGAAGCATCGATCAAATAACTATAACCTCACGTATCACTGCGCAGAAGCGTCCACTCCTGCACCTGTATATGCAGGCAGCCTCAAAACGAGTCCACCTGCTAGGCGATGGAGGGACTGGATTGTAAGTCCCTGCGCTCGTGGAAGGTAGGGTATCATCATGTCGATGCCCTCTTTCAAATGAAAGAAATGAAGGGAAGAAACCCTACTCACCTGTATCGATCGGTGCATGAGAGATCAAACAGAAAAAAATCTCGTTAAAAAGCGAGTATATTTGTTCTTGTTGTGCAGAGACTTTGACATTCAACAGGGACAAACAACCGCTTCCACTTGAAAGCATTTAGAATTTGGACGGTGAAGTGGTATTGAGGTCTGGGTGAGGTCCGTTTGAGTGTCCCTGTGCATAATGTTTCAGCGCTGATAATTCCATGGCGTACAGGTATTATGTCGACCTCTACTGTCTTTCGGACATTGACGCTCTCGCATCGTCGAATACTGCCCCGATGTCAGTGCAAGGTTGAAGTGCTCAGGTCTCTATGGTCTCCAGACTACTCTTTCGTACGCACATATGCCTCGGCTGGTCCAGCACGCCGCACTGGCGATGACAAAATTCCCTTTCGAATCGTCCGCCTCGTTGATCCCGAAACGGGTAAACTGGAACCCCCAACTCGTCTATCTGACGTTCTCGAATCTGTGGACCTGAAGGCTTGGCGAGTGGAGTTGGTCACGGAAGAGCCGGAACCCATCGTCAAGATTGTGGATAGACGCGAGTCATACCAAAAGTGGAAGGAGCTGAAGAAGGCGGTCAGGAAGGGCGTGAAGGCAGGAGAGCAGAAGGAGATACAAATCACTTGGGGCGTTGATGATGGAGATTTGAAGCACAAGATCACAAAGGCACGTGCAGAACTGGAGAAGGGACACCGAGTGGATATAGTCATTGCGCCGAGGAGAGGTCAGAAATTGCCCAAGCCCGATGGAATGGCAGCTCGCGCATCGGAGATCGCGTCGATGCTACTAGACATTGCAAAGGAGTGGAAAACACGCGACGTGCAGAAAACCATCACCGTCATGTCTTTCCAGAAAATTCCGTCATGACAAGGAATTGTATAGTTCCTAGCTGTGGGCAGATATATATTATACACAGTTATAGTACTTTTCCTCCATTCTGCAATTTTCGTCTCCATCTGTGCCTCCACCGGTACCTCCTACCAAGCACCCTCCATACCGTACGTCGAACAGGTAGACCGCGCGTCTTCAGTGTCCGTAGTGCATGTGGTCGGAAAGGAGGCCTGCGCAGCTTCGGGAAGGCAAATGGCTGCTTATTGAGCTCAGGCCGATGTCGATGTTCTTCGAAGCCATACGGCCACCGCCCTACAAACAAGCGTCTGAAGCCTGAAGGAATCTTGAATCCAAGTGCATGCATTTCCCTCACAATTCTACCCAGGAAGGGATTCCAGTTTCTGGGCCTCACACCTAGCTTAGAGAACTGGACATTTCCAAGAGTGACCTTGCGTCGCCAGTGCGCAGGGGTCGTACGACTTGATCGCTGGAAAGTCCTGGGCTGCCGACCGAACATCTCAAGGGCAGCATTGAAGAAACGCGCGTCTGGGCGGGGAGGATCGAGAGTAGCTTGGTCTACTTTCTGCAGCTCAGACAAGCCATTCCAGACAGCCATTCCAGCGTGACACATGATTCGATAGAGTGTTGCACCCATCAGTAACGCAAGAGTACGACGGGATCTGTGTTTGCGAGCAGCCGCATTTTGAGCGAGTACAAAACTCGCCCAACCTCGCACTTTGTTGCCACCAATCTTGGGAGCCCAGTCATTTGTTCTTGGCTTGAAGGCGCAGCGCAGCTCAAGACCACGCTGTGCTTCAGCACCGTAGCATTGCAGCATTATCGTATACGCTTGGATGGGCAAGCACCAAGGCTTCATGACATTGCCATCAATGCCAATAGCACCCGTCAAGCTTGCACGCTCGGCTTGTTTTGCAAGCAACCACACGCGCTCTGCGAGCCCTGTCTTCCCAGCCTTGCGAAGAGCATTGAGGACAGCGATGAAAAACCGCGGCCCGAGAGAGACGGCGCGCACAAGACGCATCTGGCGCGTTTGCGTACGTATCAGAACACGTTGCTCGTCCGTAACAGAGCCCCATGATGGGTGGTCGATGATGGACAGCTCGGGGATAACATGGAAAAGGATGTCAGCGACAACATCAGGTTTCCCTGTGGCCGTGAGGTGCTGGATGTAGCTCGTGAGCGTGAACGAGTCGGCCTTGAGTGGTTTTCCCATGGCTGGTAGCCCAGCCTCCCGATGTTTCAGGGCGACAGCCCATTTGGACTCTGCTCCGTTTGCCTCCAATCGATCGGCAGCGACTACCAGCGATGGTGGCGGCCGTACCATAATGGCATGTTGATCGTTTTCCTTTAGCCTACGTATTCGTTCGAGGGCGGACTCGGTAAGGTCATTCTGCCTCAACAAGGAGCCGGACCTAATAATCACATTGTATGTTGTGATATCCGGCCTTAAAGGTGGATTGCGCTTGTGTTCCAAGTGATGTAGCAGGCTTTTTGCAAGAGGGATAGATTGTCGATGGCGCAATGCGTAGTGAAGGAGGGCGTTGTAGGACTCAAGGCTAAGCGGGGGCATGACGTCAGATTGTTGTGGGCAGGCGCCTTCGGATGAACTTGAGAGATCGCTCGCCAGTTGCAGAATAACGCGATGGATGTACTTGTGAGGCTGCACCTGGACTTTCTTGCCAAGCTCTGTAGCCCATACTTTGTCTGGGTCTTTGGGCACTGAATAAAGGGTGCGTAATACGGAGGACACATCCGTGTAAGGAAGTAATCGCGCATCAAGAAGGCCGGCAATGATACAGAGCGCTTGAAGAGCTGCTTCACGTCGTGGCTGATTGTGTTTCTCTGCTGGATCAAGCATAATTTCTTTCTGCGCCTTGGAAAGTACCATCTTCAACATACGTTTTGAAGGGGGGCTGCCGTCTAGTGATCCAAGTCCATGCCGAGGCAGTATGGACGCAGACGCTTCCCACTCCTGCTCTCGTACTTGGGCGGCTGCTCGCTTCATCTCCCAGTCTTTGACCAGCAGTACGAACAATAGCGACGCGACTATAATTTCGCCCTGAACGAGACAAATATTGATGATGAACTGGTAGGTGTTCTCATAACAACGTTGCCGATGCTGCCGGGCGTAGAGAAGAAGCTTGAGAGCGAGGCGTGTGCCTTGGTCTTCAACTTGTTTCGGTTTGATATCCCATGGGTCTCGTTGTGAGGGTCTTTGAGCCTGTAAGAGTTTTCCATCTTTGGCTCGTTCCGTTTGACACTGAATAACTGCATGCAGCGTGGAAGCACGAATTGGAGTGCCGTCTTGCATGAGATGTTCTGCAAGTTGACGTGCTCTCAACGACATGCGTTGGCGTACGAAGTGGTGCAACAGACAATGGGCAGACAGAGCTGGTGAGACGGGTTGACCAAAGTCGATAGGTTTGTAGTCGAGTTTCGGCATGAGTAACCCTCCGCCCTTATCAGTTGAAGACTGCGGAGGAAGGTTGGAACGGCGCAAAGAGTTGACTATGAATAGCGCGTCGGCAATAGCGCCATTCGCGCATGACATTCGGACAGCACGGGCTGCGGCGAAGGATATTTCGGAAGCTGTTGCAGGCGAAGGTGGAGACGAAGGGTTGGTAGCCTCTTGGGTATAAGTATGGGAGGGGAGAGGAAGTGAATGTGCCTGCGGTGGAGAAAGATATTTGCAAGAAAGTGAAAATGGTCTATGCAGGGATGGATGGGGTGGATAAGGGTGAACAATGTTTGACGGGAAGTGAATGCTAGAGGTCAATCCTCTAATAGGGAGGGCCGCATGGCTGGCACGATATCGAATGCTGTAGGCGGCTTGTGACCAAATCCATTGCATGTGTCTCTCATGCCTGCCAACATATAAGTCAGTCAACCTATACACACAAGTGACACTCACCACCTTGCCTACAGGCACTGGTCTTGATTGACTTAGCAATTTTAGGCTATTCCGCAGCCTTTCCGCAAAAAGTTGGCTGGGTCTTGCAGGCGACGTTGTTAGTGTCCTCCTTGACCGTCGTACAACTTGAAGGTTTTGGAGGTTATAACCAAGAAAGGCAGTTTCTGACTCACGTGACAACCTACTGTGGAACTTTGGAAGAAATAAAATTCAAGGTCAGCGTCTAACTTACCAGACGGCGACGTCCAAAGAATCGCAGAAGACAGTTGCTAATTTTCGGCTGAAACATGAGCTACGATAGATCACACTACGACAGACCTCATCGTGGGGGCGGAAATCGTCGACGCTACAAAGGTGAGGCATGTTGCGCATCAACCAACAACTTGAACCAATTATGGTCCAGACGATTATGACGCGCACGACAGACGGAGGGAATCCTTCGAATCCCCTGAGCAGATACTCAAGAATACAATTATTAAGCTGGGAGAAGTGGTAAGTCCATTCTCCTGCCAAATGTTCTTTTCACTGATAGCTGGTTGTTTCAGGACGTCGTCCAAGAGCTTCCGCGACTAGCGAAGCAAATCCGCGAACAGGTACCAATTTCGGTGCCAGCCATATCTGAGGGTATTCGAATAGCGTGAATCTATTACTCCTTCCATTTAGAATTTCGCTGACGATGCCACCTCAGTGTAACTGAACAACCGTACAAAATACCCTACTACGCAGCCCTTCTCCGCCTCTTGCACGACCCAGTTGAAGGCGAAAATGCTGAATCTTCCACAAGTTCCTCTCTTGGAAAGCAGGTCCTAGAAGATTTTTGGAAGGGCTTCCAGGGGTACCTAGACAAGCTTGCATGGAGAGATGTTCGACAATGTGTAAGCGTTGCTTCCAGACCTCAGAATTCGTCTCCCCCTGAATAGCGATGTATAGATTCACTTCTTTGCGCACTTGACGGTGGCCCAAGTTATCTCCATCGAATCCATGTCTGCACTCCTCCAGTCGTTTGCTGCTGTCCTCGACGAGTTTGGTGTTTCCTACGGACGCGGCAGAAATGCGGCCCTCTGTGCTATTGAGGGTCTAATTATCGTGCGCTACTCTCTTTGGATTGTTTCAAGGACTCTAGTAACTCTTTTCGCAGAGCGGTGCAGTAATGGCAAAGAGCTCATCTTCCAACACCACTGAGATAATCAAGACCGTCCAAAATTACAACGATTCTATCTACGCGCCCAAGTTGCTTGTCCAGCCTGCAATGAGTTTGTTTACAGAATACAGGTCTTTGGAAAATGCTGATGAGGTTCGCTTTTTTATTGCACATCACAATGCAGCTAATCTGGTGTGAAGGTCGTCGATACTGGGCTCGTCGTGCTGAAAGCTCTTGACTCCTCTGAATTTGTAGAAGCGTCTGAGAGCTTCCCGCAGCCCTACCTTGATTTCCCAGATCTAGATCCCACAGAATCTGCCCCTTTCGAGCTGCCTGCAATACTGGTACCGCCTGAAGTCATTGAACTTGACGGGCTGGCTACAGATGCCGGCGAAGATGCACAGGTCAAGAAAGAGGACTGGCCGCAGTACTTCTTTCATCTGTTTGATAATGAGGTGCGTATTGCTCTGTGATATTCCTCACGTATGAACACGCACAACTTTAGACCACCCCCGACCCTGCTACGCCCGCTGGGTTCCTAATACGGTCCCAAATCCTTGACACGATTGACATATTTGAGGTTAATCGCAAAGAATGTGCACGTCTCCTCCTGGAGTATCCAAAATGGTGTGTACCTGGTACATTCAAGCCGAAACCTGGGGCTCCTGAGCCTGAATTCGAATCTGGGAAGAATTGGCAGTTGGAGAGTACTGTCATAGAGGTATGTCCCAGTTAGGTCTTTCCGTATCTATTGTCTGACTCGCTGTTAGACCGTCTTGGGCTCTCTTTACCTCCTTCCGGAATCGACACACAAAACAGTCTACCACATTGCCCTGATTACCGAGCTGTGCAAGCTCTCGCCGTCAACTGTCGGCCCTGCCGTTGGAAAGTCAATACGCAGATTGTACACTGCTCTTGGGGACGGATTTGATGTGGAGAATGCTCGACGCTTTGCAGAGTGGTTCGCGGTACACATGAGCAATTTTGGTTTCCAATGGGTTTGGAAAGAATGGTCAATGCTTTCCAAATTATCCTGCATGAGCCAAGTGCTGAAACATCCTCACAGGTTATCCGACTTGGAGCTGTCAGAGCAGCACCCTAAGCGCACCTTCATGCGCCGAGCACTAGAGTTTGAAATACGGTTGTCGTACCATGACCGAGTTTTGAAGACTTTGCCTGAACCTATGCAAAACGACACCACTGTCATTTCTGATCAGACTCCAGGCCCGGCCTTTGAATACGAGGACCCAAGTATGGCCCTTTGCTCCTTGCATCCTTGTCACTAACGCTCGTTCATAGCTCATCCACACTACGATACTGCCCAGTCAATCCTGTCTCTTCTGCGCGGACGCTCCAAGGCCGACGAAGTGCTGTCACACATCGAATCACTGAAGACCACTCTGGAGTCCTCAGGTACTCACCTACACGTAGACAACACGATTCGGTCAATCTCGATTCATTGCTTGCTCTCGATTGGCTCACGATCCTTCTCACATCTTCTCAATGCCATTGAGCGTTACCTGCCCCTCCTTCGGGGGCTCGCCGGCACCGATGCAGAATCCAAACAGGATATTCTTAGTGCTGTCGCGTCGTTCTGGCGTCTGAACCGACAGATGGTGAATATTGTGTTTGACAAGCTCATGCAGTACCAGATCGTCGATCCTACAGACGTTGTTGGGTGGACGTTCGAGAACGTTGGAGGGGACGCGCACCTTAGTGGGATGCGGCCGATGAGCCTGAGCGCATTTGAATGGGACTTGTTGAAAGGCGCACTGGATAAGGCAAATGGGCGAGTCATGGTGGCGAGGAGGAAGGTCGCCGCGCTCAGGAAGGAGCACGATGATAGCGTTGCGCGCGTGAAGGCGAGTGGTGGTGCAGATGTTGGATCCATCGAGATGGATGCCGACGTAAAGCCTTTCAAGCAAGGTACTCTTCCACAAACTATCATACATACTTCAGGCTGACCAGAGTTTCCTAGATGACTCTGCCTCAGAGAACCCTCAGTTGACGGTGGCACTCAAGGCGTTCGCCAGCCTCACCCGCGAGCAAAAAGGAGCTCTGGCACGGACAATCGAAGGCTTTGTGTCATGCTTGGCGCCATCTCCATCTGCAGAGCGCCAAAATCCTCATGCCGACACAGTAATCACAGAGCAAGCTTGGAACGAACGAGTTACATGGACCGCGGACGAGTGGAATACGTGGGAAACATGGGGTTGGTACCGACACTTTTGCAGAACGGCAAGTATTTCTGGAAACTGTAGTATTCATGGACTTATAATCTTGTTCTGCACAGTACTCTCCATACTTGCGAAACTATCAAGAAACGCTGGGTACAGTCGGGTTCGCCAAAATTGAAGGCTCGACGAGCCCTGCTGCCAAGCTGATGAAAAAGACTTGGGGTATGGCGACTGGTCAAGAATCATAATGGTTTTCGGTCCTTGGTGTTGTTGTATATATGTGCACATATGTATACAAGGGCGTCATTGAGCTCATGACAGCTCTATATGCTGATATCGCAAGAAAGGGTCTTTTTTCTGCATGTCCTCGTTACCCGTTGAAGTATGCGATAACCGAAGTGTCTCCAGCAGCAGAGTCCAGCTTGCTTTGTCTCGTCTTGTGATATTGATGGGTCATCTGATCCTCTAGAAACCTTCCATCATGATGATCATTCTTCTATTGGACACTTGCAGGCCGCCTATTCTCAGCGCCAGTGTCTTGCCGTTGGTTTTACTGCTTCTATTTGCTCATCCTGCTAAAATCGTGACCTTCGCTTCCATCAGTAGGTCATCTCAAGATTAGAATGCCGGGAGAGAACCCACTGCGCACACGATGCGCGGGCATTATGATTGCACCTTGAATTCCTGATGCCCTGCCATCATTTCCACTTATACGCTACGCCTTCGGACTCATGAGCATCCCCTCTCAAAGACCACTCCACGATCTTCTTGTAACGACCTTGTAACGACAATCAACGATGCGTGCCTCGATAATCTGCCTCGTAGTCTTATTGGCGGCTGCTACTCTTGTTTCATCTCGTCCAAGTGCTTCTTATCTCGCCCAGTCTTTTCGGTTGCTGTCGACTGCATCGTACAAAAGGCAAAGCAGCGGATACGTTCCTTCGCAATGCACCTCAACCTGTGATCCTGTCAACAATGAAGTGAATGCTGTGAGGCTGCATCCCTCGCCTTGTCCGCGTTATTCTGCTTACTCTCGTCCAGGGATGCCCTATAACCACGTGCTGCACCCAGTCCTTTGAAACAAGCTACTACAACTGTCTCATATGTGTTGGCACTGCGCTGAATGCTACAGATTATACACAGGCGCAAGCCGATCTAGACCGTAAGTTCAGCTTCACATAAAATATATCCGAGTAAATCGCCTGATCAATACACTAGAACTCTTCGTTTCTTGCTTCGATTACGGATATACACTCCAAGAGCTCACTCTCCCTGGTCAAAACCCGTCCCGCACCCTCTCAACTTCTTTACTTGTTGGCTCTTTGCCTACAGCTACGTCCACGAGTACTCTTTCTACAAGCACTTCGCCCGCTTCTTCTGGCTCGGCAACGTCATCTACGCCTACAAGCGCTGCGCTGAGGCTGGGCACAGGAGGAAGCGGAGTTTGGGCTTTGGCTGCTGCTGCTGCTGCTATAGGACTGGTCGTGCTCTAGAGAAGCGGGTTGACTGGGAAACCCCTGTATCATTTTTCTTGAACTTTCTTAGATCAGCACTCTCAAACGTCTTTCCATCTAGTTGAAAATCGTCGATTTCTACGGGCGCTATACAATGTACAAACTGTATGAGCTTCTTTTTGTGTCCTCTGTGAACTGCTGGTCCTCGCCAACATGACACACCTGGCTAAGTGAGGGAGGTAAACAGTTCCTGTGGCGCGCAACCGAAGTCCAACGCTCAGGCACAACTATAAGACATCAATCACACGCATAGGTCGTGGCTTAAAACCGTGACCTTCTTCGCTTCCATCAATAGCCCCCCTCAAATTACTTGAATGCCGGGAGCACGAATCCTATGCGCACATGACGCATGATCATCATGACTGCACCCTGACGGCCATCTTTGCACTTAAATGCTGTGTTCTCGGGCCCATATAAACATCCTCTCCCAAGGACTACTCCACGATCTTCGCGATACGACCTTGTAACACTAACGACCGTCAACGATGCGTGCCTCTACAATCTTCCTCGTCGTCTTATCAGGAGCTGCTAGCCTTGTCTCATCTCGTCCAAGCGCTTCTTATCTCACTCAGTCTTTCCGGGCGCTTTCGGGTGCGTCGTACAAAAGACAATCCAGCGTTCCTTCACAATGCACCTCAACCTGCGACCCTGTCAACAACGAAGTGAATGCTGTAAGCTGCATCCCTCGCATTACCTATGTCGATTAGTACTAACTCTCCTCCAGGGATGTCCCATATCCGCATGCTGCACCCAGTCATTTGAAACAAGCTACTACGACTGCCTCTTGTGCGTTGGCACTGCGGTGAACGCTACGGATTATACACAGGCACAGACCGATCTAGACCGCAAGTTTTCTGTTTCACCTAAAACACATCCGAGCCAATCATCTGATCTATATGCTAGAACTCTACGTTTCATGCTACGATTACGGCTATTCACTCCAAGAGTACACTTTCCCTGGTCAAAACCCGTCCCGCACTCTCTCAACTTCTGCCCTTGTCGGTTCTTCATCCCTTGTCGGTTCTTCATCCATTGTTGGTTCTTCATCCCTTGTTGGTACTCCAACTGCTACTACGACCATCTCGAAGTCTACTGTACTGCCTTCAGGCACTTTATCTACCCCCTCTGGCACATCCGCCTCCTCTGGCACGTCGGCATCAACCAATGGCACAGCGACTTCGTCTTCGTCCACGCCTACAAGCGCTACGCTTGGGCTAGGCCCAGGAGGAAACGGAGTCTGGGCTTTGGTTGCTGCTGCTATAGGATTAATCGTACTCTAGATAAGCGGAATGCTTGACTGTGAAAACTACTGTATAATTTTTCTTGAACTTTCTTTTGATCAGCGCTTCTCGAATGTTGATAATTGTGGATTTCTACGGGTGGTAGATATACAATGTACAAACTCTACGAGCTGATTTCTGTGCCCCGTGACTCATAAATTGCTGGTTCTCGCCAATATAACACGTCTGACTGAGCGAGGTTCCAAAGCCCCTGTGATACGCAGGCACAACTACTATAGGACATCAATCGCACGCATTAATAAAAGCAAAGATACGGGCATAAATAGCATTAAACATCAGACGCCCAGCGCCCAGCATGAGAATGATCACAACCGGGCATTCTTAGGCATCTTCCTAATAGCCTGCCGCACGCCAAGGTCTCCCAGCACATCTTCCGCACCGGCAAGAATAGCATCGAAAGGTGACGTGCGATGATACTTGGCGCGACCCCGTTAGCATGGTTAATGAAAGAGCAAAAGTCCAGACATACATTCTCAATGACTTTGCCCATGCCCGTGACGGTGATACCCCGACCTCCGAACATCTGGGTTGCGTCCTCAGCGGTTTCACGGCCAGCCTTTGACACAAATCTGCATCGCAGTCCATCAGATTAAGCATGAAACGAGGAAGCGGACATCGCATACTGTTTGAGCAATGCAATAGGACCTGCGAGTTTGTCTGATTGTTCATCATAGGACATCTGTATAGAGTTTAGGGTGGCGATGCTCAGAGGAATTTGGGACCAACGTTGTTCATTTGATGCGTGATATTCTCTACCCATGCCTGGCATGCTTCCACGCGGGAAATCATCGCTGCAAGTTTTGCGCGGATAACTGCTTGAGCATGAAGAGGCTTGCCAAAGGCAATTCGTTGGTTTGTCCACCTGCGATATTGCATCAAAAGTCAGAAGACTTCAAGAATAACATGGAATACACCCTTACTTCAAACACTCCTCAACCACAACTCTTTGCGCACCAAGACTCGTCGAGGTGACCATCCACCGTTCATGATTGAAGTTGCTCAGGATAATCGACATACCCTTCCCGACTTGACCCAAGGTATTGGCAACCGGCACGCGTGCCTTGGTAAAGGTGATAAAGGCAGTCCCAGCGGTTGAGGAGTAGGACGTTTTCACCGCTTTGGTAGACACATCATCCGAGCGCTCAATGAGCAAGACAACAAACCCGGCCTGTAATGGTGGTGAGAAACGGTGGCACCAACAAACAAAGATGAACACACGTCTGTTTTGCAAAGTGTCGTGAAATAATCTGAGAACGTCCCATTTGTTATCCACCTGCAACAGACAGTGAGTAATCCGTTATCGAGAGGCAATTCAAATCATGCATGCGCACTTCTTAGTTCCGGTAACAACCCACTCGTCACCATCTCTCACGGCAACAGTTTGCGCACCACTGACGTCGCTGCCTGCAAATGCTTCTGAGACAGCAAGGGAGATGTATTTCTTTCCAGCCAGAATATTTGGTAAGAACTTGGCTCGTTGCTCCGGGGTTCCGAAATTAAGAAGTGGGGGGAGGCCAATAACCCCGCCATTCAGGAGGCCGTCCACGAATCCTCGCGTACCGAATCGCGCAAGCTCGGTGTGGAGAATAAGCTATGAGATCATGTGAGCGAGCAAAGAGTGTACTCGGTAAGTAGCGTACTTCATGAAAGTGGTCGTATTCCTCAGGCTTCACGATGCCACCCATCAAGGTAAGTCCCTTGAGGTGCTTGCCTGGTCCCAGGCGCATAGCCAAAAAATTTATCTCGCTGTGGCATCATTAATAACCAAGTCATGGAAGTTTCACGCTAGAGAGCTTACCTTAATTTATCCACGACTTCTTGCGATATCCTCTTCCCATTTTCCTCACATTTCACTGCCTCAGGTAATATAAATTCCATCATGAACGCCCTTACAGCCTTGTGGAATTTGCGGTGGTTGTCACCATAGTAGGGGCTGAAGTATCCAGGTGTGAGCCACGTAGGCTCAGCATAGGGCACAAGAGACAGTTCACCAGGAGCAAGAGGCTTGATCATTTCAGTCTGTCCATGGACGACTCCTATTTGGAGACGCGCAAACTGAGGACGTTGGAGAACCTCAAGTCTGTGAAGTCCGAAGAACACCTGAGTAGCGTCCTTCCCAGCTGGGATGAACATGAATATGAAAATTGAGTCTGAGTGTCATTGCGCTTGCCTACGCCGTCAGCATACAGCACGCCTGAGCCTCCTGGGTGAAGGTTTGCGAAGCGGGTTACATCATAAACTTTGGAGTCTATGACAATCCACTGTGTAAAGAATTAATAGTAGATTGATAAACGGTATAGCACGCACGAGGTCCCCTTCCTTGTTATGCTGTAAACGTATCTATCAGCGTGCGCTAGAATGTCGATCGAGAGCTTCCCGATGCTCACCTGGGCGATGTCATCGGGTATGAACTCTTTAGAAGGCATAATGCTGCTGGTGACCTCGCTTTCCTCGAAGCTTATACTGGAGTCCGGAAGGTTGTCGCTTGAACTCAACTGGACGCTATTAAGCGGCTCGGAAGAGGGATTGGGATTTCACATGACTGAGGACAACAAACCACTTTGCCACGCAACTTAAGCCGTGGGATACAGCAATGACTGAGACTCTGACACTGCGACACCGTCGAGTCGTATCTCTACATCTTAACTCACATACATATGTGACAATTGCCACGCAAAGCCGTGAGAGTACATAGATTTGGGATGCGTACTGTAATGAACATAAGTACGTTACTGCGAATACAAAGTTGCTGAATACGACATTGTCGGGTTATTGCCGGGAGTAGCAGGCACATCGATATCTCGGTCTGCTATCACCGAAATTGATATAGCTTCGCTGTCCTTCGCATCTTCTATTCACGAGCTTGAAAGCCAATGGTAATTTGTGCGCACCTTCTCTAGCCTTCTGTACTGATCTATCTCCTGCAAAAGTAACTATCAACCGCACCAGGGGGGTCTAGTAGAGTGGAGCTTCAAAGCCTCGAGTCCGCCTGGTACTTGATGCGGTGAATACAACAAGAGTCTTTGTAAACACGTAGGCAACGACCACACCGGCGGTTGCGAGTCCTATAGAAATGTGCTCACACTCGGAAAATGGCACCCTATCACTGAGCTACAGATCTGCCATTGCCCGAAGTTGGTAACCGCAGAATTATGGTTCTCGCAGTTGTCAGCCGAGTTAATGTTTCGGGCAAAGATGAAAACGGCGAACGCAATGTCACAGTACGCCGACAGTCGGGAGCCGCAGTCTGCCGCAGTTGTCAGTGTCATGGCGCTAATAAGTCCGATTTTGCCTGTCAAGGTTCCCGCGAAGCGAGAGGGAAATGATGACGTGCAACGCCAGACAGCAGGATTGGACAGGATGCAGGCCCGTGGAGGACGGTCATTCGATGAGTGCAAACCTGCCAGCCAGCATGAAAGTATAGACGTGTGCGTAATCACCGCGTACCATGAACGTTTGGAGTTTGATTGGACACAAAAGACAGTGCAAAGAGAGGGGTGGCCAAGGTGGCCAATCCCCATGTTTCAGTCTGAATGAAATTCTCACGGTAAGTAATCTATTCCCACGGGGTAGAAGAAGAGATTTGTTTTACTTTACATTTGTGATTACTGCAAAATCTCCCTTCACATCTTCAATCATGCTGGCTCTCGTTCATCCGGTCCATTCCACAGAACCTAGAACTATCGATAGAACTGGCGTAGACAGAAACATTTCAAGTCTACCTCGCACTTCCTCTGCTCGCTCAAGTTCTAGCAGAGTTCCACATTGGAAACCGCAGGCACCGACAACCACTTCTGTATTTCACTCATCTTCATCTTACTGTCCCCCAGCACCACGGAGATCAGTTTCTGCATCCTCAGCTGTGGCCAGGGATTCTTCTCCAATTCGGCATAACCCCCCCGTCCAGTCATCCCAGACAACATCCGAATCGTCCGCCAAAGTCCTTCCCCCTGATAACCCTCCAAGACCTGCTTCTCCAATTCCTCCACCTCAAATAAACTTACCAGCCTCTGCTTCATCTTTCGACATTCACAACTACCCCTCAGCAGACTTGCTTCGTCTCCTTGCTTCACTCCTTACACAGATTGCATCCACCAACGACGCAATCTCTGGTTCAGACCCAGCATCCCATACTTTGGAAAGTCTATCGCATAGCAATGTATCGGAAGATGCGTCTCATCCCCCTATATGGCGTTCCCTCACCTCTGCCTCCCGCTCCTCCCTATCAAATCCTGCCTCCGCCCTCACTTTCCATGCTCGCAACATTCCGACTATCGCACTCGAATCATACCTCTTACGAATACTCAAATATTGTCCAACTACAAACGAGGTGTTCTTAGCCCTCCTCGTGTATTTTGACCGCATGTCCCGGCTTGCCTCAGAGGCCACAGGCCGCACGTTTGTCATCGACTCGTATAACGTTCATAGACTTGTCATTGCTGGAGTCACAGTCGCCAGTAAATTCTTCAGCGATGTATTTTACACTAATTCCCGGTATGCGAAGGTGGGTTTCAGCTTCACAGACCTATTCAAAATATTCACTCCACCCTAAATATCGCTATCTTGACTCAGGTCGGAGGTCTCCCTCAAGCAGAGCTCAACCAGCTCGAACTCCAGTTTTTGCTTCTCAATGACTTCAGGCTCGTCATATCGCCCGAGGAGATGCAAAGATATGCAGAACAGCTCATCCTCTTTTCGCAATCACAGCCACCACAGCCATCGCCTCCCGTGCCCCGCCCTGTAACTCCATCACGCTCACAGCAATCAACGGTGCAGACACGTTCATCACCTACCACAGCATCTGGTCCAGCACGGGCTATGGGTGCTATTGATGTATATGGTGGCTCAGTGGCGCCCGATCGGACGCCCAGTATGCGTGCTGTACGCACGCGTGACGATGACGCCGCGAGCATCGTCAGCACCGAAACCGATACAGAAACTGAAACGGAGGGTGGCTACACGACAGACGACGAGCCGACGATTCGGCCACCCAATTCTTCAAGTTCATGCTGCGGAGACGCCGAGGAGTGCGAGAGCGCCGGTGAGTTCCGCACTGCCAGCGTAGATCAGAGCGGCGAGTGTATGCAGAGCGGAGTGGAAGATAAAGAAAGAGAACGAGGCGACATTACGCCGGAGCTGAAAGCCCGGCGGCTTGTACGAGAGATTAGCGAGGACATTGGGATGGCGAGCCCTTAGACTGTTGCCAAATGATTGCTCCTGCGACACCTCCTCACCTTTGCTCTCCGGGCATCTGTTTGACTAGCCCGTAATACTTCTTCATACCTTCTACAGTGCACGCCAATCACTTACATTCAAATCACACATTGCAGTCATATCGTACAGTAGTGTCTATACCTCGCCTTCAATTCATACTTTGGCACTAGGCGCTGAACTTCATGTTTATTTAGCATGTGTTATACTAGACTCGAAGGGTGATATCGTTGCTGGCTGACCAGTGCGGAAACTTTCTTCAACTTTTTGTTCCATACGTAGTAGGCTTTGCCGCATGTCTTTGGCACGCGGGATCTGCATCTACCGAACAGGAAAGCACGAACGTACCCTTTCTGGGGCGTTCTACTGGCTGAATGATCGCTTTTGCGACAAACGACCGATTGTTGACTCAGGGACAGATAGGTCGATTCGCCAGGCGCGACTTGACCTCGCGCCAGTTTCGAGCTGGCATCCAATCAGCAAGCCACTTTTCCATCTACCTAGGACAGCGCAGGGGAATCGCAGCACTGACCCTATTGTTAGCCCTGCAATGTGCCTTGGGCGTCTAACGAGACACCTGGCAGGTTGGCAAGAATGCCGCAGTGAAGCGGCACATCAGCGATCAGGCCCAGTACACACGCCAGGCTGCAGTTTAGAGCGGCGACAGCCTGATCAAGTACAGTGTGTTGCAAATGACTTTAGAATCTCGTTTTCAAAATTGTGTTTGTTCCTTTGTTTTGACGTGTGACTTGTGTCACACTTGGTCAATCATTCCGGTTTTCGCGCCACTGCCAGCCAGGCTAGATTATCTGATGATCAACTAGAGTTTGCACATTTTAAAACATCTGTATCTCTACAACACATCCACATAAAAATATAATTTCTTGACGGATAGATAGCCTGATATTGAAAGTACAAGACCCGCTGGTTTTTTCTTTCAAAATTGACGTGTTGAGTCCAGCGGAGAGTTACCGCGCAGAAAAGTGTGATTTTCCCTAAGTATGTAGATTCAGACTAGAGCCGATGTGCGAACTCTTGTGATGCGCGAACAGATTAAAATATTTAATATTTAGCATCTCTGATCACTCCTGAATTCAATTCAGAATGCGCCAGAATATGAACAATGGAAAACTGTTGGAATTTTCTTAGAAAACTAGCTCAATGTCTTGCAAAATCACGCGAGTATGGCCAGAGTTACACAAAATTGTTGCGGACAAGGCCATATATTATAATTATTTAGTATTGACAGTATTGACAGAGGGAGTGCCGTTAAGTTCAGATTGAAGATACGAGTGTCAGAGTGCAATTGATACACCCTGAGGTGGAGGAGACAATATTTTCGAGTCGTTGATGTGACAGAAAGTCCCGCATTTGGCTATTACGAACTATTTTACAAACACCGAGCTCGCAAAAAAAATCTTGTGCATTCTAAAGTCATTTGCAACACACTGTAAGTCGACCTCGACCATCAAACACTGGCCAACAGAATGTCTGAAGTAGCCCAACCTATGATTCCAAGCACCATATATAAGAATCGAACTAAGGAGAGAATATCAGCGTCTATAAGAGAACTGCTAGTCATTATTAATACCTAAGGAGAGAATCTAGAGACACATTAGAGTGAGACTAAGCCAGCGCGAAGAATGAACGGAAACATACCTCAGCGTCTATAAGAGAACTACTGAGGTATAGGTATTAGGCATCAGCGAATTCCCTACGAGATTGTAAACGATTATAATATTTGCTTGCACGTGATAGGTTGTGATTGTATTACAAATCAGTACAAACAATTGCGATGATTGCAACCTGCTTGTGTGCACCTATATTTCCCACAATACTAAGTTAGTAAAGTGGTACTATGTGACACATAGTGCCGCTTTATTAAGCATTGTATTTGCTTGTATCCCCGACTCTCCAGAGGAGGGATTTTATGGTCATGATCAGTCGTTCGTTCTATTAAACTCATACAGTTCGTGTGTCTTTTTTGGATGTCGGACTGGGAAATGCCATTTTGGTTGGTTTTCGGAATCGGCATGTCTTGAAAGACATCGTGATCTTAGATTGGGTGGAGCATCTCAGATTGGTGGATTGAAACTTTGTTATGCTGTCGCTTACTAAGTTCTTGGTGAGTTTGAAGTTGCACAATATACTGACAGTTCGTCACATCTTGACTTTCTGTACCCAAATGAGCTGGCGGCAGCGCAGTGCGCATATATTCAAATTGTATTACTTAATATTCAATAATATTCATTTAATTATTCTCAATTGCCATTTTAAGTTGAGCAGTATAATATAATATCAATAATTGCACCAGGCCTTCCAGACCCAAGATATCCGCCGTCAGATACTAATGGTCCGGAAGGTGTTGGTGAGCTGGTGGAAAAGCAGAAAAACAGCCATCTCTCCGCCGGAGGAAAACAGTAGCGGAAATTTGGCGGAAACACAAGGTCTAGATTAGAATAGACAACACGCAGTGTCGAGAGTATTTGTCGTGTCTGAATATTTCCGTTGGCAGGAGAAAAAGGTCGAAATATAGTAACATTCTTCCTTTCTCGCGTGGATTCTCGCTCTGCCAACTGATGCATGATGAGTTGCTCATTTCACTTTCTTCTTTATGCAATGAGCGGGACTTGTCTACTCCTCCTCGTATGATTCTAATCAACAGATTTCTTAATAGGCTCGATGGTCTGAGACTGTCTGTTCTGATAGTTGCTGATCCTTTGTATCTGTGGTGGGTTTCCGGCGTTCCGCAGCATCCGATCTGTTGATATTCAGAATCAGTTGCCTTTCAATTTCGCATCTCCGTGAGCTACTGACAAAATTCCATCCCGATTGTCGTCCTTTGTTTTTAGGAGGTGTTAGGTCGGTTGAAAAGCCTTATGCTAAAGCAGTGCGATCTCAATTTCTTCCGCCGTATTGTGGATTTTGGTCCCCATATTGATGTCACTCTGAGTTCTCGTGTTTTCGGGACAAAAAAAGGCAGACAAGATTTTCAGAAAGGGTACATATATATGATGAGTCATTATCTGTATTCAATAATGTGAGAAAATACAAAAAAAGGGGAGGGTTCCAGAGAGCCATGAAAATTCTTAAGACAGAATCGACAACAAAGGAGAGTCGGGGATTGGCGCCTGCGCCCTTACGATGGAGCACCGCCGGTGCACACCAGTGGTGCTAGGTACTTACGCTACACCAAGTCCCCAACAAATAGTCAGCACGTGAATATGATATCCAAAACGGGCAATTTGTACTTGTCACTTGCTCACACCACTCCACACGTTGCCGAAACTTTCGTGCTCGCTGTTGCACACAGCGAGCTCGAGTATTCCACCATTCCACTGTATTTTTTTATAGTTTTTTCACTGTGCCATGTAATATGTTATTAAATATTATCTATTTCACATTTTTAAACCTAATTAAGTTGAGAGAAAATGTACATGGTTGAATGAATACTGCAGAGGTAACATGAGTCCTCCACCTTGTCCTCTGGGCCTCAACCCATTTCTCTCTGGTCGAAAAAACACTATTTAGCTGTAAGAACATTCCTAGACAAAAAGAAATCAAATCCAAGGAGTGCTGGAAGCAGAGGAGGGCACTCTGGGGGGAACATTGAGGGTAGGAGAGGTATAGAATAGAATACATGGGACTGTGGATCAATTAGGCGTTTATAGATGTATTATAAACATACCTGAGTGAAGTGAATATGGGCAGAGGGCCCAAGGACTGCAAAAAATGCGACCAGGGCAGGGGTGTGTCAGGAGGTCACACAGAAACCAAGATAACTACTCACCAATGAGAGGAGGATATAAGCAGTGTCCAGGGAGTGTATTATGACTATATGAGAGTCATATGAGCCACTGTACCTGGCAATAAAATTGCTAGATGAGATACAGTGATGAAAACAACAAAAAACACGAAAATACACAGAGAGACTCACCATGGGGACCAGGGTACAACACTAGCACATATAACAGTGTATTACATGTCCTTGAAGCGCCATTGGCAGCTTGGAGGGAGTTCATGAGGAGGAGAACAAGTTATAAGCAAAAATACCTAAAAATGCGAACCATAAGACTTACCATCCAAGAGAGGTGTCCAAGGGTATACATTGATCCCAAAAACATCAGGACATGTAGAGAACACCTATAAATGTTATCAGTGAAAGTTTCAAGACATACCAGTGAGTTGTGGTTGAGTTAGTCAAATTAAAGATTGAACATGTATGTCTGTAGTGCGTCACACAGTTGCCATATGTGTGTCGCAGTGCAAACACACATAATTCTCTCGATAATTACTTGTTTTCACCCTAACTCAACCACAACTCACTGGTATGTCTTGAAACTTTCACTGATAACATTTATAGGTGTTCTCTACATGTCCTGATGTTTTTGGGATCAATGTATACCCTTGGACACCTCTCTTGGATGGTAAGTCTTATGGTTCGCATTTTTAGGTATTTTTGCTTATAACTTGTTCTCCTCCTCATGAACTCCCTCCAAGCTGCCAATGGCGCTTCAAGGACATGTAATACACTGTTATATGTGCTAGTGTTGTACCCTGGTCCCCATGGTGAGTCTCTCTGTGTATTTTCGTGTTTTTTGTTGTTTTCATCACTGTATCTCATCTAGCAATTTTATTGCCAGGTACAGTGGCTCATATGACTCTCATATAGTCATAATACACTCCCTGGACACTGCTTATATCCTCCTCTCATTGGTGAGTAGTTATCTTGGTTTCTGTGTGACCTCCTGACACACCCCTGCCCTGGTCGCATTTTTTGCAGTCCTTGGGCCCTCTGCCCATATTCACTTCACTCAGGTATGTTTATAATACATCTATAAACGCCTAATTGATCCACAGTCCCATGTATTCTATTCTATACCTCTCCTACCCTCAATGTTCCCCCCAGAGTGCCCTCCTCTGCTTCCAGCACTCCTTGGATTTGATTTCTTTTTGTCTAGGAATGTTCTTACAGCTAAATAGTGTTTTTTCGACCAGAGAGAAATGGGTTGAGGCCCAGAGGACAAGGTGGAGGACTCATGTTACCTCTGCAGTATTCATTCAACCATGTACATTTTCTCTCAACTTAATTAGGTTTAAAAATGTGAAATAGATAATATTTAATAACATATTACATGGCACAGTGAAAAAACTATAAAAAAATACAGTGGAATGGTGGAATACTCGAGCTCGCTGTGTGCAACAGCGAGCACGAAAGTTTCGGCAACGTGTGGAGTGGTGTGAGCAAGTGACAAGTACAAATTGCCCGTTTTGGATATCATATTCACGTGCTGACTATTTGTTGGGGACTTGGTGTAGCGTAAGTACCTAGCACCACTGGTGTGCACCGGCGGTGCTCCATACAAGCAAATACAATGCTTAATAAAGCGGCACTACATGTCACATAGTACCGCTTGACTAACTTAGTATTGTGGGAAATATAGGTGCTTGTGTGACACTTACAATATTGCGATCTGAGCCAACATTTGTAATCTCTTTATAATATCTATAGCGCTAGCCCTGGACTCGGACAAAGTTTGACTCGGATAGGATTCAAAACAGTAAGAGGACACATCAGAATTGTGTGTGTACAGCTTAGTTCATCCCTCTACACTAATTTAGTTATTTCATGTGCAGCGAGTTGCACTTCCAACAATTGCACCTTGCGGGCCTGCTCACAGCGCTTGATTTCCCCCTCGTGACACTTGATTTCCACCTCCCAATGGTCTGCCACAAGCCTATGCATGTACACCTGAGAAACTACGAGGGGTGCTGGAGATTGTTGGTAGGCAGGGACAGGTGTCTCAGGAACCTCAGCTGCCATGGAAATTGTATATTGAGGGACGGGTGGCATTTCCAAGGTCAGTGGGCCAGGTTTGTTCATGTAATCTGATAGTGGTAGCCTTCTAATGAGTTTGGGCCTGCGAGATCACGAGACATGTCTGTTAGGGACCACAGTACTTGGATGAACATCAAGATACATACCTTTTGGGTTTCGAAGTCCCATTCTCCGCACAAGCCTCTGGAGACTGCGAGTGAAATTTTCTGCAACATCATGTGGGTCAGAAGACAGCGAGGGAGAAAGTATTTTGTCCATACCGTTTTTGTAAGTTCTCTTTTTCTGAAAGAGAGTCCATCACACTGAATTTTGCAGTCTCTGAGTCCTTGATATTTTCAATGGACGATGTTGTTAGGACCGAACAAACACTGAAAATTTTCAACAGTGCTGTCCAAATGTGAGTCACCTGATTTTTATTTGGCATTTATTAGTTATATACCGTCGTGACACCCAGCCTCTTTCGATCCATGACTACACTGCCCTTCCTCCTCCCGCACCATGTCCTCGACCCTTCGTTGCACTTGTGGGCAACAGCTTGCTAATGACAGCTTGTTCACTCGCCACATTACTTGGTGTGAAATTGTGATACGTCACTCCGACATGGTCTATGCACATGCTCAGTGTGCTAAACGTGCCGTCAAGGATGCAGACATGACACCGGGACCTTCATGATGGAAACCCAGGTGTTTGACCCTCATGCGTGCAGAGGCCAGTGTTCCTACCATACACAAGTCCCTCCGTGCTGAACTGGGAGCATTGTCAGCATCGAAGCTAAGGATGATGCAGGCACAACCGACTATGGTGTGTAGCTACAAGTATCGTTCTGTATCTCTTGGTTAACATTTTATTTGAACAGATCCAACCACATGATCCGCCGGCAATGGAAGTTGATACCCTCCTCCCAGAGGCCACTTTTTCCTTGACAGATGACCCTATACCTGACGAGCGTCTTCTAACGGCCAATGATCCTGTGGCATCTATGTCACCACACTCAAACAATCCCGCGCTTGGCAAACACATACAGCGTCCCAGTGCTAAAGTGTGCAAGGCAATATCTGATGCCTTGCCTGAAGGCCCTGGTCCATTGGTCACTCCAAGTATGTGTGGTGATGCTGAGCCTTCTCACTCCCATGCTCTTCCACTCCGTGTTCATCTTTTGGTGACTGAAACCTTTCGCACCCTCATGAATTCCTTTGGCCTCACTCGTGAATATTGTGGCCGCCCTTCTCGAGTTCCTGACCTCGACATTGATTTTGAGCAGCTGCATGGGGACTCTGCACAAACATCCAGCAATCAGAGACCCAAAGCCATTGAAGAAATCATATATCCGTACCCCAACATCAGCTCATTCCTGCTTAACCGCTGGTTCTGGAACCGCAGTGCCAAAAAATCGAAGGCAGACTGAAAAGAGTTGATCGAAAATGTCTTGTTGCATCCGGATTTCAAGACCAAAGATGTGTATGGGGTCAATATGGACAAGCTAGACATGCAGGTCATGGAGGATGCTGACTCTCCATGGGAGGGTAATGGATGGATAAACTCGACACTTACCATTGATATTCCATTGGGCGAAAAGTCCACAAAGTCAAACAAGCACCAGTGTGCCAATGAGGCCCAAACTGCGCACTATCATGGTGAGATTGACCCTGATGCCCCCGAGATACCTACCATCAGATTCAATATCCCCAACTTTCACCATCACAGCCTTCTTACTGTCATCCAGGAGGTTTTCACATCTCCTCCGTCCAAACAATTTCACTTCCACCCATTCAAGCAGTTTTGGAAGCCTCCGCATTCAAACGCACAGCCTGAACGTGTATTTGATGAGATGTACACATCAGAAGCATTCTTAGCAGCTGACCGTGAGCTGCAGACATCCCCATGTGAAACAGGGTGCGATCTCCCCAGAGCAGTAGCAGGATTTATGTTCTGGTCGGATGCTACCCATGTCACGCAGTTTGGACAGGCTAAGCTTTGGCCAATATATTCCTACTTTGCCAACCAGTCGAAGTATGAACACTGCAGGCCAACAGCATGTGCTGCATGCTGTGTGGCCTATCTGCACGCTGTAAGTGTCACATTAGTGTCTGAGTATTTTTTAATGATTTGCAATCATTCATTCTAGCTGCCTGATGCCATAACCGACTTTCTATGATCGAAAGGATGTGCTGTCTCTGTGACACTCCTTACACATTGTTGAAGGGAGCTTTTCCACCAAGCTTGGAATCTCATCATTGATGACGACTTCATTGCTGCATACATGCATGGTATTATTGTGGACTGCACAGACGGCATTCGACAACGACTCTATCCTCGCATATTCACATACTCCGCAGACTATCCGGAAAAGTCAGTACTGATTTCTAATCACTGATACAGTCTACTTAACAATTGTTAGAGTTTTAATAGCGACGATTCGTGATATGGGTGGTTGTCCATGCCCTCGCTGCACCATTTCAAAAGAGAAGATTGCGGGACTTGGCATGCGTGCTGACCAGGCCATCTGTGTCACTCATTGATGTGTAGATGATGAATTACGCCAGTCGAAAGTTCAACAAGCCCATGATTTGGTATATAAGGAAGGTTATGTGGTGACAAGCCAGCATGTTGAGGAGATTCTCAAGGATGAGTCTCTAGTCCCTACTACGGTGAGACCTTTTTGCGAACCCAAGAACTGGAACATTACTGATTACATTCTGTCTAGAACACTTTCTCATCAAAACTGTGGCGGTTCAAGTTTGACTTCTTCACAATGCTCGTTGTCGACTTGCTTCATGAATTTGAACTTGGTGTCTGGAAATCTGTGTTGACTCATCTCATCCGTATGCTGTACACTATGGGCAATGAAACTGTCTACGAGTTCAATGCAAGGTCACTCCCACCTGATTTGATGGTTCTGCTCAAACTGAATTGTTGTTCTAGATTCCGGGGTGTGGCACCATTTGGCCCCTTGACTATTCGACATTTTGCTCACAATGTTGCCGACCTCTCCAAGCTGGCTGCTCGTGATTTTGAGGATATTCTACAAGTAAGGTGCTGTCTCGTACAAATACCCAGAGCTCATATTTTCTAGTGCTGCATACCGTGTTTTGAAGGATTATTCCCTTCACTGTACAATGAGTCAATACTTGATTTGTTGTTCGTGTTGTGCTATTGACATTCGCTCGCCAAGCTATGCATGCACACTCAGTTGACATTGAAGATTCTTGATGACACAATGATTCTCTTGGGCCAGTGACTTTGGCATTTCTCAGTGGAGACCTGCAAACACTTTAACACCTTTGAAACTGACCGTGAATACCGGGCGCGCATCCGTACAACTCAGAGGAGGCAAGAATGAGCTGGACCATCAAGTAGTGGGGGCACGGTCTGTGAGGGTAATCCAGAGATGAGAGGAGCCCAGCACTCAAGTGGAGGCAAGCGTCCAAAATTCTTTAGTCTTGCAACATCAAAGTTGCATGCACTTGGTGATTTTGTCTCGCAAATCTACAGGTTCAGCACGACAGATTTATTTAGCACGCAGACAGTGAGTGAAACATTGGCACATTGACACATTGTCTCTTCTAACTTGGTGTTTTAGGGCGAGCTGCAGCACTCTGTCATCAAACATTGGAACAATCGCACAAATCAGAACAATGCCATACCCCAAATTATCAACATCGATATCTGCGAGGCTGTTCATAAACATATTGGCAATGCGCTGCACGCACCAGAAGGAATAGCTGCACCTGTAGCCCACGAGCCAACTGACATGGTTGGCAAGGATGAATCTGGACCCAAGCTATATCTCACAGATTGGCTTCGTGAACACCAAGAAGACCCAGCCTACAAAGTAAGATATGTTTATGCTATCTACTATGTTCGTGCCTGATATATTTTTTGTTAAGAATTTTTTGTTCAAACTGAAAACTCACTTGCTTGCACAACTGCGGGGGCTTTCTGTCTTTGATGAGGCAACCAGGTTCAGTCGTGAAGAGCTTGATCAGGTTATCTTTCAATTTGACCGCATTTTCCCTCACGCCACCACTTGATTTAACTATACTTCCTACGATGTTTGATGAGAGCAAGATACAATCAATGTCAATGGCCCACGTCGTGATATCATGCTACGAGCACATGAGGATCCCAGTGATGACATTGAGCCCCATCAATTTTGGTACGCTCGTGTCATTGGAATTTTTCATGCTAAAATTCTACATGGGAATGAGCGAAAGCCACAGCGCATGGAGTTTTTGTGGGTCCGTTGGTTTGGACATGATCCTGAATGGTCCGGAGGCCCCAGATCGCTGCGACCCGAATGCATTGGCTATGTCCCATATGGGAATGGTGATGAATATTGCCCTGCATTTGGTTTTGTTGATCCATGGGATGTTCTTCGTGCATGTCACCTTGTGCCAGCCTACTCACTCGGTCAGACAACAGAACTCCTGGGACAATCTTCTGTGCGAGATATGGTGGATGGTGACTGGGTGAATTATTATGTCATGCGGTAGGTTCCATTCAGTTTGACGAAGCTGCTGGCTGATCTAGTGAGTGTCCTAGTTTTGTAGATTGCGACATGATGATGAGATACCTCGGGCTTGGGATTGGCCACATGAACGAGGCTAATTGTCATACTGAATTTGATGACCTTAGTGTCAGTGAGGAAGACACTCACAAATCCCCGCGCTCAGACCCTAAATCACCTCCGGCAGACCAATCAAAGCACAATGACGAGGAGTCGGATTATTTGTCAGATCCTGAAGACTCAGAAGAATTCAATCCTGACGCTCATGAATATTAGATGCCCTCACATGTGATCCATGGCATAACTTGCATTCGTCACCTGATACTTATTGTTGATTGTGTCTGATTAATTCATCCAGTTGTTAGTGCACCATGTTTGTTTAGCAGGGGTGAAATTTTCTGATTGATCATAACAGAGCACAACAAAAATGTGTCCTTCAAAAAAGGTACAGTCATGGCCATATCATCTTATCTTATCCCCATCTTTGCACCACTGAATTTCCCATCTTGTCATGCTTCTTACTATGCGTTACAGATTGCTGGCTTCCAGACAGTCGGTCTTCAGTGACCTCTCTGATGAATTGTCGGTGTCACCAGAGCCACCAACACCGTCGTTAAATCGAAAAAAAGCATTCACGACAGAGATGTGATGACTCCGACGACATTCAAGAGCCTAGGTAAGCTATCTTTTTTTTTTTTTTTTTAATTCCTGATTTTTGTCTTTGAGAGTAGCTCTATGTAAGACAGTTCTATCTAGTCTTGGGGGCTCCTGTGCCCCCCCGCACCTCTAGATCCATGAATGCCCCGGTGTGAGGCTTGCCTCCACTGGTCCGCCGTTCCCGCTGTGCATTTTAGACATGCGATCTAACGAAGGAGAGGTGACTTTATATGAGTCGCACGATGAAGTATCTGAGTAAGTATGGGTCGTCTGGACGCGTTCTCGATTGCCGAGGCGATGGTAAGCTATCTTGATCATGATAGGCGCTTGCTAAGTAGACTGTCTTTAGTGCCAAGAGGTCTAGTACTGAGCTGCGGCTTGATGGAGTCGACAAAAAAATGATCATCCACAAGGGCCGTATACTTGGACAGTGGGTTGATATGTGGCAGTGGAACACAACCATTCTCGAAAAGGGCATTGAACATGAGGCTGATGCTGGCAATCATCGCGAGTACACACTCAAGTAAGTTTCAAATAGTGCAACAAGCCTATCTCTCAGTATTCGCACCACAGAGAGGAGGAGCAATATGACATATACAAGACAATGCTCTCACTGGCCCCATGTATCATTGACGAAGTTCAGAAGGCAGGACAAGGAGGCTGTATCATTGTTGGCACCATGGTAATTTCCTTTGTTTTCTTTGGCAGCAGGTCTTATCGTGTTAATTTCTTTGCAGCTCGATGATGCACGACAATGAGCACGTGGGGATGATATCAACACCATCAAAGACAAGATTGCCCATTGGCACCATTTCCCAAGTCTCAGCCCTGCAATGTTTGCCTCTGCATGTCATACTCTCGGTTTTACTCTGACCTCTCGTGAGTTAATTTTATCATTGTTTTGCTATCAATCCTCACACCTGCAAGTGTTCAAGATGGCCTTCATGACGGATCAATTGTGGTCACACCCTCGCAGTTCCCCTGCTTCCTTTGGCATAATGAGGAAGTGAACCAAGAACAAATTTTTGAAGGCTGGTTGGAGAACGAGTTGCTTGTGCAGGTACAAAGTAACACTCCATGCTGAAGTCTTTCCGACACTTGTTTGTAAAGGGATACTTGCACATTTTCAAGTCTCCAAGTTCAGCTATCAAGGATGCTGGCGCCACAGCACGTCGTGGAAATGCTTCAATGCACGGCATACGGACAGTGAGCATTCCTTCTATTGCATATGTTGCCACGCTGGTAAGTCTCGACTACCATTTCTGGAACACGTAGTCCTCAGTATGGTCATTGTAGATTCGGTTTGTCCTCTCTTCGCAGAGCAGCATGTCCCGAGGTCACAAGGCACAATTCTCATACGAGACATTTTACAACAACATTGTCAGGACCACTTTTGAGGAGCTTGACAATGTTCAACTTGCCTCACTGCTCACTTGGTGGAACGGGTGCGTACATGTTTTGTCACATCACGACCATTCATTTTAATATTCATTTTTGATTTTGCAGGAGGATATTCTCAGACGTTGTAGATGACAACAAGGACGACGAGGATGAGTATAGCATGATGGCAATGATGAAGGCTCAAGCAGCAGCAAGGAGTGCAGCATCCACAGCATCATAACTACTATGCCATTGTGACCATGAATATATCTCCTATTTTCATTTTCGTTCGAGTGTGAATATATCTCAATTGCTGATGACTTGACTGTGGAATTATCTTTATCACTCTATTACCAACAAACAAGGGTGTGCAATATACAACAGTTATAAGGCTCTTGCAATGGACACAATTTATTGACATGTTGGCAGTAGTGACCAGATTTACAGGAGGTTACAACCAACGAGCAATTTTGGCTTCTCGCAAATATAACCAGTTATGACACGAATGTCGTCGATTATGGTGGTTGTAGGCAATTGTGATGATTATAGAACAGTCGCAATCCTATGGTAATCGACGTCAATTTCATAGGGAATTTGCTGATGTAAACAAACAATGACAATGAACATATTAGGTGGATTATGTAAGGAGTTCGTGATGACAAAGAGAAAAGGAAAGAAAACAGTCAAGTATTGATGTTGAATACAACACCATGCCTGTTTGACTGTTTGGAGGTCATGAAAATACCATGTCTGGTACGCTGGAAGCGTAGACTCAGGTAAGAGCTCTGTACTAAGTCTCAGATGAGACGAAGATAATGCAGAGGTTCATTAATCATTATTGTTGGAGTCAAGACTTGGTGACGAGAGTCAGCAAGAGAAGACAAGGCTAATGGTATCGACCAAATATAGGCACTAAGACGAAGAGTCTTAAGTGAAATCGTATACAAGAGCGATCTTGCTCAGGGAAGGTCTATCAGAATACTGAGTAGATTCAAGTTAGAGAATACAAGACAGGTAGATCGACTACTTATAGGTAAGAGATACTTCAGGGCAAGGTTACCGGATCATAGGTAAGGGTACAGGGTACAAGATAAGAGATACAAGATAAGACGGCGATCAGCAATGCTGTTCAAGAAGATGATGGGAACGTCATATGGCAGTACAAGATAGGAGAAAAAGATAGGGGGGTCCGGTCCGAGGCATGTTATCGTAACAATGTCCGCAGTCACAGTCTTCCCTGATAGATGATGTATGGTCCCGGTGTGGGTACAACAATTCCAGATTGAGTGAATCTGATGTGTTGGGTCTGTCTGCCTAGCTGCTATATCAGAGTGTTGACAGTGTAAGACCCAGGGTTTCTGGACCAGGCTCAGAGCTCAGAGAGAGAGAGAGTAAGGAAAACTGCATTCTAAATCACACCAGGTGAAGGTAAGGGTAAAGACCAACATGATTATGTAAGCTATCCAAGTGCCAACACAAGCAAGGTAAATAGGGGTAAAGTAAGCCTAACCAGGAATATGTTCCTACACCGGGCTTGGCAGACAAGACACATTGTACTGTATACATTCAACCTTAGGTTTGTCACAGCATTGCCAACCCCCTGAATTGAACCATACATTTCGTGTGACAGTCACACCAAATTGAGGGCGGCGAACCTAAATGTGTGACAATTTGTTCATGGGTGGCGGCAAAAATTATAATTTTACTGTGTTTTGCTACTTTTTTTCTAGCTCTTTTACCTTGAATAGAGTCTATGTGCTGCACTGTGAAATGACTTGTGCAAAAAGGTGTTCCTAATTTGTTTGGCGGGGAAAACAAACAGAAGGTATGAAGTTAGTAAGACTTAAGGGAATGGATGAAATTTGTAGGATGATGAACAGATAGTACAACAAAATAATCTAAGGGTTTTGTGATGAGATTTTGATGAGATTCTGGGTGTCAGCCCGCAGGGCTGTTCCGGCCCGAAACAAAGAATCGAACCTAAGAATCAAGGTGAGCTGTGTTCCCAAGTATTAGGAGTGCAGTGATGCATGCGGCACAGCTTGATTCCCTTACAGTAGGAGGTGTACTCACTGTGCTAATTCTAACGAACTGGTGGCATTGTATACCATGTGAAGGGTTCGAGAATTGGTGACGGAGATCAGTGACATAGAGCGATCAAGGCGAATAAGATGTTGAAGTTGTGGCTGGGTCGCCAACCTCAGGGTTGGCAGTACCTGCAATGTACGGTGCCAATATAGATGTGTGATCTTGCAAATAAATTGTGAAAGCTTCACTTGACCACTGCCCCATTGATTTGACGACGTCAAATGGGATCCCCCTTAGCAAGTATTCCAGAGTTCCCCCTATGCGAAGGCTATGCCATTTTAGATCCGGAAATCCCACTGCAGTGGTGGCAACTGCCATCCACTTGGAAAACTCTTTCTTTGAAAGTGGCCTAAGTCCTTTAGTGTGCTTCCACGCTGGAGAGGGCCAGGGGCCTTGACACTGGGTGAACAGCAATGGATGGATGAGTGCAGCTACAACACGTGGGAACTCTGCTCTAAAACACCTGCTAAGACCCCGAAACCCTCGAAAACCTCTGCCTGCCTAAACCAGAACTGACCCCTGACTCCTAAACACCCTGGTACAAATACCCCCCACTAAAAAATGTGACCCTTCTGACACAAAATTGTGCGTCAGAGATTCTGACCACACCTGCGGGCCATTGTGAGTAGTGCAGGGGGATCATTCAATAAGCCTCTGAGACATCTCTGGTTGCTGCCTCCGAGCCCGGTGGAAGTTTCAATATTAATAAGTAGATTATCGAGAACTTACCCCATGTTGCTGGGAACTCGTCTGAATTGATGCGTGAATTTACCGAGTGTTACAGTAACATGGCCCCCCCATCTTTTTCTGACCCTTTCACCTCTTCACCTTGTCACAATGTCACACTATCACCTCTTCACAATTCACCATGATGCTTGACGTACTTCCTGATCCCCGCCAACCCTGACCTTCTGTGACAGAAGCTAGGCGCTTCCCATGGACCCTTGATCCATGGCCTCATGGCCTGTACTTCCATTTCCCTTGATGTTCCCATTAACCCCCATCACTGACCTCATGGACTCCTGCCTGATCCTGCCTACCCGATATATCTTTCCCAACTCTTGTACGATTAGCAGACCTGCCCTGAACACTGTAGTCAGTCCCTATATATAGTTGATCCACTTGTACTATTATTCCTTAACTTGATTCTACTGGGTTTTACCTTGACTTGTATATTCTCTTGAGTTAACTCTCTTGAGTCTGATCACGAACCCTCTATGCTCTTGGATCACTATCCTTGAGTCGATGCCGATCCCTCATCTAGACTTAACCATCAAACACAAAACCCTTCTTCGGCTCTCGCCTTAGAAGCTTACCTCCCCTTTCTGTCATAACCCGATGGCTTAGGCTACCGGGTATACTGACATCAACTGACACACGACTGATAACTTAGGACCGTTGTCCTTCGTTTACCCATCCCAGTCCGACTACGACCATTGTTGTAACACCGAGGGATTGGGAGATGAAGCATTAATTGCGTGCGGGAAAGAGAAATTTTGAATGACTCTAAATTTGTTTGGCTTTCCCGGCTTAGGGATAATGGACGGGGGGGATGATTGGAATGGTCCAATTAATTTTTCCAAGTCTCCAGCTGAGAAGGGACCAATCTACCTCCCTTTTTTTGATTTCACTTTGAATGATACTATCAAATTCAGCCGCATAATCACTAATTGAAACTTTATTTGGAGGCGTCTGTACAGATTTGCTAGCTGGAAAGTCTATATTGAAACCCGCACGTAGGCCGTTTGATATCTTAATGAAGCATTTGAGGATTCCTGCCCTGCACAATTCTCGTTCCCATGCCACCACCTTATATGGAGTCAGTGGATGGCCTTCTGTGCTCTAGGACACTTCTGGGCTCCATGCGTGGTGGCTCTGCAATCGGAACAGTAGTGTCTCAAATCGTGCTTGGGCATGGCGCATCCCTCATCTCTTTGCCAGGCTGTACACAATTGCTTTCCTTCCTTGAACCAAAGAGCTTTACATATGCGCTCTGCGAAGGTTTTGTGCTGCCTGTCCCACGTGTGCATGGCTGTGCATTCAATCGTTCTGTGGGGGTTGCGACCAAGGCAAGCTGCACAACAAGGGAGTGAGTCAGAGGCAAGAGGTGCACGCATGGTGTGTACTACTTGTCACTCCATACCGGCTCCTCCGTCAATTGCAGCTGCCGCTTTTGTGGTACAGACCCTGATTGATGTTGGCACAGTGATTCCGTGTCATTCGCAACAAATGATGCTGCTGCTTGCTGTAGCGAGGCAGGCATTGGTACCACAACATGGTGAGTGGTGTGGATGACGTGACCTAGCGTGAACATTGATCGTGCAAAGGTTGTGGGGCGTGAAAAACACGATGACCCGTCATTTTTGGGGGTGGGTGGGGGGGTTGGGGTTGGGATTGGGATTGGACACATGATTGGTCAACCCAGGGGGGGGGGAGTTTGGCCAATGTGACAATGTATGCGATTACATGAGGTCAAAAGGGAGAGGGTTGGGATATGAAAGCGTGAAACAATAAAAGGAGACTGATGAGCCTGCTGCACTAAAGGATGCATGATTTCGCTGACAAAAAGAACTGACCTGCCTTTGCTTCCATGAGCAACTCTTGATTAATCTCCTCCAAGCTCCAGCTCTGCGCTGAGCCTATGGCGAGATGCCACCGACTTCGCTGCTGTGATTGGTATAACAGTAAAGCTTGTTGCTTGAGGTGATCTGAGGCATGATGCCAGCGGTGTGTCTGCAAGGCCAACCAGAATTGTATGTGCATGGTGACACGCTCGTTTGGCCAGTTGTGCATCTTCATGAAATTAATCATGCGAGGTGCTGCTTCGTTAAACTCTTCCCAGGTCAGATTCTCGTCCTTGGTCACTACTGCAGCCTTTGGGTCTTTAATTGCGTCCGCTGGAATCCATGAGTGAATTCTGTCATTGGATGGAAGCATCACCAGGGCGTCTGGTTCTGCGATCTAAGAAAGTTTCTTTGCGTTGTCCAAACTGCAATTGGTGAAATAATGAAGTTCACAGTAATCTCCTGATTTCATTTTTCTTGTTGCATATGGTGCAGGTAGAATGGGGGGTTCTGAAGGGACTTTGCCTTGAGCGAAGGGAGCATATTTTACTCTTGTTCTTCTTACGCTCTTCAAGCCTGGCCACTTCATCTTCCTCCTCGAGCGCCTGCTGATGCTCCTCCTCTTCTAACGCTTCTCATTGATGCACTGCTTTAAGCCTCTCTTGCCTTAAGGCCCAATGCCGTTTGTCGGTGTTGTTCGTCAGAGTCCATAGTGAGTCTAACGAGCATATGGCCTGGTCTACGGTAAAGTCTTTGTTCACTAGTTGTTCTTGAGCTTGTTGATGCTCATCACTGGTATAGTCCAGTATTATGGCCTCATTGGGGTCGTCGAGGAACATAATAGGATTAAGAGAAACACAAACAGACAGATAGCTAGTGCTTAATCCTTAGGACAATAAATACTGTGATGGTGGGCAAGAGCAAAAAGTGCTGCACCACATCGCTTGTTTGCACTTAGACTAATTGTGGTTCAACCTCGTGCCTTGATCGGATTAGATAACCAACAGTTACTGTATAATTTCGACCTTAGGTTTGCCCAACGAACCAAACCTATTTTTTGTTACAGTTACAGTAGTTTTGGGTTGACAAACCTAATTTTGTAACATAATGTTATTTTTTTTTTGATATGTTTTTTTCAAGAAAGTCTTCACACAAACACATAGTTTTTGCCATTATTGTCATTTTGTATCTATTCCCTGTGTAGAGAGTACATACAGTGTTCTACTGATCTTGTATATACAAACTTACTGCATTTTTGTCACAATGTCCTTGAGCACACCTGACCTTCCCAATATGTAACTATAATAATAGTGGGTGATGATGTGGCTCGCTAACTATTAAATTAGTCATTCCTCTTAAATCCCAACACCAGCAATAAGTCCTGCCCCAAATGCAGGACACCCTTATGGTAAATTCATGTACAAGGCTCGGCACGGGTCATTTAGATAGGTATGTTCTGTTCTGTCCCCATTCTGTCCTATTACTTATCTGGCATCCCCGCTGAGCGAAAGTGATTCCGTGTAGCCTGTTGGTGTAGACTACCGATCCGTATGAGTGTGAGTGTAATAGCTCGTCCCAAGGGGATTGCTACTGAGGGAAGTCTCCGCTGTGGGTACAACAATCCTGCTGAGCTGCAGGGAAATGTTGGGTCTTGCTGGCCTAAGGCTAGTTTGACCCTAAAGGGTCTCTGCTCTAGGCTCAGTGCTCAAGGAGAGAAACAGATGAAGAATAAAGACTGGACACTCAGGCAGACACAGACTCAGACTGGTACTGGTGAAAGATTGACTGGATTATGTAAGCAATAAGAGTGCTAACATAAAGTAAGGAAAGTATCAAATACGGGGCCAGAAAATGGAGGTTTCCTACACCGCAATAAATGTGAAGGAATCAATCCGACGGGCTTAAGATCTGTGCGGTGGATGCACGAAAAGTGGTCCAGTGTAAGAGGAGGATGTCCTGACGGAAGGCGGTGTAGGGAACTAGTTCCCTGTGACCTTGTATTGACAGTTTCTACCTAGCTTTACTTACCCCTTTCCTTTGTTTATGTTGGCATTTGACTGCTTACCTAATCATCAAATCTTCGCCCTACACATCCACTCAGTAGTAGCATTCAGCTCACATTCTGGTAGCTCCCCTTCTAGGGTTAAGTAGTAGCTTCCCCAGTTTGTAGCTTCCCTAGTTGTAGCTTCTTCAGCTCACTAGCTAGCTCCTGATACCCAATTCTAGCCCTATTGTCTGCAGTGTCATATTTGATATCCTCTCTCACTCTCACACTCACACACACACACACACACACTCTCTCTCTCTCTCTCTCCCTGCTTGAGCACTCCCCAGTCAAGAAAGCCTGGGTCTTACATTGTCTCTCAAGACATAGCAGCTAGGCAGCAAGACCCAACACCTTCTGCTTCTCAGCAGATTTGTTGTCCCCACAGCGGTTCTGACGGAACAGATATCTAGCGGTATGATCTGTCAAGTATCAAGATAGCAAGGTGTCGAGGTGGCAAGGTGTCGAGGTGTCAAGGTTTCAAGGTCTTGATGTAACGAGCTACCGGAAGTGATCTGTGGAACAGGATGAAGTCCGTTGCGGTGTGGAAGACTAAGGCGACTTTTTTGATCACACAGACTTAGATATAAAATCCAAGGGAGTGATATTGGCAGAATACGACGCGACTATTTATCATAACCTGTAAGAACTCAGAATCTGCTAAGTGGCAGTAGTACAGGCGAGTCCATAGCGCAGTAATATGTAAAGGATGGTAAGCGGCCTCATGTATGGGAATGTACATGTAATACGGACTGCTGGTTGATCAGAGTGATAAAAAGAGACAAATGACTCACCAATGGGGATGGATGGACATGGATGGGCAGGAACCAAGGGCAAATGAGGGAATCCATCACAGGTTTCGTATCCGTTAGGTGTCCGGAAGGGACGGTCGTCAACAGAGGAGGCCGGATAGGTGTGGACATGAATACCTGGCCAGGAGAGCTCCGGACCTGGCTTAAAGGGTGATTGTGAGGCTAGCGCCAGAATGTTTGGTACACCACCTTCTCGCTAAACCTCCTGCTTCTCCTACAAACTGTTCCCACACCCACTTCATCTGCTCCTCATCATCCTCTTCGATGTCAAGCTGCTTGCCGCTGTTCTATAGGTGGTGAGCCTGATCTTACTAAGGTGAACAGATGCCAAAGCCGAGTCCATGAGGCATAGATGATAGTGTAGTGATTTTCTCAGGTTCTCTCCCTTCTTTCGAGCTGCATTGATTGTGTCAGTGTTCCAAGGCCAAGTCCATCAGACATAGATGAATCAATGATAGTGTAGTGAGTTTCTCAGGTTCTCTCCCTTCTTTCAAGCTGCATTGATCATGTCAGTGTTGATCATAAGTGTGAGAAGTCCTGCTTGACTGTGTTAAAGATGTGCTCGTGAATACTGTTGAAGACATGCTTGCGGGTGATCTATAATGATTGTTTACCTATCTATTGTGTCTTACAGTGTCCATTGTCCTTACAATATAATGTACAAGCTCTATGGTCAATGTCAACAAAAAAATATCATTCTACCAGTGTAATGAAGTTGTGCACTTAGCACTAATATCATCATCTCATCTGTCTATCATCTGTCTAGTCTGATCAGGACTTGTCTATTATCTTGAGAAGCATCCATATTGTCAGCCACCACCAATTAATTACCTCACGTGTACCACATGTTAGCCGCATCCTTCCGCATATCTCGCGCCTCTTGCACATCCACCGTGCATACATCACACGCCTTTGCATACCTTCGTTTTTCTGCCATCTCTTGATTTCTCTCATATTTAGAGAGTTCTATCTCAGTAGCATCCTCTGAGGGTTGATTCTACTAGCTCACCTCTTGAGGTTTATATCCTTGTGACTCCCCAGAGTTGACATCTCTATTTCCTCACCCACAATGGTACATCTCTCATAGCTTTAAGTTCTGTGTGGGTGCCGGGGGACTGATCTGTGGATAGGTTTTGGCCTGGTTCCATTGGGGTCTGTGCAGCCTTAGTGTCCTCCAAACAGAAACATTCGACTATGGTGGCCACATAGGCCTTCTGCGACAGTGTTAAGGTATGTGCTGCTCTGTTATGCATTACCTTTAACCCCAACAGCCACTTCAACTCCCCCAGGTCCAATATCTTGAAGAACTGCTGGAGTTATAGAATTTTTGGTAGCTTATACACAGTGAATTGCGTGACAAACTCGTAGTGTACTACATGAAAAATGTCCTACTGTATGTACACCAATGAATGAAGGTTTCAGCTACTCGGCCATTTCCGAGTCACGCTCGTCAAGCTTCACTAAGTCCAACAGGAGTTGGGCCTTGAAGCGGTGGATATGAGAAGTGCGGTTCTTGGTGACAGCCATGTCATTGATGGACACTGTGATGACCATCTGTTTGCTGGAGGTACATTTGTAGTACACCACTTGATCCACCTTTGACCTACTGAACCCCAGCTTCAAGAACACTCTAGCTAGCTCCTCCACCCACTCAAACCCTGCTTGCTTCAGTCCAGGTAAGCTCCTCATTAAGTTCAACACCTTTCCACACTAATCCTCCCTCAGGTACCCTGGGGGTGCGTGATCTCCTCCTGGATGCTCACATAAAGGTAAGCACTCTTGATGTTGATCTGGTGTATCTCCCAGTCTTGCTGAACAGTCTTGCTGAACGGCCATAGCTAGTACCATGCAGATCATGCTCATATTGGCAGTGGGTGCAAAGGTACCAAAATAGTCTACTCTGTATTTCTGCTGCTGACCGTTTGTAATGAGGTGCATGTGAAATTTCAACTTTTCGCCACCCAGTCCTCACTTGGTGGCCAGCATGTAGTGGCATGAGATAAGGTTTGCCACTCTAGGTAAGTCCACAATTTCCCAGGTACCTAGCTTTTCAAGTTGGCTAATCTAATAATTCAGTGCTTCTTCCCACTCTTCGCTGTCAGGACCGTTCAGTGCCTGCTGCAAGGTGGGTTCAGGTTCTGCGGCTGTGAGCACAAGGTGAATGTGGGTTTCTTTGTCCAGGAGATCTAACACTGATGCCTCCAACAGGGAATCTAGCGTTAGGGATGCCATCTCCCCCTCATTGGTGGCAGGTGGTGGGATAGGCTGAACACCAGGTAGGTTGGTGCTGCTAGTGTATTTGTTGTAGTGCATGACAACATTGTTTTCAGGGTTGCTAGTGTATATGTCATCACACATGATGGACTCCCCACATTCAGGATATCCTGCACCACTGTCACCTCTCCTGACACAAACATAATGTTGCATTTAACAGAGACCCTGTGCTTACCTGACCAATAGACCCAGTAGGCTTTACTGACCATGTCCACCACCTGAAATACAGCTTCCTACACATTTGGCTCCAGCTTTCCCGCATCCTCC